GTGGAAAGGATTTTTCACCCAATTCCTAGGTTCCCAGTACTTTCATGCAATATTAAATTTGATCGATCGACAGATAAAAGTCACCGAATAGAACAAGATTGCCTGATGTTTTGCTTTCTATTTGAATTAAAGTGGTTTGCCATGAAGAAATTTGAGACAGTCAATTTGTACAAAATTAGGGATAATTATTGAGTCATCAGTAAAGTTTCTGACCTCGCTGGTTGAGGTTGGAATGAGACAAGGGAAGAGAAGACTGACCAGTTATCCCTGCAGAAATATGAAAGGTCATATATATTGACTGCATTCCATCTTGCATGTGGATGGATTGTAACTAATGTCCTCCACTCTGATCTGAGGCTGTCAGTAGTTCACATATCTTTCTAGACCTGTTCAATGTCGAGAGAGTCAGACAGCGTGGGAAAATATTTCCGCTAACTGCCCTCCACTGTATCAGAAGGTTGACTATTCAGTTCCCACCCAACATGTGTAGGCTGTGTGGTGTCACTTGCACAGTCTGCAACATCTTTAAATGCATTAGTTGAAGCCCGCTGCTGTCTATTTCCAATTGGGGACAATGCCAGATTATGTTCGAACCCTTATGGTGCATTGTAAATTGAAGGCCCAGAGTCTATGCCTCCTGGACAGGCTCCAGGAATTATCCCTTGACGGGAGCCAAGAAATCTTATGCGTTTGGTTCAAAATGATCCTTCCCACACTCCCTGTCCAGGGATTCCTCAAAATAGTTTCTTTTTCAGCTGAAACTTGTGAGTTTTCGTTTAACGATTACAGAATTATCACCGTTTGGAGAGGCTTCCCACAACAGGACACTATTCTTTAGATGCCTGTAAGGAATGGTATAGTCTCTGCATCCAACTTATGTCAATCTGCACTAAGAGGAATTTTAATAAAGCACCGAATTATAAAAAGCCATTCACACACCAAGCCCTTTTCTTCCACAATTCATACAATCTTGAAATTGTTGGTCCCATGGAGTATCGTTCAGCTCAATCTGCACCTGTCTTTATAGTCTCCAATACTGTTCGACAGTAAATACCAATCTCATTCTTTTTTGAAAGTTTTCATCAATGCAACAACAGCTGTTTTAATAACAACCAAAAAAATTGCATTTGGTACAGAGTTCATAAAACAATTCACGCAATCAATTTGAAGTGGAGGTAATATTTGCAGGAAAAATGTGTCAGCTAATCTGCACCAATATCATCCCACAAATAGAAATGAGACGAAAGACTGAATTTAATTAGTTTTGGTCATTTGGATCAGGGAGGAACAGCACCAGCGATGCAGAAGTGTGATATTTTCTATTTCCCTTGCCAGTCATCCCATGCTCCTGTGAGTAAGATTAACAGTTTTAATTCTGAATTTAGTGCAATTTTTTGGTGTGAATCCAATCGTCACGGAATTGAGCTGAGACTACACAAATGTATTTACAACCAACCCTTCAAACCAATCAGTCTGGGCTGAACATGAGCCCAGGTTCCAGGATCTAACCCAAAATATTTTGCCACATCTCTTCACACCTCCCCCCACCCCCGACATATATACACAAATATTTTTAATGAAGTTGGTGCAATTTAAATTTAATATGGGAGAGTGTGAAGTGAGATCCCTTAACTAAATTTACTGTTATTTCTGATAACAGCTACTTCAGTGTTATCAATAATGACAAGCATAGTACTACAGATAAGAGTATTATAAATGCGACACTAAGTACATGCCCATTAGATGATTAAACAGGAACTGTTTAACTGTGCATACACTGGGCTAGGTTACTATAAACTAGATTGTAGAGGCAAAATAAACTAAAACATGGTAACCCTACGGTTTTTTAAGGTGGTTTCAGAATCTCAGTCGTGTTTATTATATTGTAAAGATAATTAAACAGATTTATGTTAGTGCATTTAATGAAATAATGCTGAGTGTTTTTAAAACACTTGTACTACCTTGACATGGGGAGGTCAGAGCTCTGCATCCGTGTGCTCAGAAAGTGTAGGAATGTCTGCTTCCTGCCCTTCAATGCAGGTTGGTATCTAGTGGAGTCCTGTAGCTCAGTGGTTAGAGCACTCACCTTGCAAGCGAGATACCTGGGTTCAGCTCCAGGCAGGGCGAAACCTTGGGCAAGTTTCCTTACTCCACACTCCTAATAATAATCCCTCCAAAACAAAACAACAAAAAATTGGTCATTTTCAATCCACGACTGTTTGTGGGACGCTGCTGTGTGCAATTGGCTGCTGCATTTCGCCCACAAATATACAGTCAATTCACTTTACAGCATATTCTGTGAAGCACTTTGAGACGTCTAGAAGCGCTATATCAAATGCAAGGATTGTTATTATAATTATTATTATTGATCGGACAAGGTATTATTGTAGGAGAGATTGAATATTTCTGATGGCCATCACCGGTAAATGGATAAAGGTAATTTTGGGCTGTCCAATGCTGTCCAATAGAATACCAGGATGGCCTATCTAGTCTCACATAAAGTATGGCTACTTTAGACAAGGCTCAGAACTATAATAATAATCCTTGCATTTCATACAGTGCCTTTCACGTTGGAAAGACATCTCAAAGTGCTTCATTAGCCTAAAATACACAATCATTACACTTTACATTATTATGCATCACTGCTTAGAGTAGGGGAGAAATAAGATTTTTTAAATAAAATAAAATAAAACCTCCATCAAGGTTCAAAAATAAGAGAACAGGTTAGTAGGACTTGTAGCTAATGTAGACCAAGAGATGTAATTAAACTAAAGGTTTACTCCAGAGAAAGCTCAAAACAATAACAGTTGTGAGCCTAAACATAAGCCCTAAATGTTTGTGATGTAAGTTACCAAAAATGAGATAGATTCATAGAATCGTAGGATGATTTGCTTCCCCAATCTCTGTTCTGTGCATCTTCTACTTCAGTCCTAAACTCAGTGCTGTAATTTGCTGCTAACCGCTTGTTTCTGATAAGTGATCTAGTTTCATACCTTCGCCTCCAACCTCTCTCGTCAACACATTATTTCTTATCTTTTTATTTTATAAATTCCACTATGGCTATTCCTTCAATTCACCATCTGACCCTCTCTTCCTCCTTTCTATATTCTCACTGTTACAATCAGAACTTACATATTACGTGTTACATATTATAGCACTACCACTACCAACAACAACGGCAAATTACACTTGTATGGCGCCCTTCATGTCGGAAAGACATCCCAGGGTGCTGGAAAAATATCCAAACTAGTCCATGCCAGGGTTTGGAGTATAAAACAATGGCACCTCTCCTAATCCCCTCTCGCATAACCTTCTCCCTCATGCATCACGTTTCCTACTAAAATAATATAATAAAATCCTTGCATTTGGTATTGTTTTCTGCTTCAACCCCAACTTCTGGAAGTTCACATTCTCCCCTATTTCTTTTCAGCCTCATTCTTTCCTAGGACTTCAAGACTGTGAACTCCTCTCAATCTTCACTTCCTCCCACAATCTTACCCAAGGGAATTAAGACCATTGTATGAAGCTTCCCCCTCTTGTGTTGGCTAAGAGTAGCTAACCTACAGGACCTCAGCCCTTCCTGTTCTGTATGGGCATTCACTGTACTGAGCTATGAGATCTTTGTGTAATTGATCCAATTTATATTTTAAATGAAATATAAATTTACTATAATAATAACTATGAAAAGAAAATGACAATAGCGGCAAATTATTTGGTGTGACGCATCCACCTGACCAATCTTAATTGAAATGTATAAATTCCAAGCATATGGACTCCCTCGGAATATATTTGGTGAATCATAGTAACAAGAATTTTTTTAAATATTTATTTTTAGTGAAAATCTTGTTCTTGCAGCTGGAAAAACCATCAGGATATTTTTAGATTTGAATATCCTTACAACAAAATAAAAATGTGTCATGATTTTCATCCGCAACTAAGGTTGATTGTTTTGATTTCTGTGTTGTGCCTGAGGCTGTCTGAGCCATCAAGCTGTTCATTCATTGAGTGTATCACATTACTTTGAATGGAAGGATCTGGCTGCGCTTATTATACATTAATAATTGTGTAACATACAGGATAGGATTATACACAAAGCTCAGATCTGTGTTAGGAACTACAGAACACAAAATGCAAGTAATTGGATTATACAAAGGAATGCAACCTGGCATTAGGCTATAGCCTAGATGACATTCCAGGTTCAGTCAGTTTGTTTGCACTGTAACTACTTGTGTTTTACAATGCACCAGTTAAGCTACACATGGAATCTTGTTTTCATCTGAATGTAGTTAAAACTGAAGCCATCCTGTGTGGCTTCACCAACACCTCCTCATCTCTGTCTCTGACTGTATTAATCTCCCTGGATATTCAATCCAATCACAGCACCAGTGTGCAATCTTGTTCTTTAAGCCTTTCTTATGATCTTTAACCAAGTTCACTTTCCTTCAATTCTATTTCTAACTCAACCCCAAACGATCCAAAACCCTCATCCATGCCTTTCTCACCTCCAGATTTTATTTTTCCAAAAACCTTCTCACCGGCCTTCCAAGCGCAATTCTTTACAAGTGCCAAATCATCCAAAAAGTTGCAGCCTCTGTGCTTTTCCAAGTGAGGTTTTGCAAACCCAATACCCCCACCCTCAACACCTGGGGAAGAGGAAACCAGTGACCTCCACTGTAAAGTGGATTTACTATGTATTATGTGAACTAAATGAGTGAAGCCATTCTTAGAGTAGACCTTAGACGAGATTTTAGATTAGATTTTAAGAAAAAATGGCTAATTAACAAATGTTAATTGTCTGAAATAATCTATCAAATACGAAAAAAAAGATGAAAATATCGGGGTTATTCAAAGCACCTGTAAATGGCAGGACTGGGAGAGTTAATGTCTTGGATCTTTGAACTTTGATAGGGCGAATCACCTTTCTCTGACTTTTCTTCTGACTTTTCGTAGGTTCTTATGTCAAGTTACTGAGCTGTTGCCCTTTTCATCTGCTTTCTCAGGGCGCTAGTAATGATAATGCATGGTGCTGGAGAGCACAGTGGCCGCTACAATGAACTTGCTGAACTGATTATGAACGAATCCATCTTTGTATTTGCACATGACCACGGTGAGTATTGTTTGATGTCACTCCCTCTAATATCATGGATGGCCACAAAAGTGTTATGGGTGCCACGTCCCAAACTTTGAAGGTGATAAATGGAGTGAGTACAAGACAAAAAANTTCTTTGTATCAGCTCACGTTTATTGTGCATGCTGGCCATTATGTCAGCCATGTGCAAACACTTTTCATGTCAATCTACAGTAAGCTCTTGACAACTCATCACTGCAAGGGAAAAGTGGCAAGTTAGGCATTTGTAGAAATACATAAATAAATGCGGCCGGGATAATGACAGAATGATGACATAACTTGTTGTGACAAGTTAAGCCGGGTTGAGTTATCAGGAGTTTACTGTAATTGCAAAAGATGTAAAAGAATTGATGCAAAACAATGGAATGGATCATTGTAATTATACAGTACAGTAAAATGGCAAGATCATAACAATCCAAAAGGGTTAAGCTGCCAGAAATGACTTCCTCCCTTTCTCAGTCTCCTAAACGTAGAAGCATCTGTATCTGGAGACCAGGCAGACAGCCAAATCCTAGGTGTCTCTACGCTACTTGGACTGGCTTCCTGGAACTCAAGAGGAAGCAGCCTAGGAATGTCATTCCTTCTGTGTTTTTTAAAAAATTCTCCATCAATTATTTACAGTAACAACATTCTATATTATATAAAAATGTTGATTGATTGATTCCTTTATATATACATATATAGATCATCATTCCAATTTTTGATTATATTATAAATTTCAGTCCTGTCTACCTTACGATTCAGGTTGAAGTAAATCCTCAAATGGCTATTTTACAGAAATATTAAATCTTCCTCCTCAGCTCCTGGATCAAAATGTACCCCCCCCAAATTCAAATCTATTATCTTCTCATCTCATTATTGTTGCTGAATTCGCATTTGCCCATATACCAGTCACGTTTATTTCAAATAATTACATTTTGGAAAGCACTTCAAGACATTTTTTGTGTGAAAGGCATTGCGTAAACGCAAGTTATTATCATTAATTACTAAATTCTTGATGTTGCTGGAGTGGAGCACGGATCTTGGAGTGGGTAGTAGCCCCACTTTCGATTCTAGAAACCTTTGAGTATTATTTCTGGAAACCAAAGGCAAAAGCCTAGCTTTACCCTCTACAACATGTATTTTCCCTCTTTCAAGGGAAAGGCATTTAGCCAGGGGTGTGGAATGTAACATTCTAAAAAGGCTGGGAGCGGCCTCTGGGGAGCAGCTAAAAGTTCATTCATATTTATTTAGTGAACATTAGAGAGAAACATTTCCTCATTTACTGGGATAGAAGTGGATACAGATGAGGCATAATGTTATTTTTAACATTCTCCCAAAGTATACAAAATTAGATTGTGGCGTTAGCGCTGTCTGAACCACTGTCATACTCTCTTGAAAAGAGGAGGATGTTTGTCGCGGTGTCAAGGCCAGCAATTTCCCAGAAAACAAACATGTCTGTGGGAATTACTGTGCACAAATTGGCTGCTGCATTTGCCTCTATAATAGTCACTACACCTTACAGTATATACTGTGAAGCATTTTGAGATGTCCTCCCAACATGAAAGGCCTAAATCGAACGTAAGGATTGTTCCACTTCTCAGCATTGATATCATAAGATCACAAGGTTGATTTGAGTGAAGACGATCCATTAGACCCATTTTATTTCATTCTTCCAGAATATCCATCCTAACAACTTCCAATCACACCACAACTGGTGCACCACAAGGTATTGTTCTGGGTTTACTTTTTGGATCCCAACAGAATCCCCTCTGAGATGTCTTATCTCAAGACTTGAAGAGCCATAACACATCACTTACCTGAATGAGCCCAACACTTACAGAAACGCAAAAACAGTCTAAAATAAAAAAGAAATGCATTCCTGACTGTCACACTATAATTATCCATAATCTATTAGGTTACAAGAGAGAAAAATCTCCATGGAGATTCTACACACGAACAGACAGATCTGGATAAATATTGGAAAAGATCCATAACGCATGACGCACAGAAAATACATCCTGGATTTAATTAAAGAGGAAATATCTTGACTAAATTGTACCATATGAAGCAAGGCACTTGGTGCACTTCTTGGGGTCTCTCAATTACCATTGGTTAGTTTTTTTATTCAAGAACTGCTACAGAAATGAGAAGCCCCACCGTAACATGGTGATATTCCCCTTTAATGATATAATCGAGAGGACCTCAATCTATTTATTTTGACCCCTATTATGCCACTAGAGAAGATGTACGACTATTCTCCAATTTTTGCTTGCTTATCTTTGCACCAAAGTATCAATGCAGGATTGTGTAGATTGTGAGTGAGCGTCCATGGCAGCATTAGTTGTGCTTGTGAAAGAAATGCAAGTGACAAACAGGATGGCCTTTTCTCGTTCCATGTTAACTGTTAAGTAGCAAGATGTTTGAGGCCGGGAGTCTGAAATAATTTAATAAGTAGTTTAACATTAAGATGATAGGAGCTCAGAGTGGGTATTCTAGAAAAATGGGATCAGATGAGCTGGAAATCTTTCTTCATTGTAGCTCCATGTGTACCTTTCTTGTGGTCGAATGAATTCTGGAAATCCACTAGCTCCTGGGTGATTAGTTTGGGGTGGGTGAGGGGGGTGATAAATGAAAGCAATGTATCTTGTAGGAACTATTAATGGGTGTAACTGACATTACACACCTGTGCTGTGCCAGTGAGATGTACAGTTATTTGAGCATGATTTATGTTTTAATTACAAAGAAAATTTTTAGTAATAGATAACTGTAAATAATTCTATGGTAGAATTCTCATGGCGGGATTAAGGGAACAGCAAAAGGAATGAAAGTAAAAGTCAAACAGTGTCTAAACATCACCTGAACCCTATATCCTGAAAACACTCCCACAGTCTTTATAATATACTGTGGAGTTCATGGTAGAGGGAGGGGGGATTAGTCAGTTCCTACCCCCACCCCCCTCCCTCCCTGTTGTTTTGCTAATTGTACTAAAATATTAACAACAAAATTACATTTATAAGACGCCTTTCACGTTGGAAGGACATCCCAAAGCGCTGGACAGTTAAGGGTTTGCATCCGAGCTGGGGTTTCGAATCAAGAGTGGTAAGAGGGTAGGGGGGGTGACGGATTGCTGAAAGCACGATCAAAGAGGAAGGTCTTGAGGTGGACCTTGAAGGAGGCAAGAGAGGAGCCGAGGCAGGGGAATTCGGGATAGAATTCCAGAGGTTGGGGGCAGAAAACCTGAAGGCTTTTATATATATTGTATATAATATGTATATATTATCTTAGAATAATCCTTGCGTATGATACATCACCTTATCACACTGAAATGTCTCAAAGCGCTTCATGTGATTTACTGTAGAGTGTAGTGGCTGCGTTTTGTTAAGCCAATGTCATAAAAAAATAACAAAAAGATGACTGTCTTGGTGATCAGCACAACAATAGACCTCATTCTCCCTCCAGTTGCAACATAAAACTCGGTTCAATTTCAATTATTTTTATAGTTGTGAAGCAATCTTGCAGCCATTCCCGCATGCATTCAATCAAATTACACGTTTGATGTTGATGTTTTCTTTGCATCATTTCAACCCGTATTAAAGAAAAGAACACAACACATCAAAGAGCCTTCCTCAGATTCGCAGTGTTATTTTTAGATACAGTATTCAGCTGCAGGAGGCTACACCACAGGTTTCAGAATTCAGCTGAAGTGAATCGAGTTCAGTTGAAACAATACATTCTTTTTATTTTTCCCAGATCAAACAAATGAAGGAACTTTGATTTTAGAATTTTTAAAAAAATATATAACAGCCATTGATTCCTTCAGTGGTTCTTTGTGTTGCTGCAAATTTGCTTGTTCAAAGAGCTGAATTTGTTTGTGCTGTAAATTGTCATTAACTCCTGACCTTTATTTTTTGTGCGACATTCACACACAAATCAGTGGTCAGGAGGAGGAGGAGGGGAAAGTGTTTGAGCCAAATGAAGTTAGTAAGAACTCAGCCAAAATAGACTGCTTGAAGCAGTGCAGAGAAACTTTTGTTTAAATTGAAACCAGCAGTCTCCAGAAAAGGATTACACATTGAACAGAACATTTTTTTACTTTGTTTAGCACAATGCCTACCAGTATATGTAGTTAGAAGCCCATTTACTAAGTGCCCTTTCACCACTCTGAAAAGAAACGATTTTTGCATTTTTTAAAATAAAACTAAATTGGTTAGCCTGAAATTGGGCAATCCTCTTACACAATTAATTTAAATTAATCATTGTGGGTTGGAGTTCAGGCAATTACTGGCAATTATGCTGCTGTAACAAGCTGAACAAATACAAGGGCTGAGCAGATTTTTCCACTACAGTGTATACGCTTTTTATACTTTGTGGTGTTATTTAAATTGTTAAACAATGTGAAAAGCACAAAAGTTACTGCTTATTATTTCTGCTACCGCATCATTAGAGAGCGTGTGAATATTGTTATTCCTGCTGGTTCCTTGTTAACAGAACCTTCTTCCGAAAACTCGTGTTTCGTATGTGAAAAAAAGAGTTTTTGCGAGCTTCTTGACCACAGTTGCGGGATTTCTTCCCACCCTCAGCCTCAGTCTTCCCTTCTTCACTACAATCTACATGCTTTTAAAACGCATCTTTGGCATCAACATGCCATTACCTTTTGAATTATTTACTCATTTCAGCTCTGGTGGCTTCCTGCCATCTGCACTAGGTTCTCAAATTGTTACAGCCACAAACCTGTGCTCATTCACCCCACGCACATTTCATATTGGCGTGGGGAGAGGGGAGGTGGGTGGTGAAGTCACTCCATACTGATCAACAACAACAACTTGCATTTACATAGGACCTTTCATGTGGGGCAGGGTCTCGGATCAGTCAAGATTTCTGATATTTTCTTTCTATGGCGCATGGAGACTTGTGGTACCATCGCCTCGTTTTACAATTCCACACTTTGTCTTCGCACTAATATTACATTACTCTCCATTTGGTGATATGTGAGATCAAAAGTTTAAGGAACTCATTGGGTCACTGATACTAGAAGTTTCCTGTACCTACTGGTGTTTTACAGAAGAGTGAGATGGGCAGATCACTGTAATTGTGGCCCCCGCCAATGCCATACTGAAACCGGCCTCAGGAACGGCATTACCTCTCTCATTTTCCCTGCCCGACACACATATCCTCAAAAGTAGTACAGCTGTGTTTGAGAATCACTTCAATTTTTGCCATGCTTTTAAGGTCAAAACCAGTAAGAGCTGCTGGATAAGTGGAGCATACACATCAGCAGCCACAGAGAAATTGTGTTAATTGTAGCATTCTCGTGATTTGTTTATTCATGTGCGAATTTCATTGTGTGAGAATCTGCGTGAGAGACGAGATGAACCTCCTCCCCTCCTGTCCCCCTTTCCAGAAGTGACTCTTTTTTCAAGGCAAATGCAAGGTGCCAAAAAATAACACGAGGTAAATGATCTTTTGACCCTGAGGACAGTTGGCATGAAAACATTCTGTTCTCTTTTTGAATAGCGTCATGCAATCGAGTTAATGTGCACAGCAGTGGGGACCTGAATTTAATGCTTTTATAGAATCATAGATTTATGCAGCACAGAAGGAGGCCATTCGGCCCATCGTGTCTGTGCCAGTTGTTTGAAAATTCTAAATCCAATTCATTCCCACTCCCCCGCTCTCTCTCCATAGTCCTGCAAACTTGTCCTCCCCAAATAATTATCTACTTCTCTCTTAAAAGCTGTTATTGAATCGGTTTCCACCACCCTTTCAGGCAATGCATTTCAGAACTGAAGAACTCGCTGTGCAAAAAAAAATTCTCCTCACCTCCCCTCTATTTCTTTTAACAACCATTTTAAATCAGTGTCCTTGGGTTACCGACCCACCCGCCAGTGGAAATAGTTTCTTCTTGTTCACCCTATCGAATCCCCAATAATTTTGAAAATTTCTATTAAGTCTCCTCTTAACCTTCTCTGCTCCAAGGAGAATAATCCTATTTCTCTAGCCTTTCCTAATAACTGTCGTACCTCATTTCTGGTACCATCTTGGTCAATCTCCTTTGCGCCCTCTCCAATGCCTTGACATCCTTCTTAAATTGCGGTGCCCGGAACTGAACATAGTCTCTAGCTGAGGCCTAACCAGTGTTTTGTAAAGGTTCATCATAACGTCCTGACTTTTGTATTCTATGCCTCTGTTTATAAAGCCTGGTATCCCATATGCTTTTTTTACAGCTTTATCTACCTGTCCTGCCACCTTCAAAGATATGAACCCCCAGGTCTCTCTGTTCCTTCACCCTCTTTAAGATTGTACCATCTAGTTTATGTAGATAGCCTGACACCCAATGCAGACTCCGAGTAACACTGGACTTCGTAAGCCTGAATCCAATCATAGAGAGGATACCTCCCCTCCCCTCAGTCTCCTGGTGTCCTATAGCTGCACTGATTTCCAACTGGAAAAGGTGTGGATGATGGGCCTGAGAATTACATTTTCCCTTCTACCCCATAGGAAGCCACCATGCCTCGCAACTACCACCTCAGCGCAGACGAGAATAGCAGCTCAGCGGGTGGGTTATCTTTCCCCATGTGCCATCTTTGAACAAGAGAGTAGTAACGGAACAGTCTACCTTTAGCTTCCATCTTATTGCTCTGAAATCAGTAGCGCTCACATTACTTCCTCTAGCATTCCCTTAACATTACAAAAAGCTTCCCGTGTGTGCAGGACTGTACAGGTGTGAACTTGCCGTTTAGGACTACACAGCACAAGTTATTGTGGCTCTTAACATTTGCGGAGATTCCTGCCCGATGCAAATCGTATCATGCATTCCTTTAACAGCACAGTTTTGATCAAATGATATATAGTTTGCTGGTCACAAAATGCAGTGATTTAAATTGCGCCAAAGGACATGGTTGCAATAGCAGTGAGCAACTTCTGCCACAATAACTCAAGGCTCTTTTCCCCTCCCCGAACAAACATGTTAAATTGCCAGGAGGACATTACCCCTTTAAGGCTTTTTATTTTTTCCTGACCTAACAGGGCTGAATGGGGCACAGTACTCAATGTGGGTGTGCTACTTGTTTATACGTTCAATATGAACTGGCTTCACTCAGCGCTGAGAGCTACTTCACAATCCAAATCCATTTATAGTGGGTTTTTTTCAAACCTCTCTCGACATAGTGATTCACATTGACTGATCGACCGCCTTTATAAACTGATTTCTTTTGGTCTGGAAATAAAACGCTTGCCAAACAGCTACAAATTCTGTCACAGGCAGTCCAGAAGCTTCCCATGCTTACTCCCTCTGCACCCCCCATCAACATTTTGCTTAAACCCTACCGAGCCCACAGCTAGCTGTCAACAAGCCATCATCGTTCATATATTCTACAGACTTTATAAAAGATCACAGACTGAAATGACCTGTTTAAAAGTAATCTTCCCTCCCCTTCCCTCCTCCCCACTCTTCCTATTCAAATATTTTTATAAAACTTCTTCTTGCACTTTAACTGTATTGGAAGCAATGACCTGTAAGGTATGTTCCACGTGGAACTAGTTTTGTTTGAGTGAATATAGCTACCCTTTGACCTTTTTCGTCAGTAGTCTATCCACGTCTTTCCAGTGTTTTCCTCACCTTTACCCCACAAGGCAATTTGAGAGCAAATCTAATCCTGAAAAGAGGATTATATTTCCTAACAGACCATCAGAGGTAGTTGGGACCCTCATGCGATTGAATCACATAATAATAATAATAATAATCCTTGCATTTGATGTTGCGCCTTATGTCGTTGAGACATTCAAAGCGCTTCACAGAATATACTGTAAAGTGAATTGACTGTATAATTTGTGGGTGAAACGCAGCAGCCAATTGTGCACAGCAGTGTCCCACAAACACTTATGGAGTGAGTGATCCCTTTTTTTTAAAGGATTATTACCCCCCAGTGATCCACCAATCGACTAAAAACTTTCCTACTTATTCCTAGTTAATCCGAAGCATATGGACTAGGGAAACTTGCCTAAGGTTTTGCCCTGCCTGGAATTAAACAGTTACTGCCATTACATTGCCTATGTTTGCTATTTCCCAGTAATTGTTGACACTAATATTCAATCTTACGCCCAACGGCCACAATAATATTTGGTGTAGGAAGTGGAAAATGTCATGGCGTGGAGTGGGTGGGAAGACATACTTCTGATGCGATATTAACACATTGTTGGTACAGAGGAAACGGAGCATTGGTCCACATCTAAACTGAGAAGCTTCCCTTGAGAAGCCTACACTAAGTACATTAAATAGGAAGTTGTTCCATCTTTTTCCCAGTAGTGCCATGCCACCCCTTGATGAGCAGATAATTTTGTTGGAGTTTAACTAGTTAAAACGCCTGATTTGTCATTGTGAACAATGACAAGCTTCCGATGCTTGTCCAGCTAGGACCATCCTACCATTTAGGTATTTGGCTTGTGGGGCTATCAGGGATGAGTGGGAAGAATCCCACTCCCCAGTGACTGAGAATCATAGTAAAGTAACATAGCTATATTTTCAGGAAGGAGTAGATTATCAGTCCATCTAACTGACACATCCAATGTCCTTCAAGGTTCTTTAAAAGTATTTATCTCTTAATTTAATAACCTGGAATTCTTTAGCTGTAGTGCACTAACAATAATTTCCATTTATACAGCGAATTTTCCCATAGGAGAAGTATTTTACAAAGATGGAATTGGAGCCCAAGTTAGGGAGCTGCAGGTATACTGAGCCAAAGGCATATTTAGAGGAAAGAGGTTTTTACACAGGTTTTGAAAGCGGAGAGAGGGGGGACGAGGCAGAAAGGGAGTACAGAGAGAGGGCTGAATGGTCTTTACTGAGATCCTAAAGAAATCAAGCTCCTGCTTGTCAAAGTTCTGCATACTAAGATGGCTGTTAAAAATCAAGTAACAGTATTCAAACAGAGCAGGCACTTTCTCCCAGTGCTCAGGTTAACACTTTTTAATTATTCATTTGCCTCATGATTTTTTATGGGACGTTACTGGTACAAACGACTGCTGTGTTTGCCTAAAAAAGCACTTGCACTTGACAGTAATTACCTGTGAAGCACTCTGAGGCATTTCTATGCAATAGATACACTTATAAAAGAGCGATTTATTTGTTCCTTCCTGTTGCAGTACCTGTGCCTGTAAAGCATGCCACCACACTTTCACTATGACAAATCTCCCTGTGCTTCCTATTTTCTTTTCTTGACCTCACTTTGAAGATGTAATTTTACTAACTTTCCCCCTTAATGGATTAGCTTTATTTCCAGCACATTAACCCTTCCCCTTTCTCCATCAGAGTGAATACCCTGGTTGTTACCCTTCATAAATCCAGTCCAATTGATCAGATAACTTGGGCTGAAAGGAACTTATAAACACGCAGGTCAACCTTCCCAGGAAGATTAAGACAAGTTAAAGATTTATTGGTGCAGAGAATGATTTGAATACTTTGAAATAAGCTGCTTGCTATCCACTGCAGAAGATGCTTCCAATTACTTTAAAACTTTAAAAAAAACAGCAGTTGAAAGCTAATTAATCTGTGAAGGGACTTTCGTAATCAGTGAAAAGATTAATGGACATTTAATAGCTTCTGGCATTTACTTCATAAACATGTCTTCTTACTTAGTTGGCCATGGACAGAGTGAAGGGAATCGGATGGTTATTTCCAATTTTCAAGTATACATACGTGACTGCTTGCAACACATTGACCACATGAAGGAAAAGTACCCAGGTCTAAACATTTTTCTAATCGGCCATTCTATGGTAAGTGACCTCGAATGGAATTGAATGGAATTATTTTCCTTGTTTATATTAAAAAAAGTCAAAGGCTCGCTTTTGTTATATTACGAGAAGTGAGAAGAAGCTTGATTTATACTTTGTATATTACTTTGTTAAAGCTATTACAAAACAATTTTGGAATTCTTTTGATATTAACAAAGATAAATTTAAAATGTTCCTCTTGATCTCCTTTTGATCCTTTTACCCAACCCCACGAGTTCCCATAGGATAATCACCATTCAGCCCTTGAAACCCTTTTCACCATTTTATTTCTCTCATTTCCCTGATTTTCTCCATATCGTTTATTTCCAGTTGCAGGAAAGGTCTCAAGCCAAAGCCCGAACAGGTTGGGTGGTCCTAGTTATCCAAGCAGCCAGTAGTTCCCAGATAGTTCTCTCAATGGCAGGCTATGTGGTCTTAGCTGATTAAACTCCAGGAGTACCCTAATGCGTGCTTTGAGGCTCCCTTCAGAGAAAGAGTACGCATTCAATTCCAGATATGGCAGCTTCAATGCATAGATGGCGTATATCTGTAGAATTCTGTCTGGCTTGTATATTCGAGCATACTGATGGGATGTGTCAAATATAATTGGCTGACATATCTGATATATGATAAGCCACTATATGCAAAAAATATTATTGTTATAATGTGACTTCGTGGTGAAAAACAAAATGAGGAGCATATTAACTAGCAACATTACACACTGAATAACTGGATTGAAGTAGATCAACAGGCTAGAGTTCTGCTTGAATTGTTCAGTGTCTATAATTAAAAAGCAATATTTATCTCCAACACAAAAATCAATTAAAAAAATTATGCAACTTACAACTCAGCAGGTCTGCCTGTTACTGATCTGATCGGTCCAAGGCAAATAATAAGAGGGAGAATGAGCTGGACGTGTGTGCTTTTATTCTAAGCTATTGCATAACCCATGTTCTGTATTTCATTTACACCCAATCTCACACCATCAATCAAGTTAATGGAATGGGGTCATGTCTTAAGGTGGCTTCAGTGAAATAGTCATTAGTAAACATGTTTGGGGAACGGAGAACACTCATGCTTGGTGTGGCACTGTGTAAAAGATGCATTTTTTGGGGGGAGGATGGAGAGAAAATGATCAGCCAACAGCAGTAAATGTCCGATCCGAGGTATCAGGGTTCTGCCAAACCTGGAAAAAATCAATTGAAATCTACACTCTGGTTCCCTTTTAGGGTGGAGCAATCGCCATCCTCACAGCGAACGAGAGACCAAATGATTTTGCAGGGGTGATGTTAATAGCACCTCTGATTACCCTGCAGCCTGAAACATCAACTCCCACCAAGGTAAGAGGGGTGGCATAACACAACAAGCTGCCTGGTGACTTGCAACATCTAATTACTTTTAGCAGTGCAAGTCATTTTACATCTCATCATTTGTTTGCATACCATTGTGTCCAGCTGTTGCAGTTTCCAGCAATCTCAGCCTATTATCTCTGGATACATTTACAGGAATTATAATCATCAATCTTTTAACATAAATCGAACATGTCAGGGCTTGGACGCCCTGACAGAAGTGAAAGGCTGGTATATTTACCCAGTGCCTTTAAACCCAGACCATTATTTAAACCCATATAGTACAAAACTGATGGCAAAGCCATTTACTCTGTTGGCAATCCCTCTTGCCTATGTACATCTATAATTGTATCTCTCTGTAGGCTTCTTCATTTAAGTAGAATCTAAACAGATCCTGCTCTGTAAGAAGGGCATTGTGCTAGAAACCTGTGTGGATCGTTTTGAATCTATGTAACGCTGTTCTCCTTTCTTTCCAGGTGTTCCTTGCCAGGCTCCTGAACTATGTTTTGCCAAATATCGGTCTTGGATCCATTGATCCCAATTTCATATCCAGATCAGAGGAAGAGGTAAGTTTCTGGAATTTGTTGTTTTGTTGTGTAAGGAATTTAAACTTTAAAAAGGAATTCCAGGTATGTGCGCAATTGGCTGCCGTTCGCCCACAAATATACAGTCAATTCACTTTACAGTGTGTTCTGTGAAGCGCTTTGGGACGTCCTCCCGACGTGAAAAGCGCTATATCAAATGCAAGGATTATTATTATTATGTTGGTTGTGTTACGACCTGATCAAGATCACAAAAGAGATTCAGTTCATAATTTACCTCAGCCTTCCAGAATAACAATCTGGTCAGATTAAAGGCAGGTGGAGCAAAGAATATTTGGAACTCAGGAATAAAAGAATGAAATCAAAAGGGCCAGGCCTTCAGAATGAAAAGCTTTTCCTATGCTTGGGGGAATTCTATGGTGATCTGTACATTTGTGGACCTTCATAATATGAATCTACGGTGAGAAACCACAGCAACATATATAAATTTAATGAAATCAGAGTTCATTGACTTTAAAGATAGCGATCCTGGACTCAAGACATTTTTGGGTGTGTGGAAGGAAAGGTGGGGTAGATTTTTTAGTAGACAGGTGTTTCCTTTCAGTTCATTCATGATAACATCCTTACTGAAACCAAGTTAATCCCTATATACTCTAATTACTGGCATTGATTTGGGTGCAGCTTTGAAGGGAGCAGGAAACCCATCCTATGGTAATTTGGAAATGCTATACACACAAGACCTTTAATGCACCTTAGGAAAAATGATTGGAAAACCATATCATTCTGTGTCTATGTTTGCACAGGTGGGGAGGAAGAAAGAGATAAAATCAGCTGCATTATGAAATTCATAATGTTACAGTGATGGATCACTAGCCCAGACATAAAAAGGCAATATTATGCTGATGGCTCTCTGTTGACATTTGTAACTCTCTCAAGCATTTAGTTTTTTGCTTTACAAGATCATCACCACTTAAGTTTAATAGCTGATAACTCACTGGGCTCCCTATTTTGGTAGTTTAGAATTACATTTTCTGCAGATAGTTAGTAGAAATGTGACTGCTGAGAGAGACAGAGGGTTCACAGTTTATAGTTCTAAGACAATGCCACTGTTAAGTCTTCCAACACTGACAAGCCATCAGCTAATATAAAGCTCCAAGGAATTCATCAAGGATTATCCTCCTAAAAGGTTGATTCAAGGTCGGAGTAAATTGAATTTCCATCAACTGTATCCTTCGAATTTCTGCCAGTGACTGTATTTATCTAGTTAGCCAGGTTATATATAAACCATATTTAGAAGTGATGAACAGAACAGCTTTCTTGTGGCTGCTGTGACTGCATTTGTTCGAGTTTCAGCTGGAATGATCTATACACATGTTTGCATGGAGGTGGAAAGCTAATTTATAGGCACACAAGAGATATTGGGTTGATACCAAAGTATTTGTCAATATTATGCTAACAGTGGAAGTGAGTGTCACTGCCATTTTCAGAGAAGGCTGGAAGAGATATTTTGTCATGCAAATATGATGCAGTGATATTTGTGAGATAACTACATATTATTGATAGGTTAGTTGTTAATACACAGTTGCGAAGCTGATGAATTTGTCATGTTAGGCTCTCTTTAAGTAATGCCCTTCCTGGGGAAGGGGAGCTGAGATTATTTGAATACAGAGATGAAACTGGATGAATGTCTAGTTATAAGGAGGATTGACAGCTGCATTAGATGATTAAAATCTCCACAGTATGGCTCCCGTCCTGGCATAGCCATGGGAATACAAGATGTCAGGCTGAAGATCTAGGTTATAATATTGATAGTCTGGAGTCTGGGAAGAACTGCAGACTTTTTGCCTGCTGGAAGTTTCACCCCATGGTTACCCTTCAAGGACACAGCGTTCCAATCAATGTGTAGCTATCCTTATACACAGTCAAAATCACTGAACACTGCATTCATTTCAACTGCTAATAGCAATTGATTGAAAAGTGTTAATGTCTCTCGCCTCAAATTCTTCTCAAACGTGGGTGATTAATTTATTGGTTGCAATGTGCAATTTCATCCTAAAATCTGTATTGAGATAACCTGGCGGGTGAGTGAGCCTTAAGAATTTTAACCAACATTCATCTTCAACACTTCCATTTTGTTTATTAGGTTATTCCTTCCATGGGCATTGGAGTCATGAATGCTATTTAGTAACCTACACCCATTAGTAACACGTTTCCTCATTATTGAGGATTAGCCAGATGAACAGATGTCAGTCAATAGCAATTGGAATCTTCCTGCGGTGCAACAGTCTTGGTGCTTGGAAGCTATTGGTAACAGTGTCTTGTAGTCAGTGTAACAGGCACTGTAATATCACTGTTTGGAACTTTGCAAAAGGAAAAATAAATGAATTAAACACAGTGCATTCAACACTTGTTCAAATTTGAGTTTAAATATTCATTGGATGGCTCAATTTCCACTCAAGTTGATAAACCAAATACCGTTGTGCTTCGATTCTAGTTCTCAATTAATGACTCACGCGCGTATTCAGCAGAAATAAATTCCTGTCCTCTGTTGGATTATGCATAGGTTCCCCCTAGGGAAGTATGAGCTCTTGAGAGAGATGTCAGGAATTGGGGGAGGGAGAAAATGAAGGAAAGGAACAAGATTAACTGCTGCATGATTACCATCATCTCCTAGGAGATGCCCTTTGTGAGGGTGTTTGTTCAAAGGTTAATCAGCAACTGAGTCATACTGAAAATTAACTCCCCTGTTGATTGATTGCCTGTACCAGTGGGTAAAAATGTAAAAATGTACCCAAAGGATATTAAGCATCGTAAAGAAAAGAACATTAAGTGGTTAAGTGCTGAATGTTATTTGCAGAGGTCATGTGTACATATCAAATAGGCAGCAGAAAGCCAACTTGGAAGAAATATTTAATTTGCAGTGCAAGAAACTGGATATAGAAGTGAGAGGTTATACCATATACTTACCGATATACACAATACATACCATTACAACACCTTAATAGCACAGAAACAAGAGTAGATCAATCATCTTGTCAAGCCTACTCTACCAAATTACTGGATCATGGCTGATCTACAACTTAATCCCATTTCTTTTCCTTTCACCACATTGCTCGGTAGACCAACTACCAAGTACTACTCGATTACCCTCTTAGATATTTCAATTGACCTGCATCTTTTTGGAGTAGTCAATTCCACATCCTATGTGAGAAAAGCATGTTCTCCGATATCACTTTTAACAATGGTCTAAAGTGAAGAATCAGTTGAGGTGTTTAAAAGGGATATAAGATAGGTGCTTTTGAACTAAGAGAATTAAATTTGGCTTTGGAGAAAAAAAGTGGGGAAATGGGTTTAAAAAGTTAATGAATAATAATAATAGTGGAGCAGGCTTGATGGGCTGAAATGACCCACTCCTATTCCAGTGCTTTGAGTTAGGAGAGTCAAGTTAAAGAAAACATACAACAGAACATGCATGTACAATTTACACCACCACAAATCACACAGCAAAAATGCCAGCAGTTTCCTGGCCTTAACAAGTTTCCCATGGTCTGAGTTGTGAACAGCAAAGTTGTGACAAACACCAAGTGATTCTTTGCACCAAGAGTAATCAACTGCTAGAATGAGTTAATGGAAAAAGTATTTGAGACCAGGACATTGGACTCATTTAATAAGCTTGCTGCTGTAATGGGAACACAGCAAGTTTGGTATTCTGGAAGGACAAGAATCAAATTGGTTAAAATAAATTTCTTCATCTAGAACTTGTGATCTGTTATGTGGAAGGAACTTGTTTGAAAGGCCAAATAGCTAATTCGTATTTCACTTTTTTGAAATTTCATTGATGGATCGATGGACGAACAGAACACTGACATAATATAAAAACCTTAGCACACAATAATGAAGTTTTATTGTAAAAGTACTGGTGGTGGTGATTTGAAAAATGTAAGCACGTTAAAGAATTAACTTTTGCTCGCACGGTGATTTGTGTAATGTGGTTGAGCTGTAATAGTTCCCATGTTAAATTGTATCGGGTCTTGCAGGTGAAGAACTATATCAATGATCCTCTGAACTACCATGGAAGTGTAAAGGTTAGCTTTGCAGTTCAACTGTTGAACACAGTTGCCAGGATTGAAGAGATTCTGCCAAAGATCACCTGGCCATTCTTGCTGCTCCATGGTGAAGCAGACAAACTGTGTGACATCAACGGCTCTTACCACATGTACGACACAGCACCAAGCAAAGACAGGACTTTAAAGGTGATGTATTTTTTCCATAAAGAAATCCAGGTTAACTTGGAATCTTTTTTACATAGTGCATGAACTCAGTGCTGGGAAATGAATTACTTCTGTTTCAGTTATCAAACACTCCCAGATCAGGTTACGTTGTGGGATAGCAAGTAATAAGGGCGGGGGGGGGGGGGGGGGTAGGGAAAGATCTCACTTCAACTAGATATATTAAAAAGTTTTAAGATATAAATATTTATAAAAGTGTAAGATGGAGAAAGATGGTACAGTATTTAGTGAGTTAAACTCTACCTCTTATTTTTCAGGTCTACACATCTGCCTATCATGTGCTCCATAAAGAGTTGCCCCAAGTCACCAGTGAAGTGTTCACAGAAATTCAGAAGTGGATTGTCAAGAGGTTATAAACAATATCAAAAAAAAATTGTTCCCCAGATTTTGAAAAAAACTAATTTTTTTACATGGTCTGCTTGACCAAACTAAATGTTACAGAAGACGGCTTTCATTCACCCCTTTCCCAGCGGCAAATCCAAATGTTTTCCCCCTCTTCCTCCCCCATATATATTCTTTGGCCTAAGATCGATCTGATAAAATTATTTTATATTCCAACATCAAATTAAGACAAATTATAAAATATAATTGCCATGGGCCAATTTTGTGTTATCAATAGATTTGTAAATATGTCTTTGTATTCACAAACATGTTGGTGCAGGTTATTTTATTTACCTTATATGAAAGCCCTTTATTATTTCTTTTGAATGTAAATTGTTTCCTCTTGTGACTCAGTATCTTCTATTCAGGATGTCCCTACAACAAATTTACATTTATATGGCGTGTTTCATGTCAAGAGGATGTCCCAAGGCACTAGGCTGTTCAAAATGGAATCTCAGCTTTATACAAATAGTTATTCCCCGTCACACCTGGAGTTGCCAAAAGGCCAAACTTGGAGCTAATCTGGGGTACATGGCCATTTGATCCCGTCTGTTGTGATCTTGCTGTTAGAGTCCATATCATTCATGGCCCCAGACAGCAGTCTGCAATATAAACTCCAGCAACTTTAACTAATCCAATTGTAAGAGGTGCCATCTTTTATATGAGATGTTGAACTGAGGTCCCATCTAAGGTTGACATTAAAGATCCCATTATACAATTAGAAAAAATGTTTCTCTTTATGTCCAGATTAATTGGTCGTTCACTCATGGGCTGTTTGTGGGACCTCATGATATTTGCCTACAAAAACAGTTGCTCCATCTTGACAGTAATTACTCAAGTACTTTGAGCCATTTTGTCATTATAAGGACTATAAAAATATAAGTGTATTCTATGCAAGTTTAGTCTGTAGATGGAGCACATCACATAGAGAATTATCTCATTGATTGTTGGCAGGTGTGCCGTTCCACATTTTAAAATGTTTCCCTCATTCAAATCAGAGCAATATCAACTATGAAGATAGGGATTGAGTGTCTCAAATTAAAAAAAAGGTATTGAGGTGGATTAAGAGGGTAATATGTCTAAATAAGAATTATATTGCATGTTTAAGAGTGTTATTGTATTGTAACAGAGAGTTAACTGAAACTAAGTAAACTGTTAATACAATTTAAGAATTTGTTGTAAGAATTGAGCCTGTATATATTGGGAATGTATTGTACTACATTAATTTGGGACTATATTCAGTACATTAATTAATAAATTTTATTGCTATTTCATTTGTATGATGAAAGTTCCTGCTGTAGTATTGGAATACGTCAAGTCTTGTCCTCTCCAGCCATCTTGTTTATATGTGACGTTCAGCTTCTCTTGCTGAAATGCCAGTCAAGTGTTGGGCAAGAGCAGGTGGCATTTAATGCAACACTCTCAGCCTATTTTAGGAAAGTTTAAAATATCCTCTTCTGCCATGTCGTGACTGCCAGGAGTGAAGCCTCTTCACTACGATACAGAGCAAGGTTTACACAAGTACCCACTTCATAGCGCATTTGGCTAATTCCAGAATTCTGTAGATGGGCAGTTAAGCAGCAACATGAAAAAAACATGAAAAATCATGTCATCTGAGAGGTTTACTTAGAGGTTATTAAAATTGCTGACTAAACATTTTAATACCATTAAAAATAGCCTGCTTAAGTTCTCAGCCTCTCTATTCATCTCCTTTCCCTCAAGATTTTTCATATTGGGCCACTGGGGGAGACTGGGATCTGTTCCATTTATATTTACAGACTGCAGCTAACGTGAAGTGCATTCCTCCTGAAGCTCTCTCTCGTTCAGGTGGTTTTGGCAGTAGCTCCTGCACAATTGCTAAATCCCCACTTACACTGAATTAGCATCATCTGGGCAGATTAAACACTCCATTAATCCATAGAATAAATCTATGAGACAACATGAATTGCCTAACTAGAGAAATACTTCTAAATCCATCCATCTAAATCTAGAGTATGAAAATGTGACTAATTTGAATAGAAATTGTTATTTCAATTCAATAGAATGGACAAACATTGATGGTGATGTGATATATCACTGCTTTGTTCTTCGAGTTATTGGACAGGAGGCTTGTATCAAAGTTCATCACTTAAGGGCAGTACATAGAACGAATCATTAGAGATAAAAAGGAAAACGGAGATTGTTGGAAATCTCAGATCAAATTAAGAGTGTCAGACAGGCACAGGTTCATCCGCATCTGTGAGCGAGCGATTTTTCATTCTGTTCTGATGGAGGGTTAGATCCAAAATATCCTTAACCTATCTTTCTCTTCCAGGTGCTTATTATATATTGTATTATATCCAGATCTTATTGTAGCATAAATAATTGCGTCGCAAGCGACAGTGTCTTCATTCAACTGGCTTCTTTGCAACTGAATATTTGAATGGAATCCCAAGGTTAAAGAAACCTATTAAACTCTTTGTCTTTCCCATCAAACAGGCATTTACAGAAATAGAACTAATATCCTCAGGTACTCCAATTATCTCTTGTTTGATCGGGTTTGTGCAGTAATAGTCACGTTGAGTATCAGCTTGTAGACAGAAATGGAAGAGAGCTTTTAGCTGCAATTCGTTTTGTTTGCTGACAGTTTAAATTGCTTCTGGATGCCATGACAAATACAATTTTCCCAGGTCTCTTAAACGAGTCAAAAATGACAAGGGATCTTCATCTGTCCGTTTTATTGTACCCAACTAGTAATCTCCAGTGCTCGAAATGCTGAAAATTAGCTCAACCGTGTTGAGTGGTACTTAAAACGTACAATGCAAAGAAAGGAACAGGAAACTGACCATTAGCAAAACAACTACACACATGCTTGTACACAAATCTGCCTCTTGGCAACAAATATCATAAATGTTCCTTAATTCGAACAGATATCACAATAGAGTCAAAGTCTAAAACACTGTAAACTTCTTAAACAGATTTAAACTTACCTCTCAGAAATTATTTTTCTGCCAATGATGAAATGAATCCCAATGATCGTATTGATAAACTGGTTGACTCCAATATATTAAAAAAAGGTAACTATGTAGGGGAATGATCAAATGTTAATCAACATCACCTTTTACCCTTTAAATTTGGGGACTCAAATGGCAAGCTTCAAATCAATTGAACTTTGTTCTCTTGGGTTTGAGAGTTAGGTTAAAACAAGGTAAACCTGTGAGGAGCAAATCGAGATTAGGAGGGGAGGAGGCTTATGTGGCACATAAACACCCGTATGGACTAACTAGACTGAATGGCTTATTTCTGTGCTGTAGTGTTTTACGTAATTCTATCTACAGAGCAGTTCAGTGACATTTCAAGGGATTAGCATTCCCGGCATATATTACATAAAGAAAAAGTGGAGTAGAAAACTAATAGGTTATTTTCCAATTTGATCATTAAAGCTAATGAACAAGTTTAGAGGCACTGGAGGAAAGAAAGACATTAATGCATTCTGATTAGCTGCAGAAAGGGCCACTGTGCATTCAATACAGCAATGCACGTTCATTACTATTAATGAAGGTATAGATTAGTATTCAGAAAGGTAACAGTGTACTACATTTCCTACTGCATAAGATAAGATGGTGATAGGATGGTGTGGCGGGAGACATGTTATGGCATTTGAATGCATGTCTTTCCCAAACTGAGTCACAAAATACTTCTCAGTTCAACCTTGTTTGTCACATCTCATTGCATCAATGGGGATAATTATTATTATTATGATTATAATTGATGCCCCATCAAAGAGGAGAGTTTGTAAGTCAACCGCGGTTGGTGTGAAAACAAGCTCAGACCAGTTATGGTAATACAAGAACAGGTTTAAAACAAAAAGCAATCATGAACTTTTTTTCAAATGCTTTTAACTGTTCAGTCGTACAATATTTATCATTTTCACATCGCAGAGAGACATAGAAATTAAATACAAATATTTTTAAAATACATTTTCTATGATGATGATTTTCTGTCAGTAGCTTCCCCAGTCAAACAAGAGTTTAAGTGAAGAGCCACATCTACCAACACGCAAACCTAGCACCGTATAGCAATGCGTTACAATCTCAACTTTAGATTTGATTTGGACTATCGGTCGGTCCCGGTCAGTCAGTCAAACAAATCTCCACTTTGATGTTAAGAGTATTAGAAGGTGTAGACAGGAAGAAATTCTTATAGCTAATCAAAACTTTACAAAACTTTTAAAAAAGCAAATATGAACAAAATATATTACTATCCTGTCGTACCAGTTACTTATATTAGAGCATTTCAGTAACAGCTACAGTATAAATATGGAAACGGTAACCTTGTTCCTTTCATACAATCGGTTTCATTATGGCAGAGGTAATTTACAAACGGTTGGTAGTCCAATAGTTACCAGATACTACTGACAATCATTGGATATTGTGGAAAAACTGTTTCCCTGTCTGCCTGCGAAAGTCTGATGTAGAGTATTTCGAACAAGCATTAAATTGCACAAGATTCACCCCAATAACGAACACAGATCGAGTCATGCATTGGATGAACGCTCATTATGTTCAGTGTGAAAATAAGCATTTTAAAATGGACACTTATTCAGTATTTTATCATAATTTGGTGGGGCACCAGAATAATGCTTTTATCCACATCATGTCTTCATGACAATGCAAAAAGATCTTCCTTCTACAGCTTGGGGCAATTCAATATACTCGATAAAAGCAGAATTGCCCAAGAGTGACAACCTTTCTTTCCCCCAGCCCAAAATATACGCCTGTTTTTTTATATATAATATATATCACACACAAACGGTATAAAAACACAGTAATTTTAACGTTCAGGCATTCTAATTTATTGTTTTGGGGAAAAGAGGTCCCAAAGAAGTACACACAGGGGTTTATCCTTTTCAACTCTGTTCTGGTCAGCCTCTGCACTGACTGAAATTGAAGGTGACCTGCTTCTGTTTCTATAATTGAACCAACTACTAAATGGGTATGACAGCTGTTTGATCATTACTTGATGTCTTTCCCTTGGATTGTGATCTACCTCTCCACGGACCAAAGCCTGATTCACCAGGTAGGTTCGCTATATTATGGATGTGGCAATGTCACAGGAAATGATAGACATGAGCCAAAAATCAACTACTGTAAATGCAGGCACTTGGAGCTTTCAAATAGATTAGGTTGCAAACTCTAATACCATAGTACATTTGGTGGTGAAGGGAACAGCAACCCAAACCTGGAGACAACGCTACCTTTCCCGAGATAGAGACCAGACCGCAGAAGCCGTCACCATTGGCAAGGTGTTCGGTTTATTCTACAAATAAGCAAAGGATCCCTGGGAATTCATTGGAAGCAGCCCTTAATATAATCCATAAAGTAGCACACAGCAGCCTGTTAGCAAGCGATTGTTCACAAGAGGTGACAATTGTGGTAGTAAACAGGAACAAAGCAAATTAGGCAGTGCTTTGCAACTCAAATCACACATGAAGCCAGTTTTGGAGAAAAAGATAAAGCGGGCAAATAATAGTAAAATGATCCTCTGTGCAAAACAAACATTAGGATGAATGGTACCGAGACTCACCATGAATCACACTATAGGTAATTCTGCCATTAAATAATCCTTGCATTTGATATCTTGGGAAATTTCAATTATCAGTTACCAAGTGAAAAACTAATAGAATAGTAACGTAAGCACAAATATAAAAATAGATGTTGGCGCTCAGTAACTTGATCTCCACCTGTGTTCTTATTTTGTATTTAAGAACCACAATAATTAAATGAACTTGCTTGGAACAGCTGTCATCTATTCCATTTCCAGTGCGACCCTAGGCACAAATAACCACTATTGACACACTGCTCAAAGAATATTCATAAATAAGCTCAACTTGTATGGACTGGGAGCTGTTGCTCAAACTATTCACTTGGCATGATCCTAGGAAGACTGAAATCTGGTTTGGTTTGGGCATATAAAGATCTGCACTCATTTAAAAGATCCGACCTGATCCCTTTAAACTGTGCTGAGCCAGAATGTACGTTACAAGTTTGAACAAGAAAAGGACTGTAAACGCCTTTTGATTTAATCAACCATCACTTGCATGTCTGAACATTTTCAACAACTGAAACAACAAAGTCACCTCATGCACAAAGCAATCGCACCTCCAACCTACCTGCGGGCAGAGTCAGACAAGAATTTAACTACCACAATGTGGGATGGTCTAAATCAAGCTTTAAATTTGTGCATTTTGATTCAAAACAGTCAAGAAAATGTTTACTGCAATAACAGCAAGCCAATTACAATCGAAACATTAAATTGTGCATTCATTCACTATTTTTTCTAAATGATCACAAACATCTCCCAATACAAAAAACAACTGTTCAACCTAAACATCCCCCAAGTCACTGCCGACAACAGAGATTGACATGTAATTCATCTGAACAGGCGTTTCAGTGGAGAGCTGAAAATTAGAACATTGAAATTGATAACCAAAAACTTTGTGAGTTTTGAAATTTTGATTCTACCGAAGAGATGTTCTGAAAGCAATTTGGAAATTTATATTAAAATAAACCTGGGAACATCAAAAATTAAAACAAATTGGAACCAAATATTCTTCATTATTTTACAAGATATACAGGAGTGCATAGATAACCATATAATTCTTGTATTCTCACATCTCTTCGCTTATCAAGATCAGCGACATGCTGACAAAACAGGAACCAAACTGATAACTTTAAGATAAAGTTTGACTTAAACAATAAAGAAAAGAAAAAATCTCTTCAGTTGTTCTGCAACTTGGTGTCCCATGGATAAACATGTGACAGCATTTAAATCCTTATTTAGCAAAGAAATTCAAGTCCTAGTTTTAACCGCTGAATTCTGTAAGATAAAATAATTGAATACTGCTTTCTTTTGGTTTTAAACTACTTTTTTTTTAAAAAAGACAGCATTGCATTTTGTCAGTCTGCATAGACTAAGTTAGAAATATACCAAAACCTCCATACCTCGGAGAAAAAATAGTTAACCCGAAAATACGTTAGATTTACATTCCGTAAGTGTTCCGATGGGAACTGTAAACAGTGACTTTAGTCAGGCGAACTCTCACAAACTCAAAACTGCACACAAATGTCCATCCACAGGGCAATCAGAAGTCCTCAGCTAATTACATGTCTTGTAACAGCTATTTCACAATAAAGTCTTTAAGAGAAAAAACAACTTACCTGTTCGACAGGCTGGCCGAGCAAAAGACCTATCAAACTGGATACTCAATAAATGCCGAGGTGCAGTTTTAGGGATGGCACATCCCAAAGAAAGCAGAAGACGGGTTTGTCTTTTTTTGACCAAAGCAAGCACTAATCACTGAAATGATTCAGCACACTCACATGCAATCTGTCAATTCATCCAACATTAAACGAATGGTTCAGATACAAAACATCTGTCTTTGCCGGGCAAGAACAGCATGTCAGAACCAGGTTCCACGATATCATGACTAAGAGTTCACAGTGGGTTCTGACATGCTGTGCTTGCCCAGCAAAGACAGGTGTTTTGAGCTGAGATGACCTTTAGTAAAGTGCCTGAGTTACTTTAGGAACTAGTTCAGCTGCTTGAAACTTTGCATGGACCAGGGGCATCTGCAAGGTGAACAAAAGTGCAAGGGCTAGAACAAACTGCATAGGGGCCGAATTTGGGCCGTACCAATTGGAGAATCCTGTATAGGTTCCACCGTGTTGGTTTCATAAAGGCCAACAAAAGGAACGAGGTCTTTATAATGAATATTCTGATCCTCAACATGAGAGCTGCTAATTGAAATGTCGTTGAGTTGAGGGAAAATAAATGGAAAGTGGAGTGGCTCAGTGTTGATGTTTGCCATGAGGTGAGCGAGCGAGAGAGAGCGACGTTTAACACTCGAGTTCCAATCTGGTCAGCAGCTCTTCCAATGCTTCCAGCCTCTGATTGGCCTCCTCGATGGCACTGTAAGTCTGCACGTTGCTGGTGATATGGAAACGTATGTCATCCACCAGAGGCACAGAGTCCGTCTCTTCTCGGGCCTTCACCGACTCAGCATCGTCTCTCACCGCTTGAGCAAACTCTTCCGATTCTACAAGCTGCAGAGGACAACCGGAAAACTGAGTTGGTGACTGCAATTGAGGCATTAAAAAGATATTGACAGGATTCCCAATCTGTGCGCGCTGGGTCAGATCTCGTTTAAGTTCAGCCCCAGTTGAGAATGGATGGAGCGAGGAAACCTCGGCAGCAGTTCACCAGGATGATAGTGGAGGTGAAAGGACTCGAGTATGATAGAATGCTGAGCAAACTGGGAATTTACTGTTGTGGTTCATGGGGTGATCTGATGGCAGTGATCAAAATAATGAAGGGAATTGACGAAGGGAATAGAGAACGCATCCTCACTCTAGATGGGGAATCTCGGGACAAGATAAGACTTCAAAATCAGAACTAAGGTGATGAAGGGGAAGTCAGCCCATTCACACAAGGTGATTGCCTTCTCTTTCGCACCCCCAAATGATTCCAATGCCCCCACCACATGCCAAGATGTGGGCACTTGGCAGCTCTTCATATTGAAACGTTAGTGGTATCAGTCCTCTCGATCTGAAAGCGTTATGTCAAACTCAGGGATTTTTTTTATTGTTATTATTGCCTGAATCTGGAAATAACATTAAAATCACAATTGCTGCACGTCAGCCCAAAACTTACCTTCTCGACAATTTTAGCCATATATTCTGTGCACTGGTCTTCTAGCCTGGTAAGTCTGAAGAGCTTTGCTGTTTTCCAGACATTGAGTACATTGTCCTCACACAATGTCAGGGCCAGTGTTTTCCCACAGAGCCTCTTTAAGCCGGGCAGAAGGTACATGTCAGCCACGCACAGCACCTCAAAGGCAATCTCTGGAGGTAACTGCAAACAGAGAAGGGAGAAAACATCTGTAAAACATCTGTGATATTCCACTGCAGGGCGCTGCAACTTCTCAATCATGCAGCCAATGCTGGCAACTGATACAGTGGAATCATGAACACCACCAATACCACCAACAACTTGCATTTATATAGCGCCGTTCACGTGCTGTAGCGTCCCAAAGCACTTCACAGTGGCGGAGTCTGACACCGAGCCAGTGGAAGAGTGAGGTGACCGTAAGCACCATCAAAAATGAAGGTCTTTAGGCAGGATTTGTAAGTGGGGAGGGAGGGGGCAGGGCAGAGGGATTGAGGGATAGAGTTCGAAAGTAGTGGCTGAACACAGAACCACCTATGGTGGAGCTGGGGAGACCAGTGAGGAATAGTCCAGCCGGGAGGTGACAAAGACGTGGACAAGGGTTTCGACTGTGTTGGTTGTATCACTGGCCCTGACATTGTGTACGGACGGAGACAGGCAATGTGGCAGAGATGGAAAAAAGCAGGTCCTGGTCAGGGAACGGATGTGGGGTAGAAAAGAAAGCTGGGGATCAAACCTGACGCTTAAATTGCGCGCGAGCTCGGTAAGTCTGAGGGAGAGCACGGGGAGGTTGAGGAGTTCAGACCCACAGGAGAGAAGATATTGACAGGAGCCAAAGAATATGGCTTCCGTCTTGCGAAACGCGGCAGCCAATTGCGCTCAGCAGTGTCCCACAAACAGTCGTGGATTGAGTGGCCAAATTATTATTTATTTATTTTTTTGAAGGGATTATTACTCTCGGAAAAGCGATCCGCCAATCGACCAACAACTGGGTTCCTACTTACAGCTGGGTAAACAGAGGTGTGTGGAATCAGGAAACTAGCCTAAGCTGCCACCTTCTGTTAAAAGAAATGATCAAGGGAAGGTCAGACCTGCCAGTGAGATAATCACCGCACCAGCCATTACTGCCCTCTCCCCAGTCATGCATGTTAAGTCCGTCTTCTTTGCCTTCGCTAGCTGTTTCCCCCTTACACCAACCCCACACCCTTGTTACCTTCTCAATCACTCTTGCCCTCACCGCGCTCTCCTCCGGGTGCCTCTGCCTCAGGCATCTATAATAAATAATAATTCTCGCATTTGATATAGCGCCTTATCAGGTCTTCGAGACGTCTCAAAGCGCTCCACAGAATATTACAGTAAAGTGAATTGATTGTATATTTAGTGGGCGAAACGGGCAGCCAATTGCATACAGCCATGTCCCACAAACAATCATTGATTGAGTAATCAAATTATTAGTATTTTTTTAAGAGATTAATACACCGGAAAAAGCTATCTGCCTATTGACTAACAACCAGGTTCCTACTCACTGCTAGATAAACAGAGACGTGTGGAGTAAGTAAGGAAACTTGCCTAAGCTTTTGCCCTGCCCAGGAATCGAATCCAGGTCCTCTCGTTTGCGAGGCGATTGCTCTAACCAATACACTACAGGACCTCAAAACCCCAAAAGATGATAAAAATAAGTCACACAGAATAAATGATTCACACTGAAATGTTCAGTAATGACACATACACCTCAGGTCTGAGCTTCAGCGCCTGCGGCTGGGTTGTCTCCTCAATGATTAATGCTAGTGGAGGTTTGAATACGCAATCCCCTGTCACACAGGGAAGTTCGGTGATCTTGGTAACTCAGAACCATTAATAGCAAGTGAAAGCATATTTTGTTTTGCAAGGATAGGGAAGGAAAAAGAGGAAATGATTTGAGCAGTTGGCTCACTTTGCAACAAAGTCAACAACACATACAATCTGCCATCGACAAGTAGGCTCGCTGCAATGTTAGCACCATGTATCTATTGGCATGATGTGGTAGCAGAGACACATAATAATAATCCTTGCACTTGATACAGAGCCTTATCACGTCTTCGAGACGTCGCAAAGCGCTTCACAGAATATACTGTAAAGTGAACTGACTGTATATTTTGTGGGGATGCAGGAACAGAGAGACCTGGGGTGGTCACATAAACAAACCGTTAAAGGTGGCTGGACAAGTAGACAAACCTGATAAACTACCTCCGACTCCCCCGATCACCTTCTGCTTCTCCTTCAGAGTCTCTATTCCAGAGAGAGATTTCAACTGGCAACCAGCCAGGGTACAACAACAGGTGTGTAACTGCCTGTAACCCTGGAGATCACACGTTACAGCTTCCTCCAGCACAACTTGGTGTTTTGTTTGAAGATTTTTTTTGGATGCATCAATTATCGTTACAATCTTTGCAACTCTTTCGAGGGTTCGAGGCCAAGAGGGCATGGATTCGAGCTTGTGATTTGGAGATGACTTGGAGAGGTTTGGAAGAACACCCAGAGGAATGTCAGCAGAGATAGAATAATTTGTCAGAGGCGTTGTTACTGTGAGAGTCGATTGGTGCATTTTAAAATATAATTGGACAGGCAAGGGCAGAGGAAGGGGATTAGACGGGGAATGAGCAGGGAATTAGAATTAGGATGCTTTGTTTCTTGAAGGAACAAACGGCAGAACAAAATAATGGGCTGAACGGACTCCTACTGTGTAGGGGCAAAGCGTGCCACATTTCTAATGGATTCTATATTCAAATCCACTTCTCAATGTGCAAGTTGAATTGTAGAGCACAGCAAGCTATGCTGGCACCTGGTGGCACACTTCAAATATTGCACAAGGGGAGGCAAGAAGTGGGAATCGATTTCAAATGTGCTGCTTATTTTTTTAAGCACATTTATTCATAAATGTGTAAAATTGCATTTTTTTTTTGCAATGCGAACCTTGTTATACAGGGAGAATAAAAACAAATATTATTCTGATATTCTGACAAAAACTAGTTGCTCATAACTAGATACACAAATCAGGATGGTGTAATAATAATCCTTGCATTTCGTACAGCGCCTTATCATGTCGTTGAGACGTCTCAAAAAGTTTCTCCGAATATATTGGAAAGTGTATTTTGTGGATGAAACGTGGCAGCCAATTGCACACAGCAGTGTCCCACAAACAGTTATGGATTGAGTAACGGCATTTTTTTTGGAGGGATTAATATTTCTGGAAAGCAATCGGCCAATCATTAATAACCGCGTTCCTATTTACTGCGAGGTAAACAAAGGCGTGTGGAGAAAGGAAACTCGCCTAAGGTTTTGCCCCACCCGGGACTCAACCCGAGTCCCTTTGACTGGAAGTTTCAAAAGGGAATTGTATATATACTCGAAAAGAAAAAAATGGCCAGGCTATGGGTAAAGAGCAGGGGTGTGAACTAATTGGGATAGCTCTTTCAAAGAGCTGTTGGACCAAATGGCCTCCATCTGTGCTGTAGGATTCTACGATTCTAAGTTTATTACTAAAACAGCACAGGGCATCTGAAAGCATTGCATCTTACCTCAGTCTCATCACTGTAGATGTAGTAAAGGAGTCTGATGAAGATTTCCTCAGTGATATTGTGGAGGCTGATCATGGGGATGCTGGGCTGACTCTGAAGTTCCTGACTCTCACAGAAATGATCCTCCAGCAAAGCTCTGAAATAATCACTGCGACCACAGAAAAACGCCTGCAAAGAATAAAGCGACACAATTGTCCACGGTGCTGAGGCAGTGTTCCAATCCCTCTTCCTTGCCTCACTGCTATCTGAGGAGGAGAGGGTCAGGGTACCTGTGGGAATGGCAGATACCTCACAGGATAGGAGACTGGAGAGAGGAGCACGAGGGGACACAAGAACAACAAATTACATTTGTATAGTGCCTTTCACGTCAGGAGGACATCCCAAGGTGCTGGACAGTCAGGGATCCGCACCCGAGCTGGTGGATGGTGTCAGATGGGGTGGCGGGCTGGGAGGGTAGGGGCAGGAGGGTGACCAAAGGCACGGTCAAAGAGGAGTCTTGATACGTGGCTTGAAGGAGGCAAAGGAGGGGGCGAGGCAGAGGGACTGTGAGATGGAGTTTCAGAAGGTGAGGGGAGAGAGGCTGAAGGCACGCATGCAGATGGTGGGGCGGGCAAGCTGGGGGACGTGAAGCAGGGCTGGAGCCCGCTAAGCGGAGGGAGCGGACAGGTTGGTAGGGGGTTAGGAACAAGGCCAGAGAGAGGAGCCCGAGTGGATAGGAGTACTTGCACCGCTCTGCAGGAATTCTGCTTCAAAGCAAATGATGTTTTTATTTAACGAGCGGCAAATAAATTTTTAATGCTCGACTTGGATCTCAGTCGGAGCCAGAACGATTCAGTGGGTGAACAGCAAGGGCATTCTAATGAACTAGTTGTTTCAGGGCTCTCACAAACCTTGTGACAGAGGAAGTTATAGCCTTTCACCCTGAAGCACAAATCAGGGTAGCTGCTGAAGTTATCTGTGCTGTCGAATGGCAATTCCCCAAAACCAACCTGGGACAGAAAGAGGATTTTATTACAAATCAATAGCACAATCCAATTAGTCTAGCTGCATGTAATCCTGGAGGAGTTAATTTAAGTGAAGGGTGGACGACAAGGCTTCTAAATTAGACCTTGATATTTGATAACCATCAGTTAACTCCAGGCACTCCCCATATGTACACACACATCCCATACCTAGATACACACACTCACACACAACTCCCATACATACACACACAGTTCCCACTCTCACACCGAGAGATGCACACACATAAACACCACTCCCAAACACACACACACAATTCCCATGCAAAAGATGCGCTCTTAAGCCATATAAATATTGTTCTCCCATGTATGCAAATACTTCATCCATACAACAATTCAAGGATTCTGCACTTTATAAAACTGTTCTTCGGAACTCTCCCCCAAACGCCACTCTTCCTTGCAACTGATCAGGAGGAGAGCACATGAGGAGGTGGTGGAAAAGACGACAAGATGGTGTAATATACAGCGTGACCAAAACGTCGCAATATCTACGCTATTATCTATATAAAAAAAACTATCATCATTTCTCTAAGACTTATTAGACATTGTAACAGTATCACGACTGTTGGTCACCCTGTATTTTGATATATTCCTCTCTTTCCACTCATTACTGTGGTTGATTGATCGCTCGTCCTAAACAAAACCTTCAGAGTTATATGGTAAGAAACAGTAATGAGGTTGTATACCTACCCGCAGCTCTGCGGGAAGGGCACAATCAGCGAGAATAGCCAGGTCATCCTGCAATGTGCAGTTTTCCTGAGTATCCAGGGTCAGAACTGTCACACAAGTCCCAGGCTTGGAGGAGACTGTAAAACAAATGAGCCAGCAATGGATCCAGACTCTGTTGTTAACGCTACATCAACAAATGCAAAGCAAACAAAAAGATTTGTATAAACTTCCGGAAACCGTAAAACTTGGGGAGAAAATTTACACTGAAAATTTGGCTTCATTCATCTCCCAACTTTATCTGTTGTTAACTTTAAATTAGGATTTTCATTGTTTTCACAAGCCGAACGTTAAAGCATAGACTCGGTCATTGGCGTCGCTATTCCTGTGACATGACCTACCACTCCCCATAGCCCAGAAAATGGGGAGTGTGAACATGTGACCCCGCCAGTGCTCTGCCGTCTATAGGAATAATCTTGGGACAAAAAATATCTGGAAAACTCAGTTTTAAAATAACCACACCTCAAAATTCAGTCACTGCACTCCACAGTAAATTCTGTGAAGCACTTTGAGATGTCCTCTCAACATAAAAGACGTTACATCAAATGAACAGATTTTTACAATCGAAGAATTCAATAAAGGGCAATAAGCATCTAGTTTTTCCAGGTCAGTGACACAAGAAGTGAATTTGAACCCAAGCCTCTGCCAATGTCTGACCATATTGAGCCGCTGACTGAGTGGTTGCCCTCTCCATAATCACTCAGCCTGTCTCCAAGTTGTCCAGCCCAGGGCCTATCAGGGGAGTGGGGAGAATCAAGACCTTCCAATAAGAAAGCAAGGACTGAAAAATCTTACCAAATTCATAGACTTTTTTACATTTGTTTTCCAGTTCATCAATCAGCAATTGCAGTTTGCATTGCTTTGCTAAGATTTTTAAGTCTTCAATATTTCCAACTTCAATATCTAGGTGGCCTGTGGAAAGAAAGTTGTAAGCATGAAGGGATGTAAAATGTCTGTAGCCTCCATCGCATCCTTTAGAACCAGTGCTTCAACCAGCTACCAGCTACAGTTATCTTTGCCTATAAAAATGCAGTCACTATACTTCAGAGTAAATCCTTGAAGTGCTTTGAGGCTTCTTCCCGATTTGAAAGACGCTGTATCAGATGACTGGATTGTTTATATACACCACAAATTGACAACTGCTAGTCTGTGGTCACTTCTTACAAAATATCGACAAGTTAAATTCTTAATGGGACACGCAAAATTAAATTACATAGAATCACACAGACTGTACAGCATGGAAACAGGCCTTTCGGCTCAACTAGTCCGTGTTGGTGTTTGTACTCTGTAGGATCTTCCACCCCTCTTCCCTAACCCTCTTCCAATGCCAGCCAAGCTTCGTTCCAATGGGCCATTATTTGCACAAGTCCAGGTAAATCAGTGTTCAATCGGTAGTTTGTTTCCAGGTTTCTCTTGAATTTTTCAAGAAATATTCAATCAAGAAAATTTATTTTGTGGACCAACAAAAACGTTGACCACCAGTGCTCTATTCCCTTCTCCCTTATATACGTACCATTAGATTGATTTTCCCCGGTGAATGACAGGACTGGGCTAACACAGAGACAATACTGGCCCAAATTTGGATAAACATTCCTACAGGTCTTGGTATCAACGCATTTAGTGATAACTGAACAGTTAAACCTAAAAATACAGTTACTAAAACTTTACAGTAAAATCTTTAGAGTAAAATGCTTCAAGACGTTTTGACAATGTGATAACTGCTATATCAACTGCAAGGATCATTATATAACTGCCATGCATTTTTTTTTAGTCAAAGTGATTATATAAAACATAGATGGATACTCTAAATCGGTATTTAAGTGAACTTCACATTAGTTTCTCCAAATACTGGGTGAATGTGGCAGCTTGCTACACACCTGTGTAGAGATACTGCAAAAGTGCTTGGAAAGCCATGGGATTAACCTGTGAAATGAAACAGAAATATAAGATAGACTGCATTTTAAGTGTTTTTATAATGTATATAAGAACACTATAATATAAAAATATCCATGTACACAATAATATTAATCCTTGCATTTGATACAGCACCTTATCATGTCTTCGAGACGTCTCAAAGTGCTTCACAAATATACTGTAAAGTGAATTGACGGTATATTTTGTGGGCGAAACGGGCAGCCAATTGCAAACAGCAGTGTCTCACAAACAGTCGTGGATTGAAGTGATCAATTTAGTATTTTTTTTTAACGAATTATTACCCCCAGAAAAGTGATCCGCCGATCGAATAACAACTGGGTTCCTATTCCTACTTACTGCTGGCTTAACAGAGGCACATAGTCACTGTACAATGCCACTGTAGTAGCTATGTATAGAGTGCAAGATGCTCTTACAAACCTCTACAGGATGAGTTACTGATCTCACCTGTGCTGCTGTGGGGCGACGGCAGAGAGGGTATTATTACCCCGGGTTCACCTGTGTCTCCCTAAAACAGGAAACAGACCACTTGCACACTACCTCTGTTGGGGATTTTTCACATCAGCAGTAAAAGTGAACTCCACATTGGTTAATGTCTGGTTATATCTTCTCTTAAAGCTAATACTGAGATAAATGTTTAATGAAAATGACTTGGGCAGAATAGGTCAGCTTGGCTCCTTCGGTATCACTCTCGCCTTGGGAGTCAGAAGCTTGTGGGTCTAAGCTCCCTGAACTCAGAATTTAGGCTGAGACTCCAATGCAGCACTGTGAGAGGTCTGCAATGAGGAGATAATATTGGGCCACATCCAAATAAAGCGCTCCTACAGCACTTAGTGTGGACAAGTTCATGTTTACCAAACAGATTGCGCAAGGACTTTTGAGAAGTTAACCTTCAACTTAACTCTTTCATCTTAACTCTAGCTTTGAACAAAACACACTCCAGAGTATCCGATCTGGTAAACAGAAATCTAGTTTGTTTCAAATTACGCAAGCAGATAAGATTTTTTTCATCTTGTGAATTAAACTGATTCGTTTCAATTCATTTGAGGCCTTTTGGTTTCTAGTAAAATGGATTAAGGGTGTGTAAAAGTAACGGAGAAAAACTAGCAACCAGCTCAGATTGACGAAAGGATCAAAGAGTGTTTCATATTTCATAGAATTGTACAGCACAGAAGGAGGCCATTTGGCCCATTGTGTCTGTGCCGGCTCTTTGAAAAGAGCTTCCAAATCAATCCCTCTCCCCATAGCGCTGCAAACTTGTCCTCCCCAAATAATTACCTACTTCTCTCTTAAAAGTGGTTCTCAAATTGGCTTCCTCCACCCTTTCAGGGTCCCAACAACTCGCCTCAGGGTATCACCAAAAATAAAGCTAATAAAATTTGGCTGTTGATTGTTCCTGGAAATCCTCTCGCAGGTAGGGCAGACTAGGAAAACAGTCAATAAAACAATGCTCTCAGAACTCGGGAGCAAAATCCGCCTCCTTGAACAGCACTTTCAATTTAGTATGTTTTACACAACCTGCCTGCCGACACACAGACTAGCACTGTAACAAGTCACACTGGAGTATTCCATTTACACACACCACTTGTGGTTAGAGCACTCGCCTCGCAAGCGAGAGACCTGGGTTCGACTCCTAGCTGGGCGAAACGCTGGGCAGGTTTCCTTGCTCCACGCGCCTTTGTTTACCTAGCAATAAGTAGGAACCCAGTTGTTAGTCGATTGGCGGATCGCTTTTCTGGGGGTAGTGATTCTTTCAAAAAAGTAATAAATTGGTCACTTCAATCCACGACTGTTTGTGGGACACTGCTGAGTGCAACTGGCTGCCGTGTTTCGCCCACAAAATATGCAGGTAATTCACTTTACAGTATATTTTGTAAATCGCTTGGAGACGTCTCAAAGATGTGATAAAACACTATAGTAAATGCAAAGATTATTATTATTAGCGCTGTCAAGCTTCACAGAAACAAGGGGAGGCCATTCAGCTTGCTCCACTAATTCATTAAGCAATGCTGGATATTTTAATCCTTTCTCTCTGCCTATGTTGCCTCTCGACTCAACTTCTCCTCCCTTGCCTCATAACGAATCCTGATGCTAAAATGCTCCAAGATGTCACACTATGTGATAATGCTTTGTTACTTTAAAGAACTCACCCATATCACCCCTTCACCTGCTCATCTCTAAGAAATGTAATCCGTCTACCAAGCTTCTTATCATAGCTAGGCCCCTTCCGCCCAGGTATTCACCTAGTTACTATGTTAAATGTACATCTTACAAGAAAAGATTTTTGGTTCAATACGGCTCTCTGGGAAGGGGGAGGGTAAAGAAAAGCTCCTCCAAAAGCTTAAGGCCAGCTGTGCTCACGCCTGATATCTGATGACAAGTTCCTTTGCCTAATTGGGGATTTCTCGCTGTCGAAGTATTGTTTCAGTGTTGACTGTTGAATATTTTAGGGCTGTGGTGCTGAGGCTGCAGCCATGGTTACAGATGCCATTCAAACGACGAGCACAGTGAGTGTGCAGCTGTTTGATGTTCTTAACAATAGCAACTGGCTCCCAGGAAAGTCATTCTCCTGAGGTTTTTACCCAAGGTCCACAAAATGAACTCCATACTCCACATACATACAGATTAAGGGTCATGTTAACAGCTCGGGCTTTGGGCTCCTCATGGTACCAATTATGTCACGTCACCTGCATTTGACACAGAGCCTTATCACCTCAAAGTCTGCTTACGAAACACGTCACATAAAAATAACAACCCTTGCAGTCGATACAGCATCTGGGTCACATTGTCGAAATGTCCCAAAGCATTCGAAGGATATAATTTGAAGAGCAGTGACTGTATTTTGTAGGCGAATGTGTCAGTCAGTTTGTAGAAAGCAATATTCCACAAATAGCCATAAAGCAAATGACCAATTTTATTCAGGAGATTGTTGGCCATGATACCAGGAGGAACTCCCTACTCTGTTCGAATAGTGGGATGTTTAAAGTCCACCTGCACAAACAGACGGAAACTTGGTTTAACATTGTATCTGAAGGATGGCACCTCTGACAATGCAATGCTCCCCCGGCATTGCAACAGAGTTATTAGCCTAGACTAAATGAGTTTAAAGTCCTGACTTTGGGCTTGAACCCACAACTTTCTGATCCGGAGGTAAAAGTGCTACGAACTGAGCTAGACTGACAATACATTAGTTTGAAGTGCTGGCATAGACAGTAACTAATGGAATTCAAGCCTACATCCCACAATCCAGCATACAATTACACAAACCTACACACTGTGTGAGGTGAGAGGCTTTAACAACAACAATGTGCATTTACTTAGCACCTCTCACACAGGATAGCATCCCAGAGCGTTTAACAAGTGTAGACAAAAGAATGGGCAGGCATTAATCAAAAGAAACTGAAGGCTTCTCTCTCTCAAGTTGCCCAGCGTCAGTGAAGTCATTAATGAGCATCTTACCAAAGGGTTCTTGAGAGCAATCACATTCTTTCCCTTCCACTTGGTCTGAAACATTTCGGCAAAGTAATTTGATCGTGCGTTCAGCACACATCGGTGGGCTTTGAATGTTTCTCCGTGAACTATAAAGGCAACGTCACTGTAACGACCTTGTTCAAGCAACCTGCTCCAGAGAAACAAAAAAGGTCACTGTTTAAAAAGCCACAATATCTATCTTTGAGCCCTATACTGTTGCATTTAAGCTACATCATTTGAAAATGATCATTCTTCAGGGATTACCCATTGACTGCCATTCTCGTAGATTATTTGTGGCTCAGATGTTCTGTCAAAGAATGTAGAGTTTGTCAAAAATTTGAGGCAAAATTCAGTTAAACTGAATTCAAGCTTCACATGCAAGTTTTAAACAAACAAAATGATCAGTGAACACTTGTTCTAAATTAGAAATGTAAAATAAGTCTTTAAGTGCCTTGGATATCGTCTTCGAGTGAGGATGCTATTCATACCAGCTTTGACCGTGAGTGTCAGCTGGCGTTTTGACAGTGGAGTGAAATCCTCGGCTGGCTTGCCCTTTCCTAACCCGGGGTCATTTAACCAAATGTCATTCCACAGCTTAGAACAACCAACTCTGTACGAACTGGGATTCAAACCTGCAACTTTGCTCAAAGGGTCAATATGGCCCGGTACCTGCATGCATTTACTAAGCAGTATAAAGTACGGAGAGCAAATTGAATCACTATTCTTTTATTAACTGCAGCATACAAGTTATGAACATTAAATTTTTTCCACTCACTCAGGGTTTCAGTTCCGTTCCATGAAAAGATTAATGTATGTAGCGATGTTTACAAGCAGACCACACCGCTACCAAACACAAGTTCCTACCTTTGCAGAAAGTCATCATAGTAATCCCTCTGCATGCCCTTGGCTGTGATCTGTTTGTACTCTTTCAACAGCCGCCGAATGGAATCGTTGAGCGCTCCATACAAACAGCGCTCAGCATCAAATGTGTTGGCCTCGCATTTTGCGCCTGTAATACAATGGATTCCAGTATAAAGTAGGATTGTTTCAGCCACAGCCAATTAGAAACTTAATTTAAACAGTTAATTTGCTGATTCAAAGAATCACGCTTCACAAAGGTAACATTTAACAACATGAAGTGGATCACAACACTGTCTTGCTAAATGTTGTGGAGAATGGCACATAACCGCACAGCAAGAGGTGACCGAACAACAACAACAAAATTAGATTTGTATAGCGCCTTTCACATCGGGAGGACACCCAAGGCGCTGAACAGTCAGAGTTTTGGACCCGAGCTGGGGGTCGGGATTGGGGAGGGTGGAGGGCAGGTGAGGGTAAATCAGGGTGATCGAAAGCACGTCGAAGAGGAGGGTCTTGGGATGGGTCTTGAGGGAGGCAAGGGAGGGGGCGAGGCGGAGGAATTGCAGGATGGAGTTCCAGAAGGTGGGGGTGCAGGATGGAGTGGCAGAAGGCCAATGGTGGGGCGGGCAAGGTGGGCATGAAGCAGACCGGAGCCCGCTGAGCGGAGGGAGTGGGCAGGATTGTAGGGCGTTAGGAGGTCGCAGAGGTAGGGGGGAGCAAGACCATGGAAGGCTTTGAAGGTGAGGATCTGGATCTTGAATGGTATCCTGAATGGTGTGATGGAAAGCCAGGAATTGGGCGAGGATGAGTAATAGGATCACGGAGCTTGGTGCGGGAGAGGACACGGGCTGAAGAGTTCTGGATGATCTGCAGCCTATGTAGGGAGGAGTTGGGGAGGCCAACAAGCAAGGAGCTTGCATAGTCAAGCCTTGATGTAATGAATGTGTGTATGAGGGTTTCGACAGCTTGCGGTGTGAGACAGGGCCGGAGCCAGGCGATGTTGCGGAGGTGCGGGAAAGCAGAGCAGGTCATGACACGGATGTGGGGTAGAAAGAATAGTTGAGGGTTCAAACAAGTCGCTAAGGTTCCGGACTGGCTTAGTAAGGTGCAGTGTGCATCCATGGATGGTGATGCTGTCAACGCCTAAGGTGTGGAGGCGCTGACGGGAGCCAATCAGGAGGGTCTCGGTCTTGTTGATGTTCAACTGAAGAAAGTTAGCTCTCATCCAGGACTTGGTGTCTGACAGACAACAACAACAAGATTTCATTTATAGAGCGCCTTTCACATCGGGAGGACGTCCCAAGGCGCTGGACAGTTGGGTCAGGACCCGAACAGGGGGGAAATGGTCAGGATGAGCGGAGGGAAGGGAGGGAGCAAGACATTCAGTCAGGATACAAGACACACATGCGAACATGGGCATTTTAATAGCTCCTCATTTAACTTCTTTTAATAGCTCATGATGAGGTGAGCAGTTTATAGTGTCTTATCATAATCACAGTGCCTCACGGGTTTTGCCCACAAATTACAGTCAATCAACTTTACAGTATATTGTCAAGTGTTTTGAGACATCTCAAGGACATGACAATGAGCTAATACAAGGATTATTTATCAATATTTAGTGCATCGGCTGCTATGGAAAGTGCTTTGATCATCTTTCTGATGTGAAAGACACTGTATAAATGTAAGCTGTTGTTGAGTGGGTATTTGAGAAAACTGCTTGTCGAACTTCTTGCGACATACTTCACTGATGTGTGAATCACACTCCAGGCCATTTAACCAACACATTTCCTCTCCAGTAAATTACGGTAACAGTATTAGGCCATCCACCCACCTGATTACCTCATCGTGACCCATCTCAGGCAGGGCGAAACCTTGGGCAAGTTTCCTTACTCCACACGCCTAATAATAATCCCTCCAAAACCAAAAACAATAATAAATTGGTCATTTTCAATCTACGACTGTTTGTGGGACATTGCTGTGCGCAATTGGCTGCCGCGTTCGCCCACAAATATACAGTCAATTCACTTTACAGTGTGTTCTGTGAAGCGCTTTGGGACGTCCTCCCGACGTGAAAAGCGCTATATCAAATGCAAGGATTATTATTATTATTATTATTATCTGCAGCACCTTCCTATCACAAAGCCTACACAAAATACAATAATGCTCGCACTTGTTACTTTTCAAGTCAGGAGGATGTCGCAATGCATTTCACAGGAATTACTGTTGGGTGGTGACTCTATATTGTTAAGCAAACACAGCAGCTAATTTGGTTACACCCATGTCTCAAAAACAGCCATGAAGTGAATAACCAATTTTAATCGGACTCCAGGAGAGAAGTTCCTTTCTGTTGTTGAGTGCAAAGGGATCATTAACTGCAACCTGAACCGGTAACTCCCAACAATGCAGCACTCCCCCAGCAATGTACTGGAGTGTCAGCCTAGACTGTGAGCTCGCAGATCTGATGTTAGGCTTCAACCCAAGATCTTCTGACTCAAAGGTGAGAGTCCTAACAACTGTGAGCCAGGCTGACACGAGCAAGGCGTATCCCTCTAACCCCTGCTAAATATATCAACAGAGTCACAACTTACTGTTCTAGATGGTACAGTGTAGTCCAAACCAGTTATCTAAGCTTGGGCAAGTTATTCCACAAGTGAAGTTGAGGTTTCAGCTGCTATCAACTGTTGTCACATTCTCTGGCTCAATCTTTCCTCGTTTGAGACAAGATACCCCCACAGCCTCAAACAAAACTGCTTAATAGGAAATGAGAACCAATGACGTCAGGGAAACTATTTTCACATAACTAAATTAACAAACACACAAACGCAGTGCATCGTCAAAGACTCATGATAGAAACTTCGGGATCAGACTTGAAGCTTTCTTCCATGTGTGCAATTCATGTTCTGCTTAATGCTGTCTCAAATAAGCCTATAAATAAACAGGCACTACACCTGTCAACAATTATCTTGAGACATTTTGACATTATGGGTGCGATAAGAAATGCAAGAGTTATGATTTATTTACACTCTAACCATGACACATAAAGTCAGAGAGTTTTAGAAGTGTCCATACCATTGCTGAGCAAGTATCGTACAAGATCCTCATGCCCACACAGACACGCGTAATACCTGGGCATGAAAAAAATCGAGTGTTACAGCGCAAAGTCATTTTACAACTAGCACTGCCCTTAAAATAGGCAGCAACTGCCGAGCATTCAAACATCAAGGAAACCTTGTTGCGGAGAGTTCCCATCTGTAAATAAAGGAAATCTCTTAAAACAAGTTAATGAAATTACTGCAATTTATGAAGTACTGATTTCAAGAGGCTTAAAACCTAAACATAACCTGGCACCACATCAGAATAATGCTGCGGTTACACTCTAAGGTAGCAGATTGAGGGATGTTCCTGGAGTATTGCTATATAGATGGATATTTACATTTTAAAAATACTCTTACAATATTATGGGAGCAAACAAAGATAGCAGTGGTGGTGAGGGGTACAAGGTAGGAGACTTAATTCCATTACTTGTAACCTATACCACTGTAGGGAGATTGGGAGGAACTTCTTCACCAGATAGTGGTGGGAATGTTGTGGTTGAAGCAAAAAGCATCAATGTACTGTATTTAAGAATAAACTTAATGCGTACATGAGGAAGAAGGGAATAAAGGGTTGGAGTACCAACTTCAGCACACACTGGTTAAGTCAAATGGCCTGTTTCAGTCCCGGATCATTCTATGTAATTCCATGGGGAGGGCCTCTTACCCGCCTCGCCAGTCAGACTAGTTTGTCTACTCGGGGAACGTGATTAAACAGAGAACTTTCAGAGCACCACACAGTCATGATGGACGAATGGCCTTCATCTATGTTATCCTTTACTGTAGCATGTAGGCACAGAGTAGGCAATGTGAGAGAAATTATAGGACGCCATGCTCTCAGAAAAACTATTATGTACTTACAGCGGGGTACTATCCCATTTATCTTTTACATTTAGTTCCACGTCCCTCTGTTCAACCAAGTAACTGAAAAATAAAACAGAAGTACTGTTGGTACTTCCTTAAACTGGCATTTTAGTGTACAAACATAGGTACAAACTTATGTCATTGATTCCAGGTTTCTGTCCGGCAAAGGGCGCGAATAAATGCCAGATGTTATAATAATAATACTTTAATTTGGTATAGTGCCTTATCACATCAGGAGGACATCCCCAAGTGCTTCACGGAATTTCCTGAGGAATGAAGTGACTATTTATAGGCAAACGAGGCAGCTTCTGGTGTCAGTGTATTGTTTCTCAAAAACTTTCCTTTTCCCCCATTGAGCAAAACGTCACTCAACCTATATAATAAGGTGACCATAAGTCCCCGATTTCCAGGGACAGTTCCCGGATGAGGTTTTGTGTTTCTGGGGCCAAACCTGTCCTGTCTTGAGTTCAGCAACAAACTGAGCAAGAGCAAAGAAGTTTAAAAACAGATACCACTCATCAGAGAAACACAGCCATGAATCCAACAAGCTTCACCATTGCAGTAACCGCTTGCATCAGAAATAAGGCGAGTTCAATTTTTTTTTTTACATAACGTCTCTGGATTTGGTTTACTATCTATATAACAACTTACTTGCTGCTAGCTGAACAGAGGCATGTGAAGCGAGGAAATTTGCCTGAAGTTTCGCCCTGCCTGGGAATCAAACCCAGATCGAGCGAGAGAATCATTAGGCAAATTTCCTCGCTCCACACGTCGCTGTTTACTTAGTTCGATTGGCTTCCAAATGTTTACCTAGTTTGAGGGATTGCTTTCCAGGGGTAACAATCCCTCCCCCCCAAAAAAAAATACTCCAGTCATTTAATCAACGACTGTTTGTGGAACACTGCTGTGCGCAATTGGCTGCCGCGTTTCGCCCACAAAACACCCAGCCAATTGACTCTGCAGTATATTCTGCGAAGCGCTTGGGAGACGTCTTGAGACAAGTTGCTATATCAAATGCAACAATTAATATTAATAACTTTCTAAACTCTTCACTCTCAAGTTTGGCTACTGCCATCCCCGCAGCACAGACCTACCGGCCCAAGTATCGCTCACTCAATTCACTCGCCTGGATGCAGATAAACACCTATTTTAGATGTCAACTGCACCTGCGATTGAACAGGCAGCAAGCAGCCCGCGCCACTTGTTAATACGGACAAGATTTTGCAAAGCTGCACAAGGTCTCCTGGTTTATTTGGGGGGGGCGGGGGCGGAGCCAAGGGGAAAAATGCACAGTTACTACACTTCACAGGGAAGTCCTGTTGGTTTTACCTTTTATAATGACTAAAAACCTTGACAACTTTGATTGTATCAACGTCAGACACACAGAGGCTCTAACACTGACCCCCACACACCCAGGGGCCCTGACACTGACCCCCCGCACACCCAGGGGCCCTGACACTGACCCCCCCCCCACACACACAGGGGCCCTGACACTGACCCCCCCCCACACACAGGGGCCCTGACACTGACCCCCCACACACACAGGGGGGCCCTGACACTGACCCCCCGCACACACAGGGGCCCTGACACTGACCCCCCCACACACACAGGGGCCCTGACACTGACCCCCACACACACACACACACAGGGGCCCTGACACTGACCCCCCACACACACAGGGGCCTGACACTGACCCCCACACACAGGGGCCCTGACACTGACCCCCCCCCCAGACACAGGGGCCCTGACACTGACCCCCCACCCACCACACAGGGGCCCTAACACTGACCCCCCCCCCACACAGGGGCCCTGACACTGACCCCCCCACACAGGGGCCCTGACACTGACCCCCCCCACACAGGGGCCCTGACACTGACCCCCCCCCCCCCCCCCCGCACACAGGGGCCCTGACACTGACCCCCCCCCCCCACACACACAGGGGCCCTGACACTGACCCCCCCCCCACACACAGGGGCCCTGACACTGACCCCCCCCCCCACACACAGGGGCCCTGACACTGACCCCCCCCCCACACACACACAGGGGCCCTAACACTGACCACCCCCCCCCCCCCCCCACACACACAGGGGCCCTGACACTGACCCCCCCCCCACACACAGGGGCCCTAACACTGACCCCCCCCACACACAGGGGCCCTGACACTGACCCCCCCCCCCCGCAGACACAGGGGCCCTGACACTGACCCACACACACACACACAGGGGCCCTGACACTGACCCCACACACACACACAGGGGCTCTGACACTGACCCCCCCGCAGACACAGGGGCCCTGACACTGACCCCCACACACACACACAGGGGCCCTAACACTGACCCCCACACACACACAGGGGCCCTGACACTGACCCCCACACACACACAGGGGCCCTAACACTGACCCCCCCCACACACACAGGGGCCCTGACACTGACCCCCCCCCACACAGGGGGGCCCTGACACTGACCCCCCCCCACACAGGGGCCCTACACTGACCCCCCCACACACACACAGGGGCCCTGACACTGACCCCCCCCCACACACAGGGGCCCTGACACTGACCCCCCCCACACACAGGGGCCCTGACACTGACCCCCCCCCCACACACAGGGGCCCTGACACTGACCCCCACACACACACAGGGGCCCTGACACTGACCCCCCCCCACACACAGGGGCCCTGACACTGACCCCCCCACACACACAGGGGCCCTGACACTGACCCCCCCCCACACACAGGGGCCCTGACACTGACCCCCCCCCCACACACAGGGGCCCTGACACTGACCCCCCCACACACACACAGGGGCCCTGACACTGAACCCCCCCACACACACAGGGGCCCTGACACTGACCCCCCCACACACACACAGGGGCCCTGACACTGACCCCCCCCCACACACAGGGGCCCTGACACTGACCCCCCCACACACACACAGGGGCCCTGACACTGACCCCCACACACACACACAGGGGCCCTAACACTGACCCCCACACACACACAGGGGCCCTGACACTGACCCCCCCACACACACAGGGGCCCTGACACTGACCCCCACACACACACACAGGGGCCCTGACACTGACCCCCACACACACACACAGGGGCCCTGACACTGACCCCCCCCCACACACAGGGGCCCTGACACTGACCCCCCACACACACACACACACACACAGGGGCCCTGACGCTGACCGCCCACTCTCGGCTCAGACTGACCGGACTCGGGAGATGTCGCCTTTGCGGCAGCTGGTAAACAAGTCGCTGATGTCCATGGCACCGCTCAGCTCCCGCCCTCCTTCCCGGGGCCACTGTCACCGTGACTCAACCACCGTCGTCACTGCGCAACCAACCGCCCACAGCGTCACTCACACACACACACACACAAACACACAGCGCCACCCGCAGGCCTGGAGCCTCATTACAAGCGCTGACATTCTCCCACAGCGCCACCCGCAGGTCTGGAGCCGCATGACAGGCACTGACACTCACACACAGCGCCACCCTCAGGCCTGGAGCCGCATGACAGGCACTGACACTCACGCACAGCGCCACCCTCAGGCCTGGAGCCGCATGACAGGCACTGACCCTCTCACACACACACACACACACTGAGAGACTCTGTGTCACAACAATTTACATTTATAATAGTAAGTGGACAATGTACACAATTCTTTACGCGTTCACTGTTACAGAAAGGAGGTCGACAGCGACTTATTCTGGTTCGCCGCCTGCGTTCGCTGGTTCAGCTCCGACGCAACTGCCAACGCACTTCGGGGGAACCGTTTTTTTAATGTCTTGACTTGCGCTCAACTTTCCCCGTTTATAGGAGTCTTCCCCGGGACAGGGATTCTTCCCTCCAACCCAACCGGTCCTCCGCGGACAAGCTCGCCAGCCCCCGGCGCTGCGTCAAGTGTTAGCTGGTCAAACCGATGATGATAATAATAATAATAATAATAATAATAATCCTCGCATTTGATATAACGCCTCGTCACGTCTTCCAGACGCCCCCAAAGCGCTTCACAGAAATAGACTGTAAAGCGAATTGACTGGTATGTTTGTGGGTCGAAACACGGGAGGGTCAGGCTCAGCGTCAGCGAGTTCAAAATCCTTAATGCGAGGCTCGAACCCACACCTTCCGACTCCGAGGCCAGAATGGGTACCAACTGAGCAATATGGACGCTTGGGCCATCTGGGAAAGTACGGTGACACGATACACCTCATGCACGCAGTGTATTGGAAAGCAAACCATCCAGTATCACTGGGTAAAACATGTAGTTGTTTATTGAACTGACCAAGCACACAATTTCTTAGGCACCTTGTCACGCTCAAACAGTCCTCACTTCACAAATCTAAACGCGAGGTCTTTTTCGGACCAGGTCCTCCTCGGGAACCTCCTGAGACTCAGCCGGCTCTCAATGCCACCACTGGATCTTGCTGTGCAGACGGTCTCTGACAGGTAAGGGGATAGTTTATACAAAGAGTTTTGAAGTTGACATCAAAGCTAATGTTATTTTCACAGTGCTGTTGCGGTCAAGAATCGGCTCTACGTGCAGCTGACACATTAGGAATCACAGGCTCAGTTACAGACACGGTAACACACGCCACACACACGCCCGTCACAGGTAGCAAACTCCAGACAACTTTTCTTGAATGCTAATTTATTGCAGCTGGAGCTTAAGGGCTTATAGTTACACCAATAATTATCACCTTCCCTTCTTTCCTCAAGAGATTTGACGCCTTTCTCCTTCTATTATGCATAGCTCCCAATGCCCCGGGTGCCTTCTGGGACACTATTCATTGGCAAATTAATGTTGGCACACTGGAGAGCTTGAGGTGGGGCTGCATTCACAGCCTAATCCAATGCTGTCCTCACCCAACCCTTCAGCCAGGGGTCACTGGATAGCGAACAGGAGCTGAAAAATCTCATTTGCGATCCCACCCCTCCAACCAAGGCATCTTGAGGCCAATTGAAGAGGCCCCTTCTTCTGGCGAGGATCAGTCACCTTAGCACTTCGGACGGGGATCAAACCTGTGACCAGGGATTGAAACTGGGACCTGGGATCAAATTGGACAAAGCCACTGAGAAGGTGCCACTGAGAAGCCTTGATTGCTGGTAAAATGGCAACGTCCTTTCACCAGGGTGGATGGTAGGTGAGCAGGATCCATTCCTCCGGGCAGAGAGTGCGCATTCCGTTCCAACAAGGTTTCGCTGAGAATTTTCACGTGTAGAGAATACATGGAATTCTCAGTTTGGTTTGGATACTCTTGGGCACGATGATGGTAATGGTTTGCCGCATGTGTCAAGACACCCGGTGACAACAAAAAAAACACCATCGGGGTAGTGGCACTCACAGGGTGCAGGGTGACATATTTATCCTGGGTCAGTGGTTTTTGATTGAAATTCTAACTTCCCAGTCCCTTGCTCAAAGAGCAGGTTTTCACCCTTGAGCCCAATGAGAGACAACTGGGTATTCAGCTGGGGATGTACTCAGGTTCTTCACCTGACAGCTGCAGGTGTGCCCATTCTCGTAGGAGTCGATGCTAACAGAAGCTGAGAGAGGGGGTGGGGGATAGAAACTGTGCTAAATTTATGTTTCTTGTTGGAATCGTGTAGAAAAGACCAACAACAGAGCTGGGTGACGGAACATCTGCAGATAGTGCTCTACAGAATGGCAGGAGATAGGACTGAACAGAGTGAGATAAGAAGAAGGCAGAGCTTTCCTAAAATATCCCACAGTGTGTCTTTAACCCAAGAAGTATCTTCCATTCCCAATTGCCAAATATTCGAGATTACATCTGGTACAGAATCGTGGAAAGTTTTGTGTTGAGCACTTGTGTGATCGAAACTACCTTTTACTTGATTCATTTGGCACATGGGTTGAGCCTCAGATCACTCAGAGACATCCACTGAAGCCAAACCCAACAGTGAGTACTCTCCATTGACTCGTCCCTCCAAAGCCAATGCATTCTGTGGTTCTCAATGTGTGAATTACATGTGGATTACCCAAGACCGTGTCAAATTTACAGCCTTGAAAATGTGAGCTGTGTACGAGCAAAAAGATCACGATTGAGCAAATGTCTTGTTGAGGAGTGATGCAGTCAACTGTGCGTCTCATCGGATCAGGTAGGATCCAATTCTTACGTTTCCTTCTCAAAGGGATCAGATTTTAAACCTATTGTCCAACCTCGTCCCAATATACATTTGTAAAAGCAGAAGTGGACCAGTCACTAGGCAGAGAGTTAACGTTTAATTTTGACTGGTTCTATGCGAAGGTAATAGCGATTATATTTGCTATTTTGTGGGTAACACATACATTCTGGTATGGAAAGCACCCACAACATGAAGGGATATTGGTACCTTTTGAATGCGGAGTTAGCTTGTTCCCTGACAAGCATTGGTGGCCGTGTGCAAAGTACAAGGTGTTGGGAGTGGGGGGTAGCAGGTCCGTCAAAAATATATCCTCTATACTAAATTAATATAGCTGGGTGTATCTAAGCTCTAAAGGTGGGTATCTTCTTCAAAATTGTCTGGGTCGTCTTTCGAGCGTTTATTAATCAGGGCGTTCCAGCCACCGCTGCCGTCGATCGCGTCCCCGTTCACGCTCGGCTTCTTCTCCTGCATCTCTGAGGTGCTGTCTATCGTTATGTCCAGGGTGGGGTTGTCGTGGCAGCCGTTCTCAACGAAATGGAGTTCTTCTCCAAGTGACTAATGGGGGTAGGGAATAATAATGATTGTAAGACGTTGAGATATTGAAAAAAATTACGTTCCTACCCCCCACTCCCTCCACCAGCCCCACACACGCACACACACGCACTTTTTCCTCTCTCAAGTTTCTATGGCATGATTCTACGGCAGCCAATTTGTAATTAGCAATTATCTCACAAACAGCCATGAAGTGATTGAGCAATATTTTTTCCTCTCTGGGGGATTGTCAGACAGGACACCGAGGAAAAAAAAAAATTCCCTTCTCTTTTCCAAAAGGACGGCACACCCGGACAATGCTGGAGCGCCATCTTGAATTGGCTTTTGTCTCTAGCCTTAGAAGCAACCGATTGTGCGATGCTATTGCAGGCGCTTTGCCAAGTTGAGGCCAAATGCCAGGACGATTATCATTATTATTAGCAGCAGCAGTCGCTGTCATCAGGAAAATCAAAGGCAACCTGAAGGCAGCTGTATTTCCGCACGGGAAGACATTCAGTCACTGTCAGAAGGCAGGTTCAGAATGCGTTCTAACAATCATAATAATAACAATCCTTGCATTTGACATAGCGCTTTTCACGTCTTCTAGATGTCCCAAAGCGCTTGTCACAGCACAGAAGGAGGCCATTCAGCCCATTGAGCCTGTGCCTGCTCTTTGAAAGAATTATCCAACGAGTCCCACTCCCCACAGCCCTGCAAATGTTTCCTCTTCAAGTACCTATCGTATTCCCTTTTGAAATCTACTGTTGAATCTGCTTCCATCAATCTTTCAGGCAGTGCATTCCAGACCGTAAGAACTCTCTGGGTAAAAAAAATGTCTCTCCTCTGGTTCTTTCGCCAATTATCTTAAATCTGTGCCTTCTGGTTACTGACCCACCCACCAGAGGAAACAGTTTGTCCTTGTCTACTCGTAACAACACAACACTTACCATGTTCTTGAGCTTTGGGAGACGACGCTGCCAGCAAATATAGATCAGCCCTGAGACGATGATGACCACACAGATGGAGCCGATGATAACCAAGACAACAAAGAGCTTCCCATAGTCCCCGCGAGACTGGCTGGGCCGTCCCTGACAGCCTGTGGCGAAGGTGACATTGTGGACACCAATCTGTAAACAGACGAGTGTTAATTCCAATGTTAATTCCAGTTTTAGACAAAAGTGCAAATAGAAAATTTGCTCTCGTTTTCCTTCTCTCCAAGTGTTCTCCTCTTCGCATGCCCCGATAAAGAGAGAAGGAACCTGCTCCGCTCAACAACTCCCCCAAAGTTAAGGCATCTTATAATAATTAATAATCCATGCATTTGATTATAGTGCATTTCACAGCCAAACATCTCAAAACACTTCAAACGATTTACTGTAAAGTGACTGTTTTTAGGTAAACGCAGCAAGTTCAGAATGAACACATCAGAAAATATATAACTAGACATATCAACCCTCACCTCTTTCAAGTTTTGCTTGATGTCTCCCAGTGTAGAAAGGACCTCTTTCGCTGGTATTATACCTAAGTTAATCAAAAACACGTTTAGTAAATACAAGTTCAATAGAACCATGATTGAGAGAACATTTTATCCTTTTATCGCTTTGGACCTTTCTTATTAATAATAATAATAAGCCTTGCATTGGATATAGCACCTACAATGATCCTGTATTGCAACACTGCATTATCACATTGTGCTGTTAAACTTTGACAAGATCTCTGAGGCTGAACAGAACATTTTCAGGCCTGTTTCAGTCACTGTCCTGAAGAACCATGCAGAGAAGGGGGCAAAGGGTATTCTGGTCATGCCCATCTCTCTTCAAGGACAGCAAGATCTCAATGCAGGTCAAGCTTGGGGCATATAAGACCTTTGTGCAAACAGTCCTCCTGAATGTTTCTGGGTTCCTGGGGAGGTTTCCTCCGGCTTATTGGTGCAGTCTAGAATCAAGCAATGAGGTGGATTTGGGCAAACATGGAAGCGACTACAGGGAGGGAGGGCTCCTGCCTACACTGATCTGTCACTGAGCTCCCTGGAGGCAGAGGTGGCTTCACAGTTCCTGCCATCTACTTAGTAAGGGCTCAAACCTGTGCTTGTCAGATGTCAAACGACTAACTAGTGTCTATCCTCCTTGGGGGGGTGGGGGTGATGGAGGTAAACTAGATCTGCTTGAAGATGAACTGGCTCCAAGGTGACATCTTTGGGAACAGAATTTCAGAATTGAGTCATCCCTCTGCTGGTCTCTGTAGTCCAGTTCCTGAGCCAGGCAGGTCTTCAGGACTCCAGGTCACTGCTGACGACAGCACAGCCCAGGCTGGCTCATCAGCAGGACTTTGAAGGGCAGACCAGTCACTGGGGGCAGGGAGTCATCCCACTCAGCTCCTGTTAACTCTGCAAACCAAAGCCCTAACAGGTAGGGTGGTCCTAGCTGACAAGCTGAGGGAAAGCTTGCCGGACATTGCCCTCAATGGAAAGCTATGCTGTTTTAGCTGTTTAGACTCAACGCACACTCTGGGGTCCCCAAGACTTGGCTCTTGCCAACCTGCGCCTAATACTCTCTGGAATTAGATAAGGAGAATGCGCCCCTCCAGGAAGGGAGTGCGCATTCCATTCCACTAAATATCTCTGGAATTTCCACCGATAGGTGGGATGCATGGAATTCTCAGCTTGGCTTGGAATACGCTGAACACAGCGATGGGTTTCTGTACGTGTCAGACAACCTGGCTGACCCAAAAAAAAAAAACCGTCTCAAAGACGATCACCTCGGTCAGTGGCCAGCATCATGAGCAGGTGTTGATCGTCCTCGCTGCTGAGTGAGATGTGCCACAATTCCTCGGGGGTGCTCAGCGTCCCGGAGAAGGCTCCTGCGACCATCTTCAGCAGCTTCAATCCGTTACGAGATCGAAACACTTCCTGAAAAAAGTAGAATTACTACTGTAGTTTGGGATTGTGCATCGGGCTGCAGTAGCGCACACTGCCCACAATATGGCGCTCACGTCAACAGTATAGTACCAATAAATGAGCAATTCTGGTATTGATTTGTCAAAGAGTTTAACACTCTGCGATGGGGGTATTTGGGTGGGTTCTGTGGAGGGGATGTTAATGGGAATAAACATTGGGGGAACAAGGTATTTGAATGTAAAAGTCAGCAGTTTTTTTCCCGACGAAACGAGAACTTGTGCCTTATTTTAGAATATCTGATTCGCGGATACCACAGTAATAATTCTTGCGTTTGATTTAAGCGCCTTATCACATCGTTGAGACATCTTAAAGCGCTTCACAGAACATGCTGTAAAGTGACTTGGCTGTCCTTTTTGTGCGTGAAACAAGCCAGCCAATTGCACGCAGAAGCGTCCCACAAAAATAAGAAGAACTCGGTGACACAAACGCGTTGTGAATTGAGTCACCAAATTCTTCTTATTTTTTGATTATTACCCCCCCCAGAAAGCGATCCGCCAATCGACGAACAACTGAGTTCCTACTTACTACTGGGTAAACAGAGCTGTGCGGAGTAAGGAAACTTGCCTACAGCTTTGCTCTCCTCGGGAATCAAACCCGGGTCCTCTTGTTTGCGAGGCGAGTGCTCTAACCAATACGCTACGGGACTCCTCATATGCTACTGATCTCTGTGATGGCGGCAAATAGATTTTGTCAGTCTGTAACTTCTGTGCCTTTGGCAACAGACATAATCCCAGGCCTGTCATAGAGGGTTTCATTACCATGGAGCTGTGAACTCTCCTAGAATCCCTTTATCCACATATTCGCTGGCTCCAAGGTGACGTACTTGGCAATGGAATGTTGGAATCGAATGAATTCTCCGTGGAGGTCTCAGTAGTCTGGTTCCTGAGCGAAGCAGCAGGACGTGGAGGGACACTGCAAACAGGAATTCTTCCCACAAGGCTCCTGTTAACCCCGTTAACCCTTAACAGGTAGGTGGTCCGAGCTGGACAAGCAGTGGGAATCTTGCCAGTGTTCTCAATGGCAAGCTCTGCGGTTTTGAACTTCGGCAGTTACCCTAACGTACTCTCTGGAATCCCCAACCCTTGGCTATTGCCAACCTGTGCCCAATATTCACCAGAATTAGGTAAGCAGGGTGTATGCCTCCAGGGAGAGATTCCACCAGACAGAGGAGAAATTTCTATGCACACAAATGTGAAACTCTGTTTGGCTTGGATACTGTTAGCACAGTGATGGATTTTTGCGTATGTCAGACACCCACCTCCCCGAGTATAAAAATAATAGAGTATCAGTTATTGCACTGAGAGAGTAAAAGCCAATATCCTTCCACAGGAATATCTCACGAGGGATCACTGTAAACGTGAGAATTCCTCGCTCACCGCTAGACTCCATTGTCACATCACTCTTGTCTTTTTCTTGCTTTACAATGGCCAATATTCCTCACAACTTCCCTCTCCTGTTCCTCCCAAGCTCCAAATCCTCCACATTGTCTTCCCGGGAACTCACCGGGTCGAAATCAAGAGTCATCTTCTTGTACGAAGCTATTTAATACTCACGCACTCTGTGTTTTCAGTCAGGTTCAGGATGATGTAGCTCTTCCCTGCTAGTTTACTCCAGTCTACACAGACAACCTGCAAAAGCCAAAGGCAAGGATAGTGTCAGTCACAAGACTAGAGAGATTCTGGCAAAGAAAGGCCTTCGACCTGTTAAGTTTTCATTCATTAAGTTTTCAACAGTAGGAATACCCACCTACTGTTTTCCTATCACACCAATTAAATGCTCTCATTCACTTTTCTTAGAATCCCTCGTACGGCTGTTAGCTACCTCAGCTTGCTGACACTCGCACCCCTGGGTGAGATACGGGAGAAGGCTGGCACGCCTGGAACTAGACCTTTGGTGGAGAAATGAGGCAAAAACCTTCAGGAAGGTGGGCAGGAAAGGGAAAGAGAGGGGCAAAAAAATTTGAAGGAGAATAAAATTGGTGGGAGAAGGTTAAATCCTGTAGCTGAACGGTTAGAACACTTGCCTCGCAAACAAGAGATGTTGGGCAAGTTTCCTTACTCCACACGCCTCTGTTTACCTAGTGGTAAGTAGGAACCCGTTCGTTAGTTGATTGGCGGATCGCTTTTCCGGGGGTAATAATTCCTTCAAAAACAATAATAATAAATTGGTTACTTTGAGACGTCTAAGAGACATCATAAGGCGCTATATTAAATGCAAGGATTATTATTAAATATAACTGTGATCTAGCTGTGAATGGGTTAAATACATTGGTCCAGTCTCTCCTTCTCCCAGACCCGTCTCTTGCAGTTTATAATCTCATCAGAAACCCTTGACTGCATTCAGCCCTGTGCCCCTTCACTCCATCAATTAAGCAGTGCAATGGTAAATCATTTCATACATTAGCTACTGTGCCATTTAGTTTTCCCTATTTAACTCTTGGCTGTGCTGTCCATTTTCTTAGCTTGTTACCTCCAATCCCCCAGGGGTGTAGACCCTCACTCCATCACCTTGCCTAAGTGGACGTGCGTCATGTGTAAGGCCAGACATTGAGTGTTGGAGGACACACCAGACAGACTGAGGACTAACACAGCACAGACTGAGGACTAAACTTAAAATGTGGTCACTCAATCCACGACCGGTTGCGGGACACTCCTGTGCACAATTGGCTGCCGTCTTTTTCCCCCAAAAATCAACTCAGTTTACAACATATTCTTTGAAACACTTTGAGACACCTCGAAGACATGATCAGGCGCTCGTTTATATCAAATGCAAGCACAGACTGAGGACAAGCACACAGTGTGGGGGTGCATATGGGTTTGACGGTGGTGTGGGTGGGGTAAGAATCATTTCTGATTTGACAATTAAAAACATTATTAGAAACTTAGGAGCCACGCAATGACTGACACCTGCTCTGAGGCATCTTGACATTCTGGGAATCATTGTTAAGGAACGAGAAGAGAAGACAAATCAGAGGCTAAGGGTGTTTCTCAGATGTCCCCGACCCCATTCCTCTTCTCCTCCAGCAGCTGGTTACAGTGAGAAGCAACAACAACAACAAGATTTCATTTATAGAGCGCCTTTCACGTCGGGAGGACGTCCCAAGGCGTTGGACAGTTGGGTCGGGACCCGAGCAGGGGGGAAATGGTCAGGGGGAGGGAAGGGAGGGGGTAGAGAGTCGAGAGGGGAGCTGAAGGCACGGTCGAAGAGAAAGGTCTTGAGACCGGCCTTGAAGGAGGAAAGGGAGGAAGCGGTGAAGGCACTGTCGCAGGTCGCTGCCCAGTCTTGAGGGGTGAGGGGAGCGCGGAGGATGGGTATTAAAGCTGCAGGAAGCATATTGCTTGCCAACTGATGTCACAGCGGCATTGACTGTTCCCATGGAGATGGTCTCAGCCCGCACAGGCCTGGGGGAAGCGTGGCAACAGGTGGCAATGGTAGGGATTCGAAATGAGGCAAGAAAATAAAAAAAAGATTAAGACGCAGAGACGGCAGACCTGTCAAGGTTCCTAGAGCCGTCAGAGACGACGGGAAAATGAAACAAATACAAAAAAAACTCTCAAAATTTAATTGGTATAGTGCCTTTCACGTCGGGAGGACATCCCGAGGAAATGCAGGCAAACTGAACGCTTCATGTTGTGAATGCACTCTGCGCTCACGCAAGGCAACAGCTCAGATTGGTTATCATGACAGCAGCAGAGCTCCTGAAAACATATATTATGACTCATGATAACTCGGGACTTGTGATCAATAATAAGTGGATTCTATCTCTTCCTCCTCTACCACCTCTTCTCCCACTCAAAGTGCTGTGACATTAAAAAAAATCTTTGCATTTGATTTTGCACCTTTCACATCAGGAAGTGGTCTCAAAGCGTTTCACAGGATTTAGTGTGGATTGTTAATTTCATCTACAAAACACAGTCACTCCACTTTACAGTATATCCTGTGAAGCATTTTGAGACATCCTCCCGATGTGAATGGTGCTATACCAAATGTAAGGATAATTATTATTACAACTGAAAAGTGAAATGAACGCGATTGAATGCAGCAGCCAATTTGTACACAGTCACGTCTCGAAGTACTTCACAGAAATTGCTGTGAATTGCAGCGACTATTTGGAGGTGGATGCGTCAGCCTAATTGCGTACAACAATGTCCGACAAAACAGCCATGCAGTGAATGATGAATTTTATTCAGTGCTGTAAGTTTCTATGAATCTGTGCTTCACTGACTTGTGCAGAGGTACAAAATGGTCAATCTTTACATGAGAACCTAGACTGTGGCTGATTGACTTTCATAGCCAAGCCTGATCCAGTCCTCACCGATATCCTGTGCATTTTCTAGTCGAGGTCATCCGCTTTGGGAAGGAGCGGGAGAGAATTAAAGGTGGTGGGAATCCCAGCAGTTAGAACCATTTTGCCTGGTTGTCCATTTTATAATGCTAAACTTTGAACATCTCCTCCTTCTTCCCCCCCACTCTCCCCCCCCACCCATGTGTTCTTCACGGCTGTTGTAAGCTACTGACTTGCCAGAAAATTACAGCCTTAACTTTTCCAGCTCAGTGAATTCACAGCCCATCGAGATGCCTAATGCTGCCTCGGCAAACATTACACTGATGTTTTCAGTCCAAAGCACAGCTGGATAGAACCCAAGAAAAGACTGATCTTTCCCTCAATTCCAAGCTCTAACCTTATCTTTTCCTGCATCACACACCGTCTTGCCCTCTATTTATCCTCCCAATACTCTTGTCAACAACAACAACAACCAGCATTTTTATAGCAGCCTTCACATAGAGTAGTGTCTCAAAGATGGGATCGGATTGGGGAAGGGGTAGATGGCCATTGGTGTTTGAAGAGGTAGGTTTTCGGGCGGAGTTTTGGAAGAGTTAGAGATTAATGGCCAGTGGAGCTGGGGAGACCGGTCAAGAGTGCTTTAGCGAAGTCTAAGCGGGAGTAACAAAAGTGTGAATAAGAGTTTTGTTCGTGTGATGTATGAGGTAGGGGCAGAGCCGCCGTCGTTCGGGCGAGACAACAAAAACCGAGATCCTGTGGCGCTACTCAAAAAGTAAAGAGGGTTTCTCTCTCCCGGTGTCCTGGCCAACAGTTCCCCAGATAAAATGGGTCGTTCACTTCATGGCTGTTGGTGGGGCACTGTGGAGCCGGGGACAAATTGGCTGCTGTGTTTGCTTACTAAATATATGATCACTACACACTACAGTCGGAATCTCACTATAACAAATCCTGCTTCGAACAAACCCCCCGGTTTTAATCACCCCAAAGGCAAGACCTGATTTTTGCATTCTCTTCGATAGCCAAACCATATAACAGTCTTTTCTGCCGGTCCGTAAGTGAGGGGTTCGCTGTAGTGAGGTTCGACTGCAGAGTGAACCTCGAAACATCCTCCTGACGCGAAAGTCCGCAGTATCAAATGTAAGGATCTTCCTTTCTTTCTTCTTCTTCTTACCTGCGTGGTGTCCAGCGGTAGTTCCGAAGCCGCGGCAGAGCCTCTGTCGCCAGGAACGAATTCGGTCTCCGCTGTACGAGCTCCCGTATCCTCTGCGGCTGAACTTGGGAAGGTGACAGGTGGCTCACTCCACCCGGTAGTAGTGGCGGGGGGGCTGGAAGCATCGTTGCCCCCGACGACCGTGGAAAGAACCGGAACGAATCCGACGACCCTCTCGTCGGTTCCGGGCGCGACGGTGAGAGGCGGCGGCCGGGAGGCCGTGGAGCCGGGGACAGACAACACCGGCCCGGCTGCCGTTACGCCGACTGATGGTGTCGTGCCTTGGCCGTCGCCGTGACCGAACGCAGGCCACTCACTGGTCGGCCGATCGGCAGCCTCGCCCGAGTCAGACGACAGGTCCCCGTGTGGGCCGGTTGGAGCTGGTGCTGAACCGGTCGGAACCGGAACTGGGCCGGACGCAACCGGCGCCGAACCGGTTGCGACCGGCGCTGGGCCGGCCGTCACCGGCGCCGAGTCTGTGGGAACCGGCGCCGAACCGGTTATAACTGGAGCTGAACCGGGCGCAGCCGGAGCTGGGCTGGTCGTGACCGGAGCTGATCCGGTGGGAACCGTCGCCGGAACCGGGGCCGAACCGGTCGTCGTCACCGGAGCCGAGGCGGTCGTCGTGGGAGCCGGACCGCCGGTAGCGGCTCAGACTGGTTTGCGCCCGGCGTGTTGCCGCGCCCTTCGGTGCCCAGCGGCAAAGGACTCGCTGTGTCAGAGTGCGAAGGATTCGGTGAAGACCTCGATGTGTGAGCTGCAGTGGACGCATTGACGACAGGTATGGGCGAGGTTCCCGCCGGGACGAGGGGAGAAGGGGCACCGTTACCTGCAACGAAAGCGAAGTTAGTTCGCAGTCGCTATTTCGGGAAAGGCACTGATAAGTTCCGTGGCCGTCCAAATGCCCGGTCGTTCGCACTGAACGGAAAATCCAGGGCTGCGTAGATGGCGACAGTAAGCTTCGCTGTGGAGAAAGGTTACGCGGTTCGTACATTCTTAGGACAGGGAACACCACGAGGGCAGCAAAGAGGCGACTTAAGAGAACCACAGAAATATACAGCGCGGAAGAAGGCCATTCATCCCATCTTCTCGGTGCCGGCTCTTTGAAAGAGCGATCTGTTCAATTCCATTGACCTGGGTTTTCCTTCTCTACCTCCCCCATACCCCTTCTGATTACTCCCCCTATATCTTTCGTAGTTTCCCTTTAGGAGGGGAAAGAGACTGACGTTTTCCTCTCTGTTTGTGGTTCTATCTATCTCCATGACTAAAATACTCTCTACGTTTCTCTCTGCACTCGCGTGCAGGCACTCCCGACCTCTGGAAAACTGATCGTTCCCTGGGAAGCCTTGGTACGGATCAGGTGTCTGTGCAGTATGGACAGGAATCCACCTCCCCATGCTGTTAAGTAACCTCTTAGATAAATGACTTGCCAGGCAACGAGTGGGAGAACCATTACGGCCTTTGGAAAGGGCGGCACGGAGAACCCACGAAAAGGTGGCTTCGTTAGCACAATGCTCACTGCCCTCCTGTTATTATGGCAATGACTTACAAATTAAATTGTAAAGTGCTATTTCTTGTAGCATATCAGATATAGACTCTTGTGCATGCCACACCTGACTTTGTCCCTGCAGAAAGTCCTCAGCCTCCTCTCTGACCGATACATGTGGCACTTACACTGTGTGCTTGCAGTTCAGTCTCAGTCACTGTTGATTATTTCTATGTTTTCCTGGCTCTAGGGGGTGCGGGGAGGAGGAGATGGGGGTGAGGTCTCTGTCACCACTGAAGGAGACACAAGTGCTCTCCACAAGGCTTTGCCCTGACTATATTAAAATGGGTTAACTCATCTTCTGCCTCTTTTGCATATTTCTTTATACACTCACAACTTGGTAGTCTTCTCTACACTGGCAATCACCACAAGGGGGGTTGTGCAATGATCTGCACCTAATTTGGATGGCTGTTCAGGTAGACACTAAAGATCCCATGGCACTACTTTAAAAGAGAACTAAGTTTCTCCTGGTGTCCTGGCCAAGAACCCCCCCCCCCCCCCCCGAGGAAAACCAAATGGTCATTTACTTCATAGCTGTTGTGGGACATTGCTGCTTGCAAATTGGCTGTCTCGTTTGTCTGCGAATACACATTCACCACAATTCACAGGAACGTCCTGTGAAGTGCTTTGAGACATCGTGACGATGTGATAAGGCGATATATCAAATAATCACTATTATTAAAAGAGCTCAGCCAAAAGAGATGAAAATGTGAGGGGGGGGGAGGGAGAGAGAGGAGCGAAACACCAAGTGCGGGCAAATTTAGTGGCAGGGTTGGCTGTGATTTCACCCCTCCTCCATCAGGAGGATGTTTCCTGAAGCCGACTGGGAGCCTGTGCGGGCGGAGCTGAGGGGCTGGTGGTGAGGCAACAAAGGTTACCACAAGTGCAGAAGAAACAACAATAAAATTACATTTGTAAAGCACCTTTCACATCGGGAGCACGTCCCAAAGCGCTGAACAGTCGGGGATCGGGACCCGAGCGTGGGTGGGGGCAAGGTTGGGTTAAGGGAGGGCAGAAAGGTGGGTGGGTGGCTGAAGGAGGGTCTTGAGTCGTGCCTTAAAGGAGGCAAGGGAGGGAGCAAGGCGAAAGGATTGTGGGATGGACTTCCAGAGGGTGGGGGCGGAGAGGCTGAAATCCCGTCCGCCTCGTCGGTCACCAAAGTGAGGACGAGGAAAAGGTGGAAAGGGAGAGAGAAGAACTTTGGGATAGCTCCTCTCTCTCACCTCCCCCCCCCCCCTCACATTTTCATCTCTTTTGGTTGATAATAATAGTGATTATTTGATATATCGCCTTATCACATTGTCGAGATGCGGGACAAGCAGTGAACACGAAGCAGGACATTTTTTTTCTGAGGGAGGGGCTGGGGTGGTAAGAATAAGAATAAGAATCCTTGCATTTGATATAGCACCTCATCACTTCTTCTAGACGTCTCAAAGCACTTCACAGAATATACTGTGAAGTGAATTGTGGATGAAACGCGGCAGCCAATTGCGCACAGCAGTGTCCCACGAACAGTTGTGGATTGAGTGACCAAATTATTATCATTGTTTTTTTTCTTGAGGGATTACTATCAGGCCTGTGGAGTAAGGAAACTTGCTCAAGGTTTCGTCCTACCTGGAATCGAACTCAGGTCTCTCGCTTGTGAGGTGAGTACTCTAATTATTGAGCTATAGGACTCCTTTTTGCATATAATATAAAAGGAACTTGGGAGGGGTGTAAGGTCAGAGAGGTTGAGGGTGGGGCGAGGCCATGGTGGGATTTGAACACGAGGACCAGCATTTGAATCAGGTCATGTGCAATTGACATAAGAATGTGAACAGATCGTGATGTTGACAGCAATTACTTGTGAAGGGCTTTGAGACATGTCAACATGACAAGGCAATCAAAAAATTCTAGCTCCTTATGTCCCAGCCCAGCGAAGTGCTTATGACTAGACAATAAACCCAAGAGTTGGCAGCTGTAACCTTCCCAGTCTATTACTTTCATGATGGATAAGCAGCTGAGTCATTATTATAATGATTAATATTATTATTTTTTTTGGAGGGGAGAGTGCGAAATTTTGGACCATTAACAAGGAGTCCAATGGGCTACAAAATTATTTTCCTTCACATGATTGATCAATGATTTTCATTAAACGTATCGTCATTCTGCAATGCTGCTGAATCCGAGAGTATAGCATCTGTCTAGCTGCCCTGCAATGCGCCATTAACTTCTGGTTAATCAGCATTTTACTGATTTATCTTCTGCAGAGTGCAATTGTGCCAAACCTCCTGAACACTGGAGACCTCGTCTGTTGGCAGTCCCATCACTGAGAGCAACTTTTAAATAAAAAGCAACATATTGCAGTTATGCGGCATTCACTTTCCCCTCATTCTCTGGAACTCAATTTCTAAATCCTTCCTTCTCTCACCCTTTGTCACCATTCCCCCATTGGAGCTCTTTACTCTAATCCCATTCCTCTGTTCCCAACATGTCCGTGATGCATTCGCTCCCCGCTGGAGCTCTCTAATCTACTCTAAGCGCTCTGGGATGCTACCCTGTGTGAGGGGCGCAAGTTGTTGTAATCGTATTCCTATTTCCCATACCCTCTCTGTACTAGTGCTTGTTCCCTCCATCCACTCCTCTCCCCCCACCACTGGAGCTTTCTCCTCTAATCATGCTCTTCCCCCATCATGTCTGCACTGGAGCTCTCTAACCTAATTCCATTACCTTGCACATTCCCCCATTGTATGTGGTCTGTGCTGGTGCTCCGCCACTGGAGCTCTCTTCTCTAATCTCATTCCACTTCTCTTTATCAAATATTTATTCAATTTCCTGCTGAGGTGCATGGTTTAAAAACCCATCTCTTTACGGTGCCTTTGTCACCTTCCAGCCCTCCCTGCTCAGCATGTGTAGTGGACTTTGAGACATTTTACTACGTGAAATAATTTTCTACGCTGTAGAAGTGCAAGTTGTTGTTTCCATAAAAAAAACATCTCAAAGGGCTTTACAAATAAAGTGATGGACACCGAGCAGAGAAATGAGAGATTTAAAGATGTTGACCAAAGGTACCGTTGAAATCAAATGCTTTTAAGGAGGTTTTTAAAGGCAGTGAGAGAGGCAGCAAGGCAAAGGGGTTTTGGACGAGAGGAAACAGGAGGGTGGAAATTGGGAGCACGGAGCAAGCAGTGGATCCAAATTGGAAGAGTGGAGGGTACGGGCTGGGGAAGATTGAATAGGGATGTGAGGCAAAACCACGGAAGGATTTGAAGACCAGGATAAGGATCTTAAACTCAATCCTCCAAGATACTGGGAGCCAATGCAGCTCAGTGTGAAGGGTGGTGGAAACACTGTGAAGTGACAGAAGCCTGCAAATTTCTTGCCACAAATGTGACTGAGTCATGTTACCTCCCAACTTCGAGTGCTTTATTTCTGGTGAAACTATCACCTCCGTGTGCTAAATTTGTACATTCCAAAGACATGCACGGAATCATAGATATCACAGCACAGGAGGAGGCCACTTAGCTGAGCATTCCTGTTTTGTGTCTCATAATCTCTCTGAGCTCACGCCTGAAGATTGGCCACTTGGCTAAAATGAACCCAGAACGGTGAAAAGCACCTGCTCCTGATAAACTAAATCAAGATCCTTGGAGATGCACCCAGCCCCTTCCTGAAACACAGAGCACCAGAGTGGCCAAGTGTCTCAGGAGGTAGGTTTCAAGCAACACAGAGAACTTTCATTTTGTAGCAATACAGGGAAACCCCAGTCACAATGCTATAGTGGAGTTCCGTAGCATAGTGGTTAGCGCGGGCAGGGCAAAACCTTAGGTACGTTTCCTTATTCCACCTCCTCTGTTTACCTCACAGTAAATAGGAACGCAGTTGTTTGTTGATTGGTGGATCACTTTCCGGGGGGATTTAATCCCTTCAAAAAGTTTTTTTTTTTAAATTTGTCATTCAATCCACGACTGTTTGTGGAACATTGCTGCGCACAATTGGCTGCTGCTTTTCGTCCACAAACGACACAATCAATTCACTTTGCAGTACATCTTGTGAAGCACTTTGAGACGTCTTAACAACGTGATAAGGCGCTATATAAAATGCAAGGCTTATTGTTATCTTCAAGGACCAAAAGCTCCCAGTGTTCCAAGCAAGCATGAAAAAGTGGTCGACCTGAATTGTTAAGGTTGCCTCTGACGTTGCTTCCTTGCTAGTCAGTGTGATGTACAGCGCTTCTGGTTAGCATGGCTCCAAGGTAGACCACAAATGTATTTACGCTTAAGCATGGCATTTTGACGGGGTTGTCTTGTATTTGTTTAGGAGCCAGGAGGTCTTGACCAGAAGGTACTTCTAGACGTTAACTTCTGCACAGATTTAATGGAAATCAAGTTATTCAAATCCAGCACTGTCGTGGAAATATAGGTCAGCTGTAATTAGCTATTTGTCTGGGCACTTCAATGTTTTTTGAGCCCCCTGGCACCTATTCGATTTATTAAATGTAGGGCTCAGGTAAGGATCAGACTGATCGGGATTTTGTTTTTTAAGTAGCTTACTGATCATCTTATCTGGGCGTAATGGGACCAGGGAGCAGTATAAGGTATAGAGGTCCCTGATTGTTCAAAGGCTAAAACACTGTGCTGATTTAGGCTCTTAATTCACTTTTCTCTTCATCCTTTCAATCAATGTCCTTCCATTTTCTCCACGTTTCTTAAAATCTTTACTTTCCAAATCTATTTCCCTATTGGAACACCACCATTGACTCTATCTATTGTACTATGGCGTCAGCCTGGCTTAGTCAGATAATTGTTAATGAGCCATCTGGGGACTTTGAACACATTTCATCTAAGCTGACAGTCCAGTGCAGTGCTGGGAGTGTGCTGAATTGTTGGAGGTGCTGTCCTTGAACCGTGGTCCCATCTGCATGTTCAGGTGGATGTTAAAGGTAGTATGGCACTATTCAAAAAAGAGAAGGGAGTTTCTCTTTTCAGGTGTCCTGGCCAACAATCCCAAGGATAAAACTGACCATTCACCGCATGGCTGTTTGTGGGCCATTAATTACTGTGCGCAATTTGGCTGCCGCATTCACCTACAAAATGCGATGGTCACTTCACTACTGTGCACAGTGAATTCTGTGAAGCAAGAGCTCTGTCTGGTGAAAGTATTCCTGTGGGACTAACCTGAGGATTGTCCAGGCTCTTCCTGAGACCCAACTTCCCAGGACTGTTGGGACTCTGAACTGTTTGATTCTTCTTGAGGTGAAGAGACCACGGGCACAACCTCAGGATCTGAGCTGCTGGATGCCTGACCCTGCATCCATTCCTCACTGTGCTCTTCTACCAAGGCCACCGATGTAAGTTCCTGGTCAGACATGGTGGTGTCCTGTGTCACAGAATCTCCTATCCAGTTCTCCGTGCTGGCTCCTTCTACCACGGACAAAATGAAACACACACATCCTGAACGGAAACAGGAAAAAAAAAGTCAAGAAAATGTCCAATAGATGTTAAATTGATAAGAACAGAAACTAGACTTAATCTTAGACAAAAGGCAGAGTAGCTGAAATTTAACAAACGAGTGGGATAGCCTTGAAAAGAATGGGAACCAGCTCAAAATGCCTCACTGTCTTATTAGTCTTAATTGTCTGGCTCAGTTGGAGAGCGAAGGTTGTGGGTTGAAGCCCCGAGTCGGGACTTTGAACTCAAAGTCTAGGCTGACGCTCCATTGCAGTGCTGGGGGTGTGCTGCATTGTTGGAGGTGCTTTCCTTCTGATCAGACGTTAAACCAAGGTTATGTCTGCCTGTTCAGGTGGACATTAAACATCCTATGGCACTACTCAAAAAGAAAAGGGAGTTTCTCCTTTTGTTCTGACCGCATTTTGAGAAGCACTTTGAGACGTCTTCCTGAGAGGAAAGGGGCAATATCAAAACTTAAGAATGTATTTATTTGGAAGGCAATATAATCTTTGTAAGTCAATATAACTGTGTGACTGGCTCACCACCCTCCCCCACCACCATTTTCCACCTCCTTCTCGTACTTCCCGGAAGAAAAATCTCTTTAGAAAAATCTGTAAATGTGAAGATTTCTCCTCGGGCAGCGGCATCCTGTCTATCACAGGGTATCAGTCAACATGGCCAGCACACTGGAAATCAGAGCCAGCCTTCATATCCCAGGCCTTGCTGAGATCAAAGGATTTAGATCAAATAAAGAGGAAGTGATGTGCTGGTGATATATCGATCCCAGGACGCAGGGAACTCATTGCTTGTTTAAAAACCTGCAGTTTGCTCTCCCCACCCCACCATGGCTCAGTGGTAAGATCGCTGCTGAGTGAGATACAGATCCATTCTCAGCTGTGGGGAGGAAATACAAGGCAGCTCAGCACCCCAGGGCTGGCTAAGGAAAGATGTTTGGATCCATGGTAACGTCCTAATGTGACACCTGGCTAAAATCAGATTGGGGGTGGGGGGTGGGGAGGGAGGGGGAGAAGAACTGACTCGCGCACAGGATCCATCTCCCAATTTAAAAACATGAATTAAAAACATTAAATTCTTGGTTCTAAAAATTGTACTGAATAGAACTCTTTTGATCAGCTGTGCGGTGTGTGGGCAGATCTGGACAATCTGAAAGGTCACTTCATATTGCAGTTTTTTTTGTCTTGAAATTAATAATTCTCCAGAGAGAGAGAGAGAGAGCGAAGGTGAGGGAGCAAGAGAGAAAGAGAGAGTAAGAAAGAGGAAATGAAAGAGATAGCAAGACGATGCAGTGCTTCCCCCCAACACTGCACTGAAGAGTCAGCCTGGACTGTGAGCGCCACAATTTTTGGGAAAGAATGGGCTTGAGTCAGTGGATGGCGTGAGGACACTTCGATTTCAGCACAGTGAAGACGACGGGAAGAGGTGCAATGAAGATAGCTCAATCCAAGGCTCGAGAGGAACAAGAGAGGGAATTCTGAGAGGTGCGATCGTTGGTCACCCAGTGACATTGAGAAAAAGAATGAAAGAAAAAAAGAGAGATCGAGTGAAAGAGAGAGAGAGAGAGAGAGAAAAAGCACTGAAACAACCGCATTGAACACAAAGGATTAAACCTGTTGCACCAAGGGCCAGTCATGCTGATTGAATGGTTTGCTGAAGATGTACCTACAACAAACGGAAGGAATTCAATTGATTTTTTTTTACCCCTTTTCTTCCTTCGCAAACATTAAGTGACTCGGAAAGAGCCTCTGCCGACCACAAAGAGTTCAGTCAGCCATCATCCCAGCCACCTCCCGGCACAGCAGCCACAATGCTGTCTCATCCTGAGGCAATGGCGAGGATTACTGTAAAACTCCTGTTCGCTTCCAGCCGGATTAAAGCAGGCACTTTAGTGACCATCCTCAGGGAAGGATTCTCAATGGAGAGACGATTCATTTTTGTCTCCAGCCTGACATCAGGTTAATGAATAGCACTGAGGAACAGGAATATTGGATGATGTTTTTTCCTCAATCAGCTGGGACCCTGAGCTGGGATCAGTCGGCTCAGCATAGACTGGGAATCAGACATACACTTTTTCCAGTCTGACTTTTGCGGTCAGTCAGGTGTCTGACACGTGTGAAAACTCATCAACGTGCTTACGAATATCCAAACCAGTTTGAGAAATCCACATATATAGAAATTTCCCAGTGACTGGGATGAAATGTGTGCTCTCTGCCTGGAGGGATGCGACCTGCTTACCTAATTCTGGAGAGCATTAGGCACAGGTATGTGAAAGCCAAGACTTGGGGACCCTAGTGCACAGCTGAGGGTTCAGATACCACTAAATATTTTTAATAGTGTTTAAATTCTTCGCAGTGGCTGCAAGTTTGACTGTCTCTAAGTGGACATATTGGATAAAGGGTCAGGGAGTGTCGTGGAATAGTAAAGAATGAAGAGAGCACAAAGTGTGGGCACCAGTGTACCTAATGCTATTGGTATCAAACCGATGGGAATACAATTAACTCCACAACTTTCTCTCAGTGGCTCAGTTGGCAGAGATCCAGGAGAAATATGAATTGAGAGTTGACAGGCATTGAATCCGAGGCTGTACTGAGTTTGTTGATCAGCCAGGGTGTGAGCTAGGGTTGTGTGGAGAAACTTTTACCAGTCTCAGTTTTCCCATTCAAGGAAAAATCAGCGGGATTGGGAGGGAGGCACTGCTGCTCATTGTTTAACAGGGCCCTGCTGCGTTTCAGTTTGGACTCAACTGTGATGCCCTTATGGTTGACTAACCTGCTGAGGTCCAAAGTAATAATAATCCTTGCATTTGATACAGCATATTCCTAGTCAAGACAGTGTCTGTCTCAAAGTGCTTCACAGGATTTATTGAGTGCAGTGACTGTGTTTGTAGGCAAAAGCGGCAGCCAATGTGCACACAGCAATGTCTCACAAACAGTGGGATGACCAATTTTATCTGGAGGATTGATTGGCCAGGATACTGGGAGAAACTACCTTCTTTTTCGAATAGTGACACGTGATCTTTAACGTCCACCTGAACAGGGAGAAGGGACTTTGGTTAAACGTCTCATCCAAAGAACGGCAACTTCGACAATGCAGTTTATTGGCACTGTATTGGAGCTTCAGCCGAAATACTGAGCTCAAAGCCCTGACGCAGGGCTCGAACCCACAACCTTCTGAAGCGAGAATGGTACCAACTGAGCCAGGCTGACCACTAAACGTCCCGATTTACAGCCGGGCCAGGAGGTGCGGGATAAATAATTGCGTTTCTCCCACAAAGTACACAGAAGTCACTACGCTTTACAGCATATCCAGTGAAGCGCTTTGCGACATCTCAATGTTAAGACGCTATATCAAAGGCAAGGGTTATTATTTATTATAACCAATGCGTGTGAAACCCCCCCACCGCCCACCCCAACTCCCGCAGCTCGAGCCAGCGCCTGAGCAGAGGTGGGGAACAAACCACCAGACGTACATTAGCAATGAGCTGTCCTTTCACAGTCTCTCACAATTCCTGTCCTCTCCACCGTCACCGTTGCAATGGACGCTGTCGCCATGACATCCGTGTGTAGTGCTGCTCGCGGGACAATGGGTCTCGCTCTGAATCCGACGAGGATAGAATGAGTTGCTTCTGCTCTGTAACTTGGTTACTCGGAGAGGCAAGGCGCCGAGACAATAGCCGAGTTACAGATGGCCTGACCCTCACTGACCTCTCGGATACAGGGCAAAAGAACGTGTCGGATCACCTCACATCACAGCCCTTGCTACTCTTTTACCCGCATCTGTGGGCATTTAATTTGTCCCTGACATGCATCTCAAGTCTCCTTTAGTGCAGAGAGCTTCAACGGGGGGAAGTGAGCACCAGCGCAGACCCAGTGGGGAAAGAGCAGGGCATTGGGATCAGAGTAGATATATTGTTATATATTATTCCCTTTTCACCCACAAAATCCACTTTACAGCATATTCTGTGAAGCGCTTTGAGATGCCTCGACGACAAGGCGTGATAAGGCGCTACACCAAATGCAAAGATTATAATTATGAAAGCACTGGCGCAGACAAGTGGCTTTCTTCTACGCTTGAACTCAATAAACTGCAAGAACCTCAATAAAGTACGACATCAAGCCATAAGGGGCAGATTACTCGTCTGAAAGATGGCAACACAGAGTTCCTGGTGCCTGACCGATAGCCTGTATTAACTTCAGAAAGGTGTTCATGTCTTGCTGAATCACCTTATTATTCCTTGACAGAATGAACGACGGTGACACAGGGCAGAGGGAGAAAACCATTCACTCTGTAAATGAACTTGCCCTGACCCTGCTGAGAGCAGTTTCTTCAGCTTGTGTACAGTGTCTGGTGTCTATATATAGGCACTCGCCGTTACTCAGCGATGCTTCTCTTCAAAGAGGCAGATCACTGAAATCACGTGTAGCTGGCATGAGACGCTGGCGGCTCAAAAACAAATTCTTCCTCCGCCACTACAGATCACTCACCTCTGCTCCTCGCTCGAGTGTTTGACACATAATAATAACAGGAGAAGGGTGCCTCACTTGAGAGTCTGTTTCTCCTATGTGAGACTGCAGAGTAGGCCTGTCAAGTATTCTACATCCTGATGTCCAGACACATCCCACAAAATATACAGTCAATTCACTTCACAGTATATTCTGTGAAGCGCTTTGAGACATCTCGAAGACGTGATAAGTTGCTATGTCAAAAGCAAGGATTATTATTATTGCAATAAATACAAATACACACACTCTCCCTGATATCCAGACACATCCTCTATACATACGCACACACACACACACAATGTAGATAACATACACCCCACCTGATATGTAGACAAACACACATGCACTTTCCAGAAGAGCTGATTGGCAGCCTGGTTTCATGTAAAACGTTAGAAGGTATAAAATGGTACAAGATCACAAGAGAGCGGTTCAGACGAAGAAGGCCTTTCGGCCCATTTGATCTCATCCTTCCAGAATCATCCCCGCCTTATCATCTTTCCATTCCAGCTGTCTCTCAAATGAGTCCAGAATCCGGGCATCAACACCCACCCAATCCTCTCCAATCCTTAATTACCCTCTGGGCAAAGAAATACTTCCTGGTGTCAATCCAGAAATTATCTTTTGCATCCGTGGACCTCTGTCCTCTTCTTCTGATATTGCACATGTATTTTTTTTCTTGTACTGCTACCTCAGCCTATCTGACATGCTACTCTTGTCTGACCTGTATTGACCCACTGACATTGGCAATGGCAGACTCCGTACTTGTACTTTACAGAGCTGTACATCACGGAGTCATGCCATGTACAGCTTACACCAAAACACCTATCTATCTCACTGGCTACTTCACTCCTAAAACTGTTACTTGGCAACACCTACAATAGCGTTCCCTTGTTCAGGCAATTCTGAGCCCTTTACAAAGACCAGATGTACTGGAAACAACCTGGTGTTGTGTACAGTTCTAGTCACTGTGATAAGGAGAGTTATTACAGCATTGGAGAGAGTACAGCATAGATTTACAAGGATGTTACCAGGGAATGAATGGATGCAGTTATCAAAGATTAGATAGATTGGAGCTTTTCTCTCCAGAGTTGAGACGATTAAGAGGGGACAATCTAACAGAGCTGTTTAAGTTTATGAAAGGATTTGATAAAACACTGATAGGCTGATCACACTGATTACTTTCTTATGCAAAACAGTACCCGTTGCCTTCGTTCCTCCGGGTCTGGCCTCCTCCTCGTCCCCCGAGGACAAGAGGACCTAAATATACCCATAGAAATGTACAGTGTACATTATACATGTACAGTGTACATGTATAAGGAAGTATTTCGGACCATCGTATTGTGCTGGCTCTTTTAAGAGCAAACCTTTCAGTCCTATTTACCTATCCTTTCCCCATACCCCAAAGTTTACCAATAAGCTAACTATTAGCAGATCTCATACGGAGTTTAGGAGGAACCTCTTCATGCACAGGGTTTTGAGAATGTGGAATTCACTGCCGGAAGCTGTGATTGAAGCAAAAAGCATCAACGTACCTAAGAGAAGACTCGATGAAAGCGTGAGGGAGGGGAATTGGGTGTGTGAAGGCTCGTAGGAAGTATAAAGACTGGCACAGACTAGTTGGACTGAAAGGCCTGTTTCTGTGCCATACCACTCTGTGTTAACGATGAGTTTGGATGGGGAGGGGGATGAAACCCGAGCGGAAACGTGTTTGTTCATGGGAAAACCAGCAGAGAGAGTTTGTTGCTTAATCACATGGCAGAGGGATCTAAATTAATGACTCATTCAAAAAAAATGCAGGCAGGAACCAAATCAATTAAACTTGTATTAATCTAGAATGTTATGTAGACGTTTGCAATCCAATATACATGATCAATTTCACTGCCCTACATTTAATGCAAATTTGATTCTGTCTCCTGTTTCCTGAGGGTTAAGGAGGGACAATGTTAATAATAATAATAATCCTTGCATTGAGACGTCTCAAAGCGCTTCACAGAATATACTGTAAAGTGAATTGACTGTATTCTGCAGGCGAAAATTTATTTCCAAATTATTGACCTTGCGCACCAAAGATTCCCAATTTCTTCCTTTTAAATAAGTTAAGTTGAAGAAAACTTTGACACTCAGCAAATGGGGGAAGAGAGAGAGAGAAAGAGTGTGGAAGAAAACTTTTCTTACTTACCCAAAGCACAAAGGAGGGGTTGTGTAAGGCTCATCATGGTCGCAGTAGGTAGGTGGGTGGGAGGAGGGAGAAAGAGATTATTTATATTTTTGGCTGTTCCTTCTTCTAGAAGTGAGATATATCTCCACCTTATCCCTGCCTTTGAGCTCAGCAAAAACAGCACTTGGGGGCTGGTACCTCGCCTCCAACCTCAGCACAGCTCAGGGACACACCACTGACCATCTCAGACGTGCTTTGCCATTCACAGAGAGGGAGGGGGATGCTGTGATCCACACACATCCACCATCACACAGAGAAGGGGGAGAGAGAGAGAGAGAGAGGGGGGGCTGTGAATGAAACGTCGCTGCTCCCTTAAATGCAAAACCCCCTACATCCACCAGAACGAAACTTAGTGAAAATGGACAAGGGAGGCTGCTGAGATCTGGAGTCGAGATGAACACAGGATCTGCAACCTCAGCTCTGCCTCCCTTCCCCTCTCCTGGTGCTGCTGGTGGTGGTGCAGCAGGTGATCGCTGCCCTGTGTCTGTGCCAATGCTCAACTCCGCTATTTCTTTGCAGATGCTGAATAATTGCATTTGGTTGCGCAGTGTCTGCGTCTCTCTCTCTCTCTCTCTCCCTCCCTCCCTCTCTCTCTCTCTCCCCTACACATGCTCTGGGTCCTAAATCCTGCCTGCCATCACACACCCATATATATATATATATGCACACACACACACACACAGTAATTGTGCTTTGGCTGGACCACATCACACACCAGAGGGTGTCATCATCAAGATAAGCAGCTTGAAGCTAAATTGGAGATTAGAATCTGCCCCCCACCACCCCCCCACCCCACCCTCCTCCAACACACTCACCCGGAGCCTTGCGATCAAGCCCAACACAAACAGCCCCCCACCCCGTCAATTCACCCTTTCAACAACAAAATTGGCCCCACCGTCAGGTTTTCACCCACAAGACGTAGTCAGTTCGCTTTACGCTATATTCTGTGAAGCGCTTTTTTTTAAAAAAAAAGACGGCTCAAAGCTGCGATACGACGCTCCGTCGAATGCAGTTATTATTATTATTGTGTAAGAATGGTAATGGAGTCAGTGGATAGGCACAGACTAAGAATAATACACTCTGCGGGGAGGAGGAAACTGATTTCTGTGCTGCTGGGATGTGGGTCGAGAGAATGTGTGTGTGTGTGTAGGCGGAATAAATAATAATCCTTGCATTTAATACAGCGCCAATAATGTCAAAATATCTCAGAGCACTGCACAAAGTTTTCTGTAAAATGTAGCGACTGTGCATTTTGTAGGCAAACATGGTAGGCAATTTTACACACAGCAATGAAGTGGATGATCAATGTTTTTTTTGCGTGGAGGATTGTTGGCCTTTTCTTTTCTAGTTTGGAGTGAGCATCTGTGCATAACTTGTGAGGTTGGAGTGTGAAAAAAAAAGGGTGTTCTCTCAGCATGAAAGGCGCTACAGAAGTGTAATTTTTTTTACGGTTAGTGTGTGCATGTAGGGTTTAAGTTCAGTGTATGCGAGTATAAAAAGTGTGAGATTACCTACTTGTGCAGGTTTTAGATGACTTTGTATTGAGTCTGAAATTCAGAGGAATTGTGCTAATTATTGATCATTGCGGTTAACTTCAACAAAGCAACAGGCTTTGATCCAAGCCTTTCCTGATACCCTGGAGAATTCCCTTCAGCAACTTCCTTTGAGAGAAAGCAGCCTTTGTTTTTGTGGCTATTGTCAACCCATTCTAACACTCATTGAGCGAGTATTATCTACTTGACCGGATGGTGCTAAGTATTTCGATACAATGCTGCTCTAAACCAGGTCCAGAGGATGACTGGAAACAAACCTCTGCTCTTTATAGACAGACTACAGCTGCTGTCTTTAACTACAAAGGGCTGCAATTTCTGGGATTCAATAGAATATCCGGGGGGAAAGGGCTGTTCTGTGCTTCTCTGAAGGTACGGTACTGACTCAGGGAAATCTGCCAGCATATTGGAACTCTTTGGCACGTTAAGAGGTTACTGTGCGTCACCCATCCCCACCCGGCTGACCAAAAATACTGACTCGTATTGGAGTGGCCTTTCTTCATGTGGGAAGAAACCAGGCAAGCAAGCGAGTGTCGTTCGGACATTTTATTGTATGGACCATCACAGCCAAAGCTGTTCCCGTCGTCATCTAACATCGACACATTGCCGGGGGGGGGGGGGGGGAGCCCTGCAGTGAACAGCAACCGGGAATTGGGATACACGTGCAATAAACTGTCAGTCTCACGTACCCAGGGTGGTGGTGCTTCTGCCAGAACTTACTTTTGACACTTCAGAAAGATGTTACTCCCACCATCACCATAGTTTGTGCAAGTGGTTTGGTTTAAGTCAACTTCAGAACCTCCAGGTGCCAAAAGGCATTGCCGTGGGGGCAGCCAACTGGCTCACAGGGCTCTGTGAGATAACCTTAAAACCGGCCACAATGAGACATGCACCCAGAGAGCTTCCTCGCTGCCCTCCAGTGGCTACTTACAACTTACTTGGAGTCCTGCAGCTCAGTGGTTAGAGCACTCGCTTTGCAAGCGAGAGACCTGAGTCAATTCCCGGCAGAGGGCGAAACCTTGGGCAAGTTTCCTTACTCCACACAGAGCCTAATAATAATCCCTCCAAAACCAAAAACAATAATAAAAATTGGTCATTTTCAATCTACGACTGTTTGTGGGACATTGCTGTGCGCAATTGGCTGCCGCGTTCGCCCACAAATATACAGTCAATTCACTTTATAGTGTGTTCTGTGAAGCTCTTTCGGACATCGTCCCGACGTGAAAAGCGCTATATCAAATGCAAGGATTATTATTATTATTACAACTGGCAGCTAAGGGTGCTGCAGAAACAGAGGGTAAGATCCATCACCTCAATACTTAAACCTATCCTGAACACCCCTCAACCTAACACTCAAAGTGTGCTGTGTTGCTCAACCAAGCGCGGACACTATTAATGTTTTGTTCTGAGACGTTTCAATGAGATAAGACGTCAATCTCAAATGTGGTTATTCTAATTAATCATTGTTTGAGCACAAATAATAATAATCTTACATTTGTTACAACCCGTTATAGCCTTGTCAAATGTCTAGAAGCACTTTGCAGGATTTACAGTGGAATATAGCAATTGTGTTAATTTGCAGGTGATCAGGCAGCCAATTCGCTCACAGTAATGTCTCACAAACAACCTTGAAATTAATGACCAATTTTATTTTGACTTTGGGGAAAAAGAGGGTACAAGATGAAGGTAAAACTGAAAGCCAGATCTTGTTAAACAATTTATGAATGCAGTATTCATGATAGGACAGGCTCTTTAACATGGCATTAAAAGGGAATGAAATGTGCATTCGCTTCTTCCACCATTGGTTTCTGGAGCTGTGATCTTGTTGCAAACACAGACTGGCTCTGTTAGGTTAGCTCAGTCCTCAAAGCCTCATGTGCTCTCACTGAATATTTCCAGCACACATGTTTTTCTGACTGAAAGACTGTGCTATGAGCAGTTATAACACTACAAGACGTTCTTTGAACGAGTGGCTCAAAAAACAGCTGCCATTCCCTTGAAAATTGCCTTCAGGGTTTTTTTTTCTTGCTGAATAAAGTTGACGTAAATTAAAAGTTCGGGAAAGATTTAGGAAGTTCAGGAGTTGATTAACTGAGGAAAATTAATTTTTTTCTTTTTTAATTATTTTATGGTAGGTGTCAGATTCAATCCCTGATCTGTGCTGAGTTGGTTGGTTTAAACTAAGCTGTGGCAGGTTTTATTATTTGTAGGGTGGCTCCATTTTGCCCTTGTGCTTAAACAGCCTTCTAGCCATCCATGTCTTAGATTACAAATGATAATGGGTAATCAATGGAGTCGAGGCTCCATGAATCTTACTCTGCTACGGTTTTGTTTTAAGAGCTTAACTAAAATGGATGGGTATGTTAACATTCATATCTTTCCATCAGGGTGGTTCGGCCTTGGGACGTGCTCCCGACATGAAAGGCACTATTCAAACGTAGTTTGTTGTTGTTAGTCTTATGGTTAGTGCTGAAACAAACATGATTTCTGGGGAAGGATTGAACATGGGCAGTATTAAAAACAGATGTCGATTGCAAGATTGCTCAAGTGCTACATCACTTCACTAACGTAGGCCAATTGTAACACTTGAGATCAACACAAACAAGGGACCTTTCCTGAACTGCATTCATTGCTGACCTCCATCAGCCTATTCACAGCACAGCTCACACTTGCAAAATCTGAAACTCACTGTACGAGCGCTACAACAGAAAAGCTGCCAGCCAACTGATTTCTCCCGTCAGGCAACAGGACCTCCAGGAAATGCACTGCTTAAACGACAGGCTCCATTTGGCCACAGCCCATCCGAGGAAAGGCTCCAGTGGAAGAGACGGGTAAAAACTCCCAACAAAAGATCCCATTGATCGCTCCCGCCACTGGCTAATAGCTGCCACTCAGCAAACACGCAGTTTGTCTGCTCTGCCAGCAGACACAGAACCACCTTGTTCCAGGCCTGTCCCAAAATAATCAATAAACCTTTTAAGGGATGCACTCAAGACTGCAACAACATTGTTCTTACAGATGTCACTTTGTGTTTTCAAGCACCACTTCAAATGTTCTTCAAAAGCTTCAGCCTTTTCTATGTTCAGGCTACAGCTGATAACAATTATAATACTTACACTGTACTAAATATCATCCAACATACTGGCTTTGGGATACATCAGGTGCAATGTCAAAGTGTGTTCACATTACTAAGCTGCGACCTGTCCCTCGTCATCTTCAGAACCATAAGACAAACTCCCCCTCAAAATCATTCTCATTTTTCCATCATGTCCTCTCATTTGGAAGCAGTTTCATTTCTCTTCCCCACACCCCCCAGACCCGCCAGAAATGAAAATGTAATCTTAAACTGAAGTAATTTGGCAATTTCTAGAACAGCTTGAAAACAAAAAGAAAAAAATGTTCTTGCAAAAAACACATCTTTATTGACATGTATTATAATAGAAGCACTAAGAATTAGGTAATTTACACAAAGATTTGGATTATCGATGCCCCTGGCAGAGTCCAAAAAAAGAGCATTTGCTGATTAATGTGATGTTTGCTGGTATCAGGATAAACAGTCTTATTACAAAAAAACTACATTGAGACAAAATGTTCAGCACAAGATTGGCAATACATACATTCCCATAACATCCAGAAACACATTCACTGATTTCCTTCCATTCCATTACACTCAAACAGAATTCCCTTCCCCCTCCTCCCATAACACTCACGCAGAATCCCCCCTGTAACATCCATAAACACTTAATACCATCTTTTTCCACCTTGTGCCAGTCACCTCTCACACAATTCTATTAGAACTGCTGTAAAATTAGTTTTTTCTTCACATCGTGAGTGAACTTATTGATTCTGAAGAGATCGCTCTCATAGAATGCCGACAGGTTGTGAATGTTGATCTGACGAGCCTAGAAATAAGAAGCCGCAGTCAGCACCCTGGGGGAAACGCTTCAAATAAACACTTGATGAAAGGAAATGGACAAATTGTAAACCAGGGATTGTCACCAAAAGTATTTTTAAAAAGATAGATTTATCTTGCGCGCGCACACACACACACACACACAATGTGGAAAACCATAAGCACAAATGGCTATTGAAGCTGAGTCCAGAATATAAATAAGGAAATATATTAAATGGCGAGGGAGAAAGAGATGAGATGACTCCACTGGGAAAATAGAGGGAAAGAGGAAAAGTGGTGGCCTGGCTCCTACGAAAGGGCTAGAGATTTTCAAGTCAAATCTTTCCACAAAATACACAGTCAACCCACTTTACAGTATATCCCATGAAGCCTTTCCGGGGTAATAAATCCCTTTTGACAAAAATAAAAAAATAATTTGTTCACTCAATACACTGCTGTTTTGTCCACAAAATATAATCAGTTCACTTTACAGTATATTCTGTGAAGCGCTTTGGGACGTCTCAACCATACGATAAGGCATACCAAATGCAAGGATTATTATTATTATAGCACTAACACGGACACAGACAAAATGAGTTGAATGCACTTGTGCTATAAACTGCCTACGATTTCTGCTGATCTAACATTGGAACGTAAGAGTGCTCAGGACTGAGCAATGGCCTCACGTTGGGAGGACGTCCCAAGGCGCTGGATAGTTAAGAGTTTCGGACCCGAGATTGGGGAGGGCGGAGGGTCGGAGAAGCTGGGTGATGCACGGTGGAAGAGGAGGGTCTTGAAGGAGACAATGGAGGGGGGAGGCAAATACAAAAATCCAGTAAAGAGGACTGACAGAACACACTCAAACTGGGATCAAAATTCCTGAAATTGTCACGTTCATTCTACACACAAATGGTGGTCACGAGAATGCTAGTGTCAAGTCTTCCCCCTTGTGGGCTTTGCTTCCATCTTACGCTGTGATGGGTTCCGCTCCCTCTACCTGCAGTTTTGGCTGTATTCTTACTCAACATTTAAAATGTCTGTATGATACTGAGCAACCAGGCAAATTTCAAAAAACATCAAGCATCATTGACACACAAATATACCCTAAATCAATGAGCAGTACGATTTTACAGCAAACGACTACTTCCTAATCTAATGCCCGAGTCACTAAAAACCCTCTCACCACCTGCTTCAGTCAAACAACCTCAGTTCTGAGCCCAGATACCAGATGGACTATTGGTGACAGCTGTCACCTAGGTTGGATCCCAACCCGTACAGCAGTGATCTGGGTCAAGTCCATCCCTATCAAGACCACAGATGCACATTAAATTGGAATGACACTTTTAATCATCCATTCTGTCTCTGCCCCAAATCCACTGATTAAGAAGTCTATTATGGCCCTCAACCGCCACTGCCATTTTACAGTATATTGAAAGTACTAATGAGAACTAAACTATTTATCAAACTAAAACCTATTGGACGTTACTTGGGATCTACTGACTCAAAGGTGGTGGTGGTGGGTGTGGGGGGGGGGGGAGAGCAGTGTTTAAATCACAGTTAGCAACACCAATATTAAAAGTAAATTGAAGCCCATTACAATTCAGCCTAGATCAGCATTGCAGGAAATAATCTGACCAGTACAGTACAGTTCTACAGTGTCAGCACTCCCAACACATCTACTCATCTACTGTGCCCAGAGGTAGCACTGACTGGCCAGCCCACTGGATTTGAAGAGGGCTCCTTGATTCAAATCCTTCAATCTCAGCAAAAGGATTAATTTTTAAGAATCAGATAAAAATCTAAAGCACGGGGGACTCTTAATAGATCTGTTTGATATTGAGAACACTTCGAAGCCTTTACCTTTTCCACCATGTCCTTTTCTGGCACCTCAATGCTATCTTGTTGTGCTCCGTACCGGTTCCGCTGGTATGTTGACTGCTCTGCCACCAACTGCTTCAGAATGAAGAGCAGAAGCTCATTGTTGTCTCGTTTGAATGACAAGTACCGTGAAAAGGTCTAGAGGGCATAAACACAAGGGTTACAAACTGCTCTTTAATATAAAACAATCCCTCCTTAATACTATATAACGGTAGGGTCCAGGCGCTCAGCATTGGCCACACCACATGTTCATTTGTCACTTGATAGCCTCAACATCAACATCAAGAGGTTTATCCAACAAAAACTAAGCCTGATGCGTCTTCAATCAAACCTACAATACACTACAGAGCGATCAGAAGCAGAAACCAAGGCTGATTTCCCTTTTTTTTAAAAAAAATATTATTTTCAGCCTCGCTGCTCCTCAGGAGCAACAAAGAGGAACAGTCTCTGCACCTCACCTTCCTCATGCTCCTCATGACGCTGAACTTCTGTGTGTCGATGAAGCTCTCCAGCATCACCCGAATGGCCATGTTGACATCGTCCTCCACTACATAGTCCCTCAGGTGGATGCGAGCGTGAGCCTCAGCCATTCGAATCATTGACTCTATGTGCCGCACAGTGATGGGGATGCTGCCCGTAGCCTGCAGAGATGTAAAGGTTTTTTTTTAGGCTTTTACACAGAGAGACCCATTTGAAAATTAACATCAAGGAAATGCGTGGGGCAGTAGATCAAATATGCAATCCTGATGCTTAGACCTGATTATAAAGTGCATTGGATCCTCAATTTTACTCAATAAGCCACCAACAGGACAAATTCTGCATCACTACCAGTGAATCAGAGCAGGAAAGTTAATAGAAAACATAACATGACTTGCAATCTCTTCAGTCTCTCTTTCAATGGAAAGCCCTCAAATTCAGTGTTAAACATTTACTCCAGGTTAGCCTTTAATGAGCAGTGCTGCTCTTTAAAAGGTTCATCCCAATCGAAGGAAAGGAAACTAAAATGCACAACAGCACATTACACTGGAACACAAAAGACTTGAAATTGTAGCTAGAACGATTATTTTTACTGAATGCTTGGTGTCCACTGAGTCTTTTTCAACTTCAAAACCTCAAGTCTAGTAACTGAAATCTGCTCTCACCATGGACTCCTTCCGGAGGTCACTGTACATTCTGGCAACTTTGTCCTGGTCCATCTGGTTGAGCTTGGGGTGGACTTTCTCTTTAGCGTAGGTAATGTATTTCTTCAGCAGCTCCTGTGGAATGGGATCCACGCCGTATGTATTTGGCAAATGCTGTTCATTTTCTGCTCCACTAGCTGTGTCTTTGTTGCTTGGATGGTGTTTGATGTGGCTGCCCACTACAAACCGGGCCAGCATTTCATCCTATTCGAAACATTTACACACAGAAACAACTATTACTGATCAATCAAACCAGCACTTTAAATTAAAACCAACAGTGAAATAGCATTCAATCGACCAACTATATACAGTGAGTCCAGTGAGATTCAATATACCATGGGTTTGGAGATAATGTGGGAATACTGTGAAACCACAGTCCTCTGAAGTGCTATGTACTTTAGACTTCCGATGCTGATTGCCTGCCTCCCAGCAATGCTTAATGACTCAATGCTACATCATTCCACGATGGCTCCCTGCATGTGGAATGGGGGTCAGTGACACTATAGTGACCTGACGAGTGGCTGTACAATAACGTGCTGTGTTATAAACAGGGTCTTGCTTTACGGCCCCCTAAATCATTGTGTTATAATGGGATCAAACAATTCTTTTCATCGCCTGCCCTCTCCTGCGCTGAAGGTGATGAAACATGACACAGACCTTGAATCAAACCAGGGAAATCGATAGTCCAGTGTAACACAACAACAACAAAATTACATTTGTAAAGCATCTTTCACGTCGGGAGGACATCCTGGACAGTCAGTGTTTCGGACCCGAGCTGGGGTCTGGATTGGGGAGGCTGGAGGACGTCCTCCTGACGTGAAAGGCGCTTTATAAATGGAATCTTGTTGTTGTTGTTGTTGTGGAGGGGAAGCAGGGTGATTGAAAGCACCGTTGAAGAGGATGTTCTCAAGATGGGTCTTGAAGGAGGCAAGGGAGGGGAGAGGCGGAGGGTCTGCAGGATGGAGTTCTAGAGGGTGGGAACAGAATGGCAGATGTCCGCCCGTCAATGATGGGGCGGGCAAATTGAAGCAAGCCAGAGGCTGCTGAGTGGAGGGAGCGGGCAGAATGTTAGGAGCTCGTAGAGATAGTGGGGAGCAAGGCAATGGAGGACTCTGAAGGTGAGGACCAGGATCTTGAACTGTATCCTCTGTGTGATGGGAAGCCAGTGGAGTCAGGTGAGGATGGAGGTGAAAGGGTCACAGAGCCGAATGCGGTGGAGACACGGGCTGCAGAGTTCTGGATGATCTGCAGCCTATGGAGGGAGGAGTTGGGGAGACCGACAAACAGGGAGTTTGTATAGTCAAGCCTTGATGTTATGAATGCGTGTATGAGGGTTTCGTCAGCCTGCGCTGTGCGACAGTGGCGGAGCCAGGCGATGTTGTGGAGGTGGGGGAAGGCAGAGCTGGTCAAGGCACGGATGTGGGGTAGAAAAGATAGTTGAGCGTCAAACATGACGTCACGGTTCTGGACTGGCTTAGTTAGGTGGAGTGTGCATCCATGAATGGTAATGCTGTCAGCGCCTGAGGTGTGATGGCGTTGACTGGAGCCAATAAGGATTGCCATGAAATAAATAATCATGCAAGGTGATTAGGGCCATGAAATAAAGAAGAAAATTCATAACCAGTGGACCTTTCTTGTAAATGGGGTTGGAATTTAACTGGAGACCAATTCTTACCTGAACAGGGTCAATGGTGTCTCTGACAACACACAGGATATCAAATCTGGACAAGATTGGCTCAGACAGGTCCACATTGTCAGCGAAGGTCAAAGAAGGATCATAGCGTCCTCCTAAACAAAGAGAGAAATCCTGATCGATAAACTATTTTAAAAGAAAATTAGGTATATGCTTGAAAAAGAACATAGGTCATGGGGAATAAGCAAGAACGTGCGACTAGATAGGCATCTCCTTGTACACTAAAGATTCAGCAAATCCACGAAACAGTCTTAAAACCAGGTTCTGCTATCATTAGTGACAAAACTATTATTTTAAATCTTGCGATTCACTAGAACCTGCTAAACCCTAAATACTTTACCATAATAGGTTAATTGTCACAATTTTATACAGATCATGTTACTGTAAGTGATGTGCGATATTATTCAAGAATATTTTTTTAGTTCTTTGGATAATATCATTTAAAAACAAGTCAAATTTCCTTGCAACGCCCTCTGCTGTCAGACTGATTCATGTTGTGAAAGGACCAGAAGGTAGCAGAGGTTGCTCGAAGCAATCTTGTCGTTTCTCAGAGTGGCCTAATAAAGCAGTTAAAAATAGATGCATATCGAAGAAAAGGACTCAAAGCAGAAAGCATGTCTCGCTCCAAAGCCATTACTGCTCCTCACCTATGGGATTGGCAGCAGAGATGATTGTACATCGGGCCTGAAGAGAGGTGACAATGCCTGCCTTGGAGATAGAGATGCTCTGCTGTTCCATCGCTTCATGAATGCTGGTCCTGTCCTGGTCGTTCATCTGTCAAATAATAAGTCTTTTATTAATTAAAATAGTACTAATTCTTACACATGATAAAGTGCCTAGAACACCAAGATCATATCAAAGTGTTTTACAAGGTTAAAGTGTGGTAACTCTATTTGTAGGAGAACAATGGAGCCAATTTTTAAACAGCAATTTCCCACATACAGATATGAAGAGCCATAAAATGGTTGAACAATTTTATCTGGAGCATTGTTAAAAAAAAGTCTGTTATCTATTTGAATAGGGTCACTTTAAATATTCATCTGAATAGGTAAGATAGGTTCTCGGTTTAATGTGCCTCATACAAAGGGCCTTTGACAACGCAAAGCCCACCCCCACTGTATCAGAGTATCAGTCTAGACCATGAGCTCAAAGTCCTGATCTGGAGCTTGAATCCAGAACCTCCTACTCCAGAGGCGAAAGGGACAGTCAACAAATTTGCCTTTTCTTACCTTGTCAAACTCATCGATGAGACACACTCCTCTGTCTGCCAACACCAGAGCTCCGGCCTCCAGAGTCCATTCCTTACTGACTGGGTTCCTCTGCACGTAAGCAGTCAGACCCACGGCTGACGCTCCCTGGCCAGTAGTGAACACAGCTCGACTGGAAACTTTTTCCACGTATTTCAGAAATTGAGATTTGGCTGTGCCCGGGTCACCACATAGCAGGACGTTGATGTCCCCTCGCACCTTGTGCTTTCCACCTGGAACCAGGAATATTCAAACCTAAGTTCTTTCGTAATAGACTTGGCAAGATGCAACACACAAAGGTTAAATCCTCATTTGTAACCGAAACAGTAAAGAAAGACATCGACACAGGCTCAATTTTGATATTCCTTTGCCAGGCACGACACCGTGGACCCTGTTCACAGGCTTAATCAGCACTGGCACTTTGCTAACATTGATGAGAACAACCTAAGTGCCCTTCACCTCTTCTTAGACAGCGAGAGAAAGACCGAGAGATGAGAAACACACACACACCAGCAACCTGAATTTATATAGCAGCCATTGCATGGGGTAGTGTCTGAAGCGCTTTGAAAAGGAGCGTACGTTTTGGAGGCCAATGCGGGTAGGGGCGCTAATGCGAGAGGGTGCACAAAAAAGAAAATTCACCTTGAAATGATAATATCTGGTCAGTCACTAAGAGATCAGGAGCAAGTCGTTTAAAAAGAAAAGCTGTCAATGACTGACTGAACTTATTCTGATCTGAATTAATCATTCAATAATATCCAACAGATGGACCTACCTGGGTTTTTGGCTTCACCTCCGAACAGTGCCAAAGCAAGACCCCTTTTAATGTCCTCATGGCCATATATAGAAGGTGCAATGCTAGCAAAGATCTACAGAGATACAAGGCACAGATGTCAGAACTAATAAGTCCATTTCAAAAGCCGATTGCAACATTTTCCTCAAAACTTTCTATCATTGCAATACCACAGAACCTGCCAGGACATCGGACACAAAGAATTAAAGAGCACAAGAATTGTAACCATGCATATAACCTGACACCACATTCCTTGCCAACGTCTCTAGTATGTACACACTTATTTACCATTCCTGGAAATATTAAATATAGTTGACGATTTGTCGACAGATAATATCCATACTTATTTTGTTTGGATTTTAAGCAATTTTTCGACCACAGTAATTCAATATTATTAAAAATGATGTTTAACAATGAGAATTCATTTCTCTTGATTTGGAGAAAATTGGAAAATACCATCTTTACCAATTAAAATCGGATACAGGCAAGTCTAATATTAAGCAATAATCTAAAAGATCTGTTGTACACAAGTCTCATCATAAATATTTTTTCATACACCAAAACCCACCGCAAGTAGCAAGTCACACTTTGATAGTCTAGGTTCCCCTCGTACCTTGTACTTTCTTGAAACCAGGAATATTCAAACCTAAGTTCTTTCATAATAGACTTGGCAAGATGCGACACATAAACGTTAATTCCTCATTCGTAACCAAAACAGTAAAGAGCAAGATTGTGTAGGAGTGAGAAATTGTTTAAAAATGTTTACTGAAGTGAATAATATACCAGTGTATCATTGCAGGATAAATGGCACTCTCTCTGGATTGCTTTCCTGCAACACCCAAATCCACTACTTTATAGCACGTACTCACCTTTTCTCCTAACCTCTCGTCTTTGGAAAGACTAACAATAGTCTTGATGTCTTCATCGGTGAGTTCACCCACAGCCAATTTATTGTCTTTCTTTGTGATGTGATTCGCCATGATCACCGTGGCAAAGACAGGAAAGCCATTCGCAGTGTTGAGTGAACCGTCATAGTTATTGTGATAGACGCCAGTGAGTTCCTGCAACAAGAGCACAAATTAGATCACTTGTTTACAGCTGCAATTCCCTGTCGATTGTTTACAGTAATCTCACTAAATCACACTCAGTGGCAATTTTAACACCGGTCCAGATGCACTGGAAAAACAAACCATTTATAGAATTAGGAGTTTGAGCTTGCTGCAAAGCAAGTGATCACTCCAGATTTGAGGTGATGTCTTGCATCAGTAAGATTGTATTAGTGGCTGTATTAGTGGCTCCATTGGCAGCACTCACACAACTCTGAGTCAGAAGAGTGTAGGTTCAAACCCCACATCGAGACTTGAATTTACATAGTCTTAACCAACATTACAATGCATTGCTGGGAATGTTTTGTATGGTCGGAGATGCTGTGAAGGTCAGCACGGATACTGAGATGGGGACGTGCTTTACGGCACTTGGGCCTGTAGGAATCTAATGTGCACAGGCAGAATTAAAAACAATGTCATTAGATTTCAAGCAAGTCTGCGAATTCCAGATTCCGGTAAACTGGGGGTTCATTGGCTTGTTGGTGTAATAAGAGGATAGTAGGTTGAATATTTTGAAAGGATGATGTTAATAATAATCCTTGCAGTTAATATAGTGCTTCATCACGCCTTCAAGACATCTCAAAGCGCTTCACAGAACATACTGTAAAGTTCATTGACTATATTTTTTGAGCAAAACTCAGCAGCCAATTGCACAGTCATGGATTGAGTGACCAAATTATAATTTGTGTAAGGAGAATCAATACACAATATAGCATATATTACCATACTGTAATGATAATACCATATACTTATCCTTGAAATATTCATCTCCACAAACTACACAGCTTCTGAGTAATTACAGATGAAGCTTTTTTTAAACTAAGTATTCAACCATTTTTATAAACATAAATATTCCCATATGCCAAAGTTCCTTAGATGAAACCAAATTGGCTTCAGCTGATTTGATGAGTTTCCTGAAGGTTACTTACGATATCATCACCCGGCTTACAGCTATCCACGAGGTCTGCAAGGAGGATTGCATCTTTTGAGCGTGGAAGCCTCCCAGCTGCAACTTTCCCTGGACTCTCCTGAATGGTGATCCTTTGGTAATTCTGGTACACAGTCTGAAAGGGAGCAGATAGGTTTGTAAACACCTCTTCAGCAAAAAAACTCATTCAGGCTGAACCAGAGCCATTTTTGCGATGGAGTCAAAACAGAAAAAGCACATATGTTTTGCTGCACTATCACCAATATTTTAGAAACTGATATCAACACACAACCAAAACTCTGTACTGATTAAATCTTAATAAAAGGCATCGCTTAGAAAGCAAGTGATCAGTGTTAATCAATGTAAGGTTGTAAGGCAAGACAGTACGAGGCTAATTGTGACTCCTCAGCTAAAATTAGCCAACTCTCCACAGACGGGACATCGAACCTCGGATCTTCTGGCTGTTTACAATCGGAAGTGCCACTGCATAACCCAGCCACCAGAGACCTAAAATCCTTTATAGTTAAGACTATACAACCACTGCAAAATAATAATAATAACCTTTGCATTTGATATAGCACTGGACGTCTTCTAGATGTCTCAAAGTGCTTCACAGAATAGACCGTAAAGCGAATTGACTGTATATTTGTGGGCGAAATGCGGCAGCCAATCGCGCACAGCAGCGTCTCACAAACAGTCGTGGATTGAAATGACCAACTTTCTTTGAGAGATTATTATCAGGCGTCGAGATTGTACAGTATTTTTGAAAATTCCCAAACTCACAGATCTGATTAGGATCCCGGTCTCCATACTTCCAAAAACAAACAGAATTTAAGACTGAATTTCCTAAATTCTCTGCAGTATCAAATTTTAAGACAATATTAAGGCTAAGATCATGACGAATTTCACCTCGGGAAATATGGTAGCAGTTTTTAATAAGTAACAGTAGGGTTTTATTTCTTATCTGGATCCTCAAGAGGCCAATGTAGTCAATGGAATTGGCAGGTTGTTGAAGGTTGCAATTCATCAGACTGACAACTGCTGCACACAAAACCTAAGCCTCCATCAATTTACCTCCTCCATGTTGATTTCGAAAGGCCCCATTGATTGGCACTCAGGGCAGGAGCCCGGCTTCACCTCCTGATTCTGGGACTGGAAGAAAGGCCCCAGGATGAAATTACATTTGTTACAGTTGTACTTGACCATGCTGAGCTGGGGTAGGACGCCCGTACAGCTTGTGACCACGCCACTCGTCCGGATCAGCTGATTCAAGTGAAGCTGCCTGCAACGGAAGATTAAGATGCGATAAGGCGCAATATCAAATGAAAGGATCATTATTATTATAGCTAGATAGATAGATCGATCGCTCACTCACAGCATTCCTGTCACACTATACCAGGCTTTCAATTCAAAATGAAATATTCCATCCCTGTGTCGTCTGTGTACAGCAAAGTGGGTTAATCAACAATAATAATCCTTGCATTTGATATAGCGCCTTATCACATTGTTGAGACGCTGAAAGTGCTTCACATGATTATACTGTAAAGCGCATTGACTGTGTATTTTGTGGGCAAAATGTGGCAGCCAATTGTACACAGCAGCGTCCTACAAACGGTCGTGGAATGAGTGACCACGACTATTTGGGCCCTGCCTCCAGTTATTATTATTTTTTTTTGGGGTGGGGGGGCATTATTACCTCCGGAAACTGATCTGCCAATCGACTAACAACCAAGTTCCTAATTATTACTAGGTAAACAGAGGCGTGTGGGTTAAGGAAACTTGCCCAGGGTTTCACCCCACCCGGGAATCTAACTCAGGTCCTCTTACTGTCGAGGTAATTGCGATAAACCCTGGTTGATGTGATAAGCTTGCTCTCTTCTGTAGGTGTGAAAAAAAATGTTCAGAATTGAGGCAAGCAGACGATGACATTAAAGAGTGACCAGTGAGGACAGTGAAAAATTCATCCTGTTGAGAGTGAGGTTAAAGAACATCGTCGTACATCTGCCATGATACACCCGAATTGGGAATACTTGAATATCAGGTACTGTACCTCAACGAGCGGAGCTCCTCTACCAGAGGGAGACTGGAAATTCTAACATGGATCTCCTTTGCGATTCGGTCGTACTTTGGGTACATGGAGAGAACCACGTCTTTGGCAGCTTCATCAAATATCTTGAGCATTTCTGCCGGTGCCTCAGGCAGGAAGTAAGCAAGCACATGCTCCCGGGCAGCCAGATCCTCGTAATTTACCACCAGACTTTCCCTGTTTTCTGCAAGTGCAATAGGTTGTCTGTTACTCTGGGCAGCAGCAGCTGAACAGACCTCAACTCCTAAAATCGCACTAGCGCGAGGGTGGGGCTGGCAGACAGAGCTCTTCAATTTCTCTCAGCACTATGTAACCATTTAGGTTGGCAAGAGTTACCTAATACTATGGTGCGGAGGGAGGTTGTAGGACATAGGATCGCACGCTCCCTAACCATTGCCTGGCAAGATCTTGATTACATATGGAGGTTCCAAGGACAAGGAGTGAGGCCAACATCAACTAGCATGCTCTGGTACTACTCACCTTTACACATGTCGCTTATCTTTTCCTTGAACACGTTGTGTCCATGCTCATCCACGTGGGTCCTTAGGAAGTTCTTGAAACGGTGGTAGATTTCCAGCCTGGGCGCTGCCATGGAAACCCACTCCCTGACGGAGTGACCCTTCATGTCCTCCAGGTTTTCAATGCTTTCAATCATCTGTAGAAGAGAAAGAGAGTGTAAGTTGCAAAACTTCTTTGGGGCAGCTTCAGAAAACACCAGCGATCACATTTCCATTTTACTGGAAATGATCTGAAAGACAGTCCTAATGTCGCATCATATGCAACACGCCTCATAGCCACCACCTGAAACACATTTGTAAATAATAACAACCTTGTACTCACATCATCATCTTCATCAGCGTCTCCGACTGCTGTTGGATCTGCCAAACGCGGACGTTTCTTTCCAGGACGTTCTTCTTCCTCATCACTATCTGCAATAAAAGATCACCGTCACCATCTCCAGTGATAGAACTATGTCTTGTTTCCAGTTACAAAATATTTATAATTTTACTCTCGGCAGGAAAAGAATCTCTATTTAAATCATTTCTCTCCCCACTCTACATGACTCGGCTGAATACACCCGCACTTACGTATTTAATCATACTTATTTCATATTTAAACTGCTTTTCGTTCCACAATGTTTAATGGAAGATTCCAAGTCAGACCCTTACAAAATGCACAAATCAGCACAAACGTGTAAGGGACGCACCATAAAGCAGATCAATCCTCATCCGGCCCTGCCGTAGATCCTCTGCGCGGTCCCTCTGTTGCATCTCTCTTTCAGCTTCTGCTCGCTGGCTTGCGGTCATCTCCTGCAGATCCTCGTCATCATCGAGACCCTCGCGCTCATACAAGTCCAGCTCAGGAATAGCACGGTAGTCACTATAGGTCAGAAGAAACATATCATCAATTAGACAAACAGCGAACAAGTGCAAACTGGTTTCATAATTTATCTTCTGAGAAAAAAAATTCCCCTTGGATCTCCTCTCCCATCTATATTTTCAATTATGATTCAGATAGATATTGCAACTTCAAAGAAACGTGCAGTTCTCTGTTATCTTGTCTTACATTACCTTCTCATCCAAGTTCAATTAACTGTATTGATCATGGGACTTTACGAAGCAGACTGGCTGCTGGTTTGTCTGTGAAATAAATATTTTCTGTTTTCATTTCCAAATATTCCAAGCTGTTTATTTTACACAGAATGTGGATTTTTGTGAATTAACGTAGAAAATTTTACAGCCATTTGGCCTATATATGCAAATCTCTGTTATGAGGATGTTTGTTAGGTCAGGTGTATCAAGGAAACTGGAACAATGGTGGATAATCTCAGTTGAGGTACAGATCAGCCAGATCTTATAGAATGGCGGAACAGGTTCGAGAGGCTGAATGGCTTACTCCTGTTTCTATGTTTCTGAAGGTGCTTTTACCTCCTTGATGAAACAAACTGAATTACATAAGGGAGAAGGAAATAGTAGGATAGGAAATTAGGAAGGGTGAAGGATCATGTACAATATAAACCCTAGTATGGACTACTTAGGCTGAATGACCCATTACCGTGCTCTCACGCCGTATGTAATTCTACATAATTAATTTTACATACGAGAGATTTTCATTCAATTAATATTTTAATGCCAAAGATTTGCAGAATTTACTGAGGTGAAAGGATTTTCCATGGGAAATGCAGTCAGCAATAATATGTTTGGAGCTGATTAATTTCACATGGAGTGTGATGTTGCTGTAGTAACCACCATCATCCTCTGACAATATTAAATTTGTATTGTTCAAACATAGTGCGGTTTGGATACAGACCTCTGTGAGGTCAAACAGAATTTATTATGAGGTAATTAGGCCTGATTCAGTTGACTGAATAGTAACAAATTGCTCCGGGTGCAGGAAAGAAAAACATTGTAATGTGCGCGACTCAAAGCAGCAAGGCTGAAAGAGGACATTTGCCAGAAATTACCGAATTGCAGCTGCCACCTTCTTCGCAGCTGCTTTCCTATCGTAATTTGTAGCAACAGTAATTTGGTTGGGAATTGTGGTGATTTGGAGGCTTCAGAGAAAGATGGTTTTGATGAACATTTTCCTCACTGCTTGTTTTATCATGATTACTGGCTGCTGCTACATCTATGGACACTTTACTCGGAGCTACAGAAATGCTCAGAGCTCCCAATAAAGACAACACACTTCTTCCTTTCCCAAATATTTAGACATCAAGATAGAGAATCCAAGGCTGTGTGTATTAATTTCTATTACAATCAAGGATGCGACTATCCTGTCCCCTGCCGGAGCAACTTACTATTTGGCTACTGAAGAGATCAACCACTGAATGGAAACAGACCACCTAAATTTATATAATGTCTTCCACACAAACTAAACATCTCAAAGAACTATAGAGGAGACATCTCAAAGGTATACTTTCTATTATTTCTCAGCAGAGACACCGACATTGTTTCAAAAACACAACTTGTGCGTCTGTCTTGATAAACTGCTACTTTCCACAATTTCAATAATAGTTACAAGGCCTCCCTCCACTAAACACAACATTTAGCCCAGTTGCTCAAAAATATCCTGAATACAAAAATCTGTCTGGTACCCAACCTCCAAAATAAAAGTTTCCTTGCTTGCTGCAAAAGATGTGTATAACGTTCCCAGATTTTTACAACGTCTTATTATTTACTCACTCTTCCATCGCATCACCCATCAGATCCTCGCCTTCCTCTTCCTCAACTAGCACATCCGTTCCAAGCAAACCTTCGGATTCATCTTCAAACGGAGGAAGATCTCTTCCGGGACTGGAAGTCAAGGCATCGCCACGCCGAGGGGTTCGGTTTGGGCTTGCAGCCACGTTGAATGACTCAGAAGATTCCTATTAGCGCAAAGAACAGTTGGAATTATTAAGCAGTTTTAGCAATGCTTCCAAAAGTAGCAACGTTGTACAAATCCTTACCGAGCCAAGTAGGACCTTCATTCACACTGAAATAAAATGCTTCGAAAAAAAAGGACAATTACTCTTGTTAGATACATCAGACATTAAAAGGCAGTGAAATTTGATGATGGTAACTTGTGCATCTCACTCAAAAATGAATCTGTCAGGAGACCAGTCAATCAAATGCACAAATATTTGGCAGAATTTGAAGTGTTACAGTCAATTTGAGACACTGTAAGCTTCAAATAAAGCAAATCTGTGAACTCCAGAATGGGTTGTGATTTTTCTAAAAATTAAAACTAGCACCAGTATTTGGAAAGAGACAAGGCATTTATAAATGAACATTTACAAAGTGTCAGAATCGAAAATTTCACCTAATTTTATCAACGTACAATTTCTTAAATATCAGATGGAAAGTCAAAACCAGGACAGTTTGGGCATACATATTAGTTCTGGTAAGCATATTTATAATAATCCTCGCATTTGATATAGCGCTTCTCTGGTCTTCCAGACGTCTCAAAGCGCTTCACAGAATATACTGCAAAGTGCACTGACTGTATACTTGTGGGTGAAACGCAGCAGTCAATTGCGCACAGCGGTGTCCCACAAACATCGTGGATTGAAGTAACCAATTTATTATTGGTTATTATCGTGGAGTCCTGTAGCTCAGTGGTTAGAGCACTCGCTTTGCAAGTGAGAGACCTGAGTTCAATTCCAGGCAGAGGGCGAAACCTTGGGCAAGTTTCCTTACTCCACACAGAGCCTAATAATAATCCCTCCAAAACACAAAACAATAACAAATCGGTCATTTTCAATCCATATGACTGTTTGTGGGACATTGCTGTGCGCCATTGGCTGCCGCGTTCGCCCACAAATATACATTTAACTCACTTCACGGTGTGTTCTGTGAAGCGCTTTGGGACGTCCTCCCGACGTGAAAAGCGCTGTATCAAATGCAAGGATTATTATTACTATTATTGTTTTGTTTCTTGAGGGATTATTATCAGGCGTGTGGAGTAAGGAGACTTGCCCAAGGTTTTGCCCTGCCTGGGAACTGAATCCCGGGTCTCTCGCTTGTGCTCTAACCGCTGTGGTACAGGACTCCACGACACAAACAAGTGAGAGTGCTATACACCAACCCAGAAAGGCTGACTCCGGGGACTCTGCTGAGCTGCACTGAGCTCCAGTTGGATGTTAAAAGATCCCACGACACTGTTCCAAAAGAGAAGGGGAGTCTCTCTCTCTCCTGTGTCCTGGACAACAATCCCCCAAATAAAATGGCTCACTCCCCCCCCCACCACCCCACCCCACGGTTGTTGGTGGGACATTGCTGTGTGCACGTGGCTGTTGCGTCTTGTCCACAACGTACAGGACAGTCCGTCCGCTGAACAGCGTATTCCTGTGAAGCGTTTCGAGGCGCCTCCACGACGTGATATCAAATTCAAAGATTACGATGGTGATGGCGATGACGATGATAATAACAGTATCTGTCAGAGACTCGGTCGGGTCAAGAAACTTTTCCAGTGTCGTGTTCTTTACCGACGCGTTTTGCGGGAAACTGACCCGACGGCTGAGACTGGAGTGAACACAGTGGAGTGAACACAGAGAGGGGGAGAGGGAGGGAGAGAGCAAGTGGGGGGAGCGGTGCCCCTCCTGACAGCCTTTGGGCCGTTAGCCTCTTATTGTTCGGAAGAACTGAGAGCCGGGGCCGGGCCGGGCCCCCTGTACTCCGGACTGCACCCCTCCCGCCCCCGGGAGCCGCTGGGCCCGGTCACCATCAGAGCGGGAGGGGGGGGGAAGAGACCTGCGACCCGGTGCCTAACAAGTCACTGACGAACGAGCTCCCCCCGGGGGGGGGGGAAGGGGTTTGGTATCACCGGCGCCGACTTTCTCCTCACGTTGACACTCACCGCCATGTCGCTCGCGCTCCTCTTCCTCTGACGGGCTCCTCAAAGCGAGTTTTGGCGCCCAAACCGCCCACCTGACCATCCGCCGACGTCACACGCGCGCGCGCACGTCCAGCGGCCCTCCGCGCCGACGCGGGACGCGGAGCGACGTCGGCTCCCGACTCTTCAAAGCGGCGCGTCGCACGTCACCGACGCTTCGTTGACTATTAAATCCGAGCGACGTGTGACGTCAGCGCGTCGATGTTATTGTGCGTGCGTGCGTGCAGTCGGCGGCGGCCTGAGGTGGTGGCGGCGGCGGCGACGGGAGGTGCGTCCTGAGTTACGCGGCCCAACGGCCGGCACCGCAGCAGCGCCTGGAAGAAAGAAAGGAAAGAAAAAGACAGAGAGAGAGAGAGAGGCTTTTCTTTCGACGCGAAATGACCGATAACCGTCTGCTGAGCCGAGAGAACCGACGACTTTCGTGAGAAACGGCGGCGAACGTGAGTGAGGCTCGAGCGCCGACGCCGCCGGCTCGCCGCCTGATTGGTTGGCTGCGCTGTCAGTCATTCGGTGATGGGGGGGCGGGGCTCCGCGGGGGGCGGGGCGGGGCTCCGTGGGGGGGGCGGGGCCGGGAGTTAAGGGACCGTCTCCCAAGTGCAGGCTGTGGAGCCTGAGGTGTGGAGGCGGATTCCTACTGCAAACCTGAGTTCAACAGAGAGCATTGGGATTGGTTTGGGACTGTCAGACTCACTCCAGGCTGTCACTCTGTCTCCTGCTGCCCAGCTCCGGACTCGTAAGGATGGAAAGCTGGAAGCGGATCATTTCTCCCTCCCAACTCTCACCATAACCACGACAACCGTAAACCTCACTGGGTACCAGCGGGGCCCTGCGTGTCGGAAAGGCGCCCCCCCCCCCAGGGCGCTGGGGAGCAGAGGAGGTTTCGCCCCACAAGATGTGCGGTCGATCTGCTTCGGCGTATATGCCGTGAAGCGCTTTGAGGCGTCTCGAAGATGTGAGAAGGCGCTCTATCGTACGTGTATAAGGCTCGGTCCCGGGACCAGTTTGCTGTGAGGCGCCGTCCGGCGTGGAGGGCGCTACGTAAATCCGAGTTGTTGTTGAATGTTTTGAGGGTTACATCATATCACAATATTGATCAGAAGATTAATTTGGAGGCCCTTTGGCCCGTGTGAACTCATTCCGACTCAATACCCAGCCAACCTTTCTCCAATGGCTGCACCAAGCTGCTTTTCAAACGATGAGCTGAACCTCATCCTGCCCTCGCCTTGAAGTCAGCCACTTGTAGGAAGGCTGCCGGCCTTCGATGCCGTTTGCTGACGGCTGCAATAATAAGATAAAAATAATTCTCGCACTTGGTATAGCCCCTTATCGCGCCGTTGAGACGTCTCGAAGCGCTTGACAGAATATATTGCAAATAATAATAATAATAATCCTGGTATTTGATATAGCGCTTTTCACGTCGGGAGGACGTCCCAAAGCGCTTCACAGAACACACTGTAAAGTGAATTGACTGTATATTTGTGGGCGAACGCGGACTGTACACATTGACTGTGGGTGAAACTGTACACCCACCCACCCACTGGTACCCTGAAGCCTGGACCTGCGGTGGGGTGGGTGGGGGGGGTTGAGGTTGATTTTAATATTTTATTTTACGCCCTCTCTCGGTTTTGTTTTAACACTCGGATATGGACGTTCATTTGGGAGACTGAGCCTAAAAGGGGACTTGTGTGTGTGTGTGTGTGTGTGTTTGTATGTGTCTGTGGTGTGTGTGGGTTGTAAGTTCCCTTCTGGCAGGAGGTTGGAGGCTGCAGTCAGGTGATTGACGCTCATTTTTTTAAAAGAAACAACAGAAAGAGAAAGGGGGAGAGAGAGAGAAGGAAGGAGAGAGAGAGATGGTTTGCACAAGCTCCAGGGTTTGACGTGACTCTGGCTTGACAGCTGGACACTGCAGACCTTCTCATCCCACCCCCCCCCACCCCACTCCCCCTCTCCTCCTCCTTTTTATTCAGTGCTCAGTCCAGATCTGAAAGTGAAAGGTTGTGGGAAAGGGGGTGATGGTGGTGATGGTGGCGGCGGTGGGTCGGGGCTTGATCTCAGAGTGAAGCCGCCGGAGCAGATTGATAACCAGTGAGTGGGTTCGGTTCGCTACCATGTTGTTGGCCATCGGGACCGGCTTCCTGCTTCAGGGCCGGTTCGGTTCGATTCCAAGGCAAATTCATTGCATGTTTTTTTTTTGGGGGGGGGGGTTGGTGTTTAAACCTCCACCCCACTCCCCCCATCTATTTGAACAGCTCTTTTCTTTTTTGTTTGTTTATTTATTTGTGTGTGTTTTTTGTCTCTCTCTGTTGCATCCCCTACTGTTACTCTCATTGTTTTTTATTTGGGGGGGGGTGGAGGGAGGGAAATGAGGGCAAAAGTAACCTAACTGTGAAGTATGAATTTTTCTTGCGAAAAGGGGGGAAATATTTTTTTTGTGTGGCTGTTTTTTAAGGACAGAACAGAAATCCGCTCATTAGATTAAATCAAATCGTCAGATTTCTTAAAAAAAAAGTTGCTTGATTAATTTGTTTTTATTTTTTTATATATATATATATATATATGCTCATCCAGTGATTAGATCAACCTGAGGACACTCGTGATTCTCCGACCTGCAAACACTTTCCTGGGATGTTTGTTGTTGGGTTTACCACTGTGTGTGGGGGCGACAGAGGTCTGGGGAGTGTGTTGAAGGGCAATGCTGATAATAATAATAATAATAATCATAATCCTTGCATTTGATATAGTGCTTTTCACGTCGGGAGGATGTCCCAAAGCGCTTCACAGAATACACTGTAAAGTGAATTGACTGTATATTTGTGGGCGAACGCGGCAGCCAATTGCGCACAGCAATGTCCCACAAACTTGTAGATTGAAAATGACCAACTTATTTTTGATTTTGGAGGGATTATTATTAGGCTCTGTGTGGAGTAAGGAAACTTGCCCAAGGTTTCGCCCTCTGCCTGGAATTGAACTCAGGTCTCTCACTTGCAAAAGGAGTGCTCTAACGACTGAGCTACAGGACTCCACGATCTCAGCCGGTACAGTGTTTTGGGACAATACTAGTTTTAGGAAGGGTGGAGGGAAGCAAAGGAAGAAATCAACAACAACAACAACAACAACAAGATTCCATTTATAGAGCGCCTTTCACATCAGGAGGACGTCCCAAGGCGCTGCACAGTTGGGTCATGACCCGAGCAGGGGGGAAATGGTCAGGGTGAGGGGAGGGAAGGGAGGGAGAGAGGAGGGGAAATGGTCAGGGTGAGGGGAGGGAAGGGAGGGAGCGAGGAGGAGGAAGAGAGTCGAGAGGGGAGCTGAAGGCACGGTCAAAGAGAAAGGTTTTGAGACCGGCCTTGAAGGAGGAAAGGGAGGAAGCGGCGAAGGCACTGGGGGATGGAGTTCCAGAGCCTCGGGGCTGAGAGGCTGAAGGCCCGACCACCGATAGTAGGGCGGTTGGGGCGGGGGACGTGGAGCAGACCGGAGCCAGAGGAACGGAGGGTACGGGCAGGTAGGTAGGGGGATAGTAGGTTGGAGAGGTAGGAGGGAGCAAGGCCGTGAATGGCCTTGTAGGTGAGGATGAGGATCTTGAAATCAATCCTCTGGGGGATGGGGAGCCAGTGGAGGCGAGCGAGGGTGGGAAACAAATCAGTGCGTTCCTGTTTTTTTTGAGGGTTGAGCTGTGTCCCTGTTGGGGGTGGGGTGGGGGGGAGAACGTTTACATGGCTCTCCAGATAGTGCTCAGTTATAATTACGCCTTCTGTCAAATTGAATCTTTACAGCTGAATAATGGTCACCTTTTTGGTATAGGATGGATGACCAGTGTCCATTGAACGGTATACCAGCACGTCGCTGCCGGTGGGGAGGCGACGGTGAGACGTACACTTTCGAGTTTGCGTGTCAAGGTTTCATTCAGGTCTTTCCTCCAAGCTAAGTTGTTTCTTGGCTGACCGCTAACTGCAGGCTTCGGTCCTTATATCATGATTTAAGATGCAGTCATTTTTATTTGAAAACCCGATCGCACCAGAGTTGCTGTGCATGACTGGCCCGTGAATAACGCAGATCAAATGGAGTGTTAGAATGAAGAGTAAAAACAGTGAAATGGCTCTTTGTTTTATATTTGAAGCACCAACTATTCTGCAGATAGTACACTTATTTTGCTATTAGTTGTTTATCCACTGAGCTCTGTTGGGGCAGTGTAGACTGTTGGGGGTTGAGGGGAGTGAGAGACTGCTACACAGATTCAATTGTGCAAGCACTGCACTTGGCTTGCGCAGACTGTCAAGAGTGTCTGTTTTGATAGCGTGAGAATGGGTGAGTTTTCCTCTTAACTACAAGACAACACCCAAGCAGTGAGGTCATGGCATCTTAGTTAGTGTCTCCACATCATGACTCGAGCTTGAAATCTAGCTGATGCTCCAGTGCATTACTAGCGTACTGCTGCCATTCTACTGATGAAATGTTAAACAGTGACCTATTTGCTCTTCTGCTAGCAGGAGATGTCGTGCTCCGCCACTGTCAAGCGCTCTGGGCCGCTACCCTGAGTGAGAGGCGCAATATAAATGGAAGTAGTTGTTGTGAAATATCCCACAGGTAGTTTTAAAGTAAAGAAATGAGTTTCTCCCATTTTCTGGGCCAATATATTGTATTTTACTCATCCAAATTTGAAAAAATGTTAGTTTTCTGATTAACAGATGAGATGTTAAACCGAGGTCCCATCTGCCTGTTCAGGTAGACATTAAAGATCCCGAAAAGAGAAGGGAGTTTCTCCCGGTGTCCTGACCAACAATCCAACAAACTGGTCACTAGTTTCATGGCTGTTTGTGGGACATTGCTGTGCGCATTTGTGCTACCGTTTGCCTTCAAATACACAGTCACTCCATTGCACAGTAAACTGTGAAGCACGTTGAGAAGTCTTTCCGACGTGATGAAAAGCTAGACCAAATGGAAGGATTATTAATAATATTATTATTATAACTTCTGTACAAAACTGTGAGCAAAGCAAATGGCAGAGCTTCTTGGATTGAGTCGATTTTAGGTCAAATGGGACTGAAGACTAAGTTAAGGTGAAGAACGCTGATGTAGCAGTCGTGTCCTGTTTCCTCTTCTGCTTCAAAGTAGTTGAAAACTCTCTTGTTAATCATTTACTTTGTGAGTCATCTGTGCCAACTACATGAGTAATGTAGAATTAAATCCCAGAACTGGATTTTCTGAAAGATTCACTCCCGTGTCCAATTATATTTTTTATTTACTTGCCTCTTCTCACTCAGGGCTGACTGGTGCTGGAGTATGGCTCCACAGGCACTCACTCCCCCACTTCCACCTCATCCCAAGCCACCAGTTCTGCTGTAAAATGATGTGCACCTTAAAATCCTTGCAAATAAAGGACATAGTTTCTCTACCAAATGCATTATTAAGTGTTGCATGCAAACCAAATGTGGAATTGACTGTAAGTCCCCTGTGACTGACAAACCAACAGTTATCCGGAAACCCTCCCCCTGCGTTAGAATATGTACCCTATCTATAGCTCATCATTGGGTGCCCTGAGCTCCCACAGTAATCACAGGCCTATACAGCCATGGTGTGGTGGTGTCTCAAGAATTATCTAACCAGTTATCTATCTCCTTGTGCCTGATTTCAACACTGTGAGGATGCAGGAAGAGGCAAAGCAACTGCAGTTTGGGAGGATAATTCAGTAGATGAATGACATCAATAAAAATGAAAGTAGGGTAGTACTCAACTTTAAGCATCTGCGTATGCGTGATGGGTGCGTTACATAAATTAGATCTACTTTCTGCAGTTTGTATTACAATATTCTGGTTAGCGGTCTCAGTTACACTGATGTACAGAATGACTCCCTTCAGGCTTCAATGCAGAATGATGTATTAGCTTCCCCCCTTCTCACCAATTTAATTAGTCTATATAAAAAGCCTCCCATCAGTTGCAGGTTTTGACACCCAGTCATTTTCCTTCTCGATATAGCCTGTTACAAACTGATAGAGTGGGTAACGCTTTGAGGCAAGGGATGTTATGACAAACATTGACTAGTAATTGAACACTACCTTTTGAATGTTAACCTTATGATGTGCACCAATTCTCTTCAGGTCTGCAGATCTTTCTTTTTTAAGCAAAAATCCTTGCGATTAATGTAGTTCCTTTCACGTTGGAAGGACATCTCAAAGTATTTCACAGAAAAAAAACGAGAGCTCTGCTCTTGCTGACTGACACATTGGCTCTGGGAGTTTGCAGTTTTGTGCTGCTGAAGATTTAAAACCCTCAGTGAATTTCTTGAGTTAGCAGAATTTTGCTGCTTGTTGGCCAAGCTATTTTGTAGATTGGTTCAATTGTAGTCCATTTCTCAGATCTGATGAACCAGCACATTCCTGGTGATATGTTTCCAAGGATCAAGACTGTAGTTTGCTGTTCGTAACCTGTTGGCTTTTTTTCAACACTTTGATGTGTAATTATTTAAGGATTTGTATGGAGCGTAGATTACAGTGGGTAGAAAGTTCGACACAACCGAGTCATGTTGGTGCTTGTGCCTCTACTACCATTGCTGTTTTTAAATTGAAACCAAACCTGATCCTTTCTGACCACGTGGCCGTTTTGTGGCAGGGATCTGATTGAACAGCACATTGTTTGCATGACTGTAGCTTTTAATCCTCGCACTTGTATTCTACGGAGCTTGGCAGGAGAGAAAAGTGAAATCATGTGCTAATGAAATAACTGCGGTTTTAGGTAATATGGTTGGTACAGTACGTGTATCTGACTGCAGTCTTTCGCGCCCCCACCATAATTGCATTCAATTTATGATCTAGCTTCTCTACCATGGACTCTGTGCTATGTTATACACTGAACCATGGGAGGAAGATTAACGCAATTTAGATGATTCATTGGTGCAGTGTACTATGAAGGGCTGAGGGGAAGAACACTACAAATACTCTTGAGAAACCCCCGGGTGGTAATTTACAAACAAACCCGGCTGGAAGAAGAATAATGTTCATAAATAACTATTAATGTTTTGCATTTGGTTCTTCGTCTTGTAGGGTTGAGTCGCGATGAATACCCTGTCAGCTGTGGTGAGGTTCTCAGCATACGGCAACCTGAGTACCGCAGTGCACGATAACGCCAGCACAGCCACCAGCGTGGCAGCACCGACCTCGGCAGCATGGTGGAGCACGGTGGAGCCCAGCGGCACGCTCTCCAATATCAGCCACCCGCACAAGTGCCTCATTGTCCTGTACGCAGACATTGGTCATTCGAGGTAAGCTAAGGCTGCTCGGTTGCATCCGAGACGATTGCTTCAAAATATTTATCTCCAGCCACACACACGCCACTTTTTAATGTCACTCTCTCACACGCATGCACTCACACACCCTTACATCTGAATTGGTCAATTTGAATCCAGTTCCCAGAAGTGAAAGGGTGTGTCCTGTCAGAGGGAACCGCAGTCGCTTCATGAATTCCTTTAATCGGGTCCATGGGGGTTTCAGCTGTCAGATTTGTAGAATTACTTTGCAGTTGGTGCCAACTTTGTTAATTAACCCACTTCACACATCTTTCATTTGTACTTGTGTTTGATGTGCCTCTCAAAAGGATGAGTTGACGTTGAAGCTATCCGTGGTTGGCCTTAGGATGGAAAGGGGGAAATCAGTATAAAATGCTTCTCTATTTGATCTCCACATTTTCCTTTTCAGGCACCGGTTATCAGCTTCTCGAGTCTTCCCATATCAGCTCTTTCTACTTTCTGCTGGTCCTCTTTCCCCTAAGAAATGGGACTTAGTTTACTCTGATTGTTTGTTTATAATGAGATTCCCATTGTAACTATTGTAACATGGAGTCCTGTAGCTTAGTGGTTAGAGGACCTGGGTTCGATTCCTGGCCAGGGTGAAACGTTGGGCAAGTTTCCCTACGTCACACCTCTGTTTACCTAGCAGTAAGTAGGAACCCAGTCGTTAGTCGGTTGCTTTCTTGGGAAATAATTCCTTCAAAAAAACTAATAAAAAATAATAATTTGTTCATTCAATCTACGACTGTTCATGGGACACTGCTTGCAATTGGCTGCTGCGTTTCGCCCACAAAATATACAGTCAATTCACTTCACAGTATATTCTGTGAAGCGCTTTGAGACGTCTCGAAGACATGAGAAGGCACTGTATCAAATTCAAGGATTATTATTATTATTATAAAGATGCTATGCAAACATTGCTGCTACAGAAATCAGCTCAAATCAGGCCTCAACTATACGCATCCACCTCAGAAGATCACTTGCTTCTTTCTGCCCTGCACCAAAATGTCTTGCTCTCCCACTCTTCTTGTCCGTGAAGCCTCTCTGAGTGACGCTGCTAAATCATGGGAACTTTTGGAGCATTACACAGTGTTGCTAAGAATTACATTGACAGTACAGTAGCGAACGAGTTGATTTGGCTCAACTCCACACAGGCCTCCACTCCTCTTTAACCCCTCTCCGATACCTTTCTATTCCTTTATCCCCAAAACTAGTTTGAAAATTTGCTTCATGTAGGAAACCTACAGCCTCCAGAGAGAGTGGACATTCATTGTATCATTATGAGCTGTTTTGGAACCTTGTTCCAAAGGAGTCTGATTGATAATCCACGACTGTTTGTGGGACGTCGCTGTGTGCAATTGGCTGACCTGTTTCGCCCACAAAATATACAGTCACTACCTTTTGCAGTATATTCTACGAAGCCCTTTGAGACACCTCAATGATGTGATAAGGCACTATATCAAATGCAAGGATTATTATGGGAATATTATAAAAGACTAAAGTTTTAGACTGTGCTATGTAGAGTAGAGGATTCCTCCCCAAACTGTGCCCAAGTCAGATTTCATAACATATATTCCAATTTCATTTCTTTGTTTTTCTCTCCACAGAGTTCGTTTCTGGGATGTCTTTCTTCTCATCCCCAACGTGCTCTTCTTTGCGTTTTTAATCTGGAAGCTTCCATCAGCTAGAGCGAAGATCCGGGTCACTTCTAGCCCAATATTCACCACATTCTATATCCTGGTGAGTGTCTGAAACATAGCAGTATAAAGTCAGTGAGTGGCTGCAAAATGGAGGTGAACAAGTCTAGATTTGTACCAGAGTGTTTTGTTTTTTCCTGAGTCGCTTCATAAGGTTTTTTTTTGTAAGCAGTTTCAGTTTTTTTATCTGTGGGGAACAAGAAAGTGGAACTAATAATAACCACTCAAATTTGATACAGTACTTTATCATGCTGAAACATCTCAAAGCGCTTCACACAGTGAGTTCCTTTGAAGCGTAGAATTTTAGAATGTAGTAACGCGTGTTACATAAGCAAGACACATCCGCTAATCTGTGGTAGCAACATCCCACACTCAACCAAGTATGTGAATTGATATTTCATGCATTTTGATGAATTTGGATGCAAGAGAAATATTGGCCAGGACACTGGGCAAAACTCTTCTGTTAAGTACTGCTACAGGAACTTTCACATCCACCTGAGCCACCAGAACAGGCAAATAGTTTTAATAGTTTAATAGTTAATCTGAAGTTATGTGATTTAGTCCTTCACTATTCTCTCCTCGTCATTTATATTTGACGAGGAGAGAATAGTGAAATCACTAAATTGCTTGTAGGACGTTGCTGTATGTAATTGCAGTGTACATTCTGTGAAGCATTTGAGAAGTCTCAATGACATGATAAGGCAATATATCAAATGCAAGGAATTTTATTATTAGTATTTTTACATTTTGCTCAGGTCACTGGATTCTTGTAATGTCTGTTTTCAGGAGATTCCAGCGTTTATGATTTGTGCCCATGTAAATAAACTAAATCTCTGCCGTTCCCTCAGCAAATCTGAGTGAATGCGACAGCTGGGAGTTCAGAGTCCAGGTTTCTCTGGTACACCGGGGAGGTTATTTTTTTTTCTAGATTCATAGAAACATGGACATTTCAGTACAGAAGGAGACCATTCAGCTCAGCTCATGTCGTCCACTGTAGCTATCCCACGCGCTTCATTCCCCCTTTCTATATTGTTTCTCCTGAAATATTTATCACCATTCCCTAATAAATGTTGTTTCAGTAGACACTTGCTGCTAAGCATGCATACTCTAATAACTCTGTGTGGGGAAAATTCATCCGGTGACGATTCTGAGCTCTTGCCCGTTATTGATTTACCAACCAGGAGACTCCTGTTTGAACTCTGAACCGCATACAGGCAAAGATAGATATAAGTGGACATTTATAGTTATATTGTTTTCAAACTTATTTTCTCTTACAGAATGCGGTGCCAGCTGTAGAAAGTCTGTATCTCTAGAAAGTTACTGGGACTTTCCGAGTGGGATTCACACTTGCTTACAGCTTTACTAGTTCCATTATTCTTTGTACCTCTTAAAATAGAATGAATCAGAATCTAAAGAGGAAGGGGAACTACTTGACAATGTCAGTGTAAGACAGGCAGATGTTATCTGCCAGCCGGTGATATGCTTGGGTGTGGTATTATAGGGAATTTCTATTTATTTCTCCTTCATGGGTTGTGATTATGTGAGACATTTCTCACTATAATAATAATCTCACATTTCGTATAGCATTTTATCACTTTGTTGAGATGTCTCAAGGCACCTCACAGGAGATAGCGTAAAGTGTATTTTTAGGGCGAAACGCAGCAGCCAGTTGCACACAGCAATGTCTCACAAACAGCCATAGAATGAGTGACCAATTTTATTTTGGGGATTGTTGAAGCTCCCTTCTCTTTTTGAATGGCACCATGAGATGGATCTTTAAAATGGGACCTCAGTTTAACATTTAATCCGAAGGACTATGAAGAGAATAAAAGTAAAATTCTTAAAAAGAACAAATGCCTACGCAGTATCTTAGAAAATTTCCCAGCCTCAAGCCCATTATTTTGCTGAAATCAAAAATGATAATCCTTGAGGTTGATGCAGTTTCTTTCCTGTTGGAAGGGCATCTCACAAGGTGTTCCCACAAGGAGATGGACATCTTCTGATGAATGACTCCAATTGGCTCAGATTGCGAACCATTAGAGTGGGGAATCGGGCTGACCTTGCTGTTTTGTGGCTCCATTGGAGCATGGTGTTTAAGGGTGTCACTGAGAGGTAGAGAAACTTCCAAAAAGAGACTGGGTGCTAGAACGGGCAAGATTGTATCATAAAGGGATGAGCTTTGCTGGGTCAAATGGCCTTTCTGATCCTTCACTTTTCTTATAATCCTTCAATTCCCTGCATTTTGGGGGGTTTATTGGGTGGGTGGTGGGGGGGGGAGCAGATAAATATGTATTACACTGGCAGTGGGCTGTGAAGAAAGCAAACGAGACCATGAAAGGTGAGTATTCTGGATGTTCCTTCAGGGTGATCTGTTGTATTCTGGAACCCTGTGCAATGTGCAGCGCAGCTCACTGGCTCCTATTCATTCGTTCACAGGTGTTTGTGGTGGCGCTTGTGGGTATCGCCCGAGCCATTGTTTCCATGACAGTCAGCGCTTCCAGTGTGGCAATGGTCACAGACAAGGTATGTGGAGAAACAGGGAGCAAAGTCAACCAATATAGCAACACCACAAACATTTGCCGATCTCAGTCTAGCCACTGTGGGGCTTAGCGCTGGCTCAATGAGAAGCCAAGGGACTGTTTCTCCAGGCAGACGTCCCACTGCCTCCTGATGAAGAGCTGCCTTTGAAGGGCTCTGGGATACTACCCCGCCTGAAGGGCGCTATGTAACTGCAAGTTGTTGATGAGAGGGTGTCGCAGTGGGAGATTGGAGGAGAGAAATATGGGAGGAAGAACAACCCGCCAAATTGAAAATTTGCTGGCTAAGTCCCCACTTTGGGAAGGTGGATGGTGAGACCTTTCTGAGGTTAAACTGATTCTGAGGAGTTGAGGATTCTGAGGAGTCTTGCAGTAATCTGAAGCACTGCTGATGGGTAAGCAGCCTGAATGGATTAACAAAGATTTGTGGAGATGCAAACGCGTTCTCAACCCATCAAGCCAAAGCTTTAACCGGCATCATTCTGAGCTAGACCAGCACTGAGTGACATGCTGGTGCTTTGTAAGATACGTGGTTACTGAATGGTCGTGAAATCCGCAGCACTGGTTTTGCCTTTCTTGTGTTGAGGTGGGCTAAATACGCTGCTTGAAAGCCGCATCATTATTTGATTACTGAGTTTAAGTGGGAGGTGACCCCCTTTCACAGCACTTGTATTTCTAGATTCAGATTAATATATAACAAGAAAAAGATGGATTGAGTAAATTCATTTAGCAGCCTCTGGGCAATTTGCCCTATAACCAATTTAATCTCAGTGATGTAAAGCACTAAATCTTTAATGGTCAAAAATGCTCATTGAGCTTGTTGTGGGATTTCCTATTACAAGGTGGTGTTTTGCCAACAATTGCTTCCTATTACGTAGTCCTAATGTGAATCTGAAGTGAAGTGCGATGATTCCCTCGTCTCCATTGGTGGCATCTGGTGGACACAAAGTCAACCAATGAAGTCATTTTTAGAGACTCCACACACGATCTAAAACGTCACCAATTGAATGAAAGCAAAACAGTCAGCCCACGGGGCCCTTTCCGTCAATGGTGTAAGACTCTCCACTTGCACCACTTGAACTCAGACCTGCTTCTGCCTTCAATGACCTACATCATTAGTCCTGGCAATGAGGTTTTGACATTCCACAGTTTCTTTAATTCGACAGTCCTCTGTGCTCTCAGGCTCATACCTACAATTTCCACACACAACATTCATTGGCTTCCTGTGCTGATAGCTTGATTGAGATTTAAATCGCTCCTCCCTCAGGAGGAAAGGTGGGATGTGTAATGTCTGGCACCTCCTAGTGCCTAAACCACGAATAGCGATGGTGGGAATGGAAGAGTATGGATATCTATACTGTACTTGCTTTGCTAGGAAATGGTTTGCGCTGTTGGAGACCTGTACAATGTAAATAAAATGGGGAACAACGGAATTCAACGTGGTGCCATTTCTCTTTTCAGATTCTTTGGGAAATCTCCCGATTCTTCCTGTTGGCAACTGAACTCAGTGTAATAATATTGGGACTGGCATTTGGTAGGTCATCATTTTATTTTGTAATTCAAGCCTATTTGTACCAAGAGGAAAATAGAGCATTGATTTTTATAACGTGAGTTTTTGTCTCTTGCTCTGTCTTTAGGACACCTTGAAAGCGCTGCGAGCATCAAGCGTGTGTTGGCTATCACCACCGTGCTAGCTCTGGGTTACTCAATAACACAGGTATGATGCAACAGAATTCACAACCCAAACATGTTTTGCTCTGACAACAACCAATTAATAATTAGCCAACAATGACCATCTGAAACATTCTTTGAGCCTGAATTGAATTCTGTCCCGACTGACCTTATCGCTTCCTTAAAGAAAAAGGGCAGAAAGGAATCCCATGATGGATAGAATCTTTCCATTATTCCCCAAAACGACCAGTCAGCTCGTCATACAGCAGTTAATATGGTTTCGCTTTGATTTTTAGTGTCAAGGCCAACATGGCACGGGTTCAGAATTGTAAAGGTCGAGTGTAGGGCATCCACCTTGAAGCATTTCTTCATACCGAGGGAAATGAATGTCTGGAACAGGTTACCAAGAAATAAAGTTAAAACCAAGATATTGGACACATTTAACAAATTGCTTCACACTGTCATGGGAAGACAATGGGATGGATTGGTATTCTGTAATGGGCCAATTTACCAGTAGTCCAGATCTGTGAGCCAGAATCCAAATGGAGTGCATTAAGAATGGTTTTGGAGTTTGTGTCAACTCCAGCACATCCAAGTTCATTCGTAATCATCACAGCCTCAAATTTAAGGCACAGATTGGATCCCATTGTGACGGTGAATCTAGTGTTCACTCTATCTGAGAGCACTTGATATCGATGTTGGGATGCACTGATGTTTTGTGAGGGTGGGTGGGGGGGCAGGCGAATTGTTCGGATTGTATTGGATTGGATCTGACTAGTATGTTTGCCTGCAGGGAACCCTGGAGATCTTGTATCCAGATGCGCACCTCTCTGCGGAGGACTTCAATGTGTACGGACATGGAGGGCGTCACTTCTGGCTTGCCAGCTCCTGTTTCTTCTTCCTAGTAAGTAGACTCCAAACACTTTGCTTGATGTGTGCTTGGTATTTATGTTGTCTGCTTCCGATGGTGGAGTTGAGGGCTGAACCCATGGAGGTCCTGAGTTTTGGGAGTGTGAATTAACCAATTAGCAAGTACCTAAAAGGAAGTTTACAGGAAGTGCTTCTATTGAAAAACATCTGTGGTCCTATTGTGTGCAATAGCTAAAAGTAGCGATCTTTTCATTACAGGATTCCACATTATAAGCCAACACCCAAAAATTTGCCATTTTTAGTGATCGCAAGTGTTGGATCCATTTTGGCTTCAAGAAGTATCTGAGAAATGTGAAATGTGTTACAAAATGTTAATTGTTCTGTAGCATGTTCTGGTGCTGGTGGCTTTGTGCATCAATTTCCTTTGAAACCTCAGGTGTTGTTACCCTGATAGAGAGTAGCATTCTCACCACTAAGTCAGAAGTGCCGCCGCATTAGGCCTTTTGAGCTTTCAGTCCAGCAATGTCAGTGATGCCGTCCTTCAGATGAGGTGTTAAACAGAGGTCTGGTTTGCCTGTCCAAGTGGACTTTAAAAATCTTACGCAATATTTGAAAAGAGAAACGGAGTTTCTCCCGATGTCCTGGCCAACAACCACTCAGATAAAATTGAACATTTGCTTCATTGCTTTGTGCAAATTGCCTGCAAGATACAGTCACTTTATAGTAATAATAATAATAATAATAATAATCCTTGCATTTGATATAGCGCTTTTCACGTCGGAAGGACGTCCCAAAGCGCTTCACAGAACACACTGTAAAGTGAATTGACTGTATATTTGTGGGCCAACGCGGCAGCCAATTGCGCACAGCAATGTCCCACAAACAGTCGTAGATTGAAAATGACCAATTTATTATTGTTTTTTGAAGGGATTATTATTAGGCGTGTGGAGTAAGGAAACTTGCCCAAGGTTTCGCCCTGACCTGCCTGGAAATAGTAAATCCTCTGAAGCGTTTTGAGATGTTTCAACATCAAGGCGCTATAATCAAATGCAAGGATTATTATTATTATAAACCTTCTGACTTGATGAGCTGCTGCTGGAGTCGGTGGGATTTTTGCCTGTGGGTCAAGGTCATGTGGGTACAGTTTGTACTGTTAGTTCTGCATTGCTGATAAAATCTTTTCATGATGACCCATCCTGCGGATTTTATTGAGCTTGTGACCTGCTTTGTAAATCCTATTGCACAAAAGCACATTCAGGGCATTTCAAGAGCTTTGCATTCACTAGCTTGAGTTGTGTTTAATGCTTGCTTCATGCAACCAGAAACGATTCAGACTCTCAGCTCTTTAGGAATGCGTGTGGGGATTTTGGCATCATGTTAAATGCACAAACATGCTGTTGCAAGAGTAATCATTCGCCCCCACCCCCCGCCCCCCCAAAAAAAGATTGGTCACTCAATCCATGCCTGTTTGTAGGACACTGCTCTGTGCAATTGGCTGCCGCGTTTCGCCCACGACATACACAGTCAATTCACTTTACAATATATCGCCTTGGGACGTCCTGACTTGAAAGGCACTATACAAATAAATGTAATTTTTTGTTGTTATATCCTATGAAGTGATTTCAAATATCTCAATGACATGATAAGGCGATATGTCAAATGCAAGAATTAATATTATTTTTAAAAGAATTGGTCATCTTTTCTTTTAATTCTTGTGTTAGGTGATGGGATATTTTTCATCCTGCGTCCAAGCCAAGCATTTCCTTGTCAACTTTTAATATTTAACTCTTTCCACCTCCCCCGCCCCACCTCAACTCTGCTGCAGTATGATCTGTCCTGTTCAGTTGGATGTTAAAGATCCATGGCACTACTTGAAAAGAGAAGGGAGTTTCTCCCAGTGTCCTGACCAACAATCCCCCAGACAAAATTGATCATTTGTGTCGTCGTTATTTGTTTGTGGGTCTTTACTGTGTGCAAATTAGCTGTGCCGTTTGCCTGCAAGATGTACACTGACTAACTCCACTTTACAGTAAATCCTGGGACTCACTTTGAGATCTCCTCTGGAAGTAAATCGAATGTAAGGATTACTATTTTTTTAATCTACCTTGCAGTGCCGCACCAAAAAANGTAGGTCAGGTGCAAGATTGTTGCAGTGTTAAAATCGCGTCTCCTAACTGCTCACCTATTTACATTTCCCATGAATAGTGTGCGACCTACCTGCATTTCCTACACCAGCGTAACCTCACATTTCCTGTAGCCACTATTAACGTGGGCCTCTTGAGGCAGTTTGTCAAAATTGTGGGCAGTCTTGCGCTCATACAAGCATCAATCGGACCTGGGTTGAGGCTGTTCGGGTAAGCTACACCCATTCTACTCCATCCTGGAGTCCCTCTGCCTCGCCCCCTTCTTTCCCACTTTTCAAAGCCCACCTAATAACTTTCTTTTCAACCATGAAACTATCCCTCTTCCCCCTCCTTCCTCAGCTCCTCGCTCACCCAGCCAGCTTTGTGAAGCACTTTTGAGATGCCCACTCAATGTAAAACGTGCAATATCAATGTAAAATTGTTGTCCAAAACAAGAAGTTTTAATTTGGGTCTGGAAAGAAAGGGAGAAAGAACAGAAACGATCATTTAAACACCTTCAGTCTGGGCTGATAGCTAATCCCAGTATCTCAGAGGAGAAAGAGCAGTGTTTTTCTATTGGGTTTTGATGAAATTAGAATTCCTCCCGAGGGGGATTCAAAGGTCTAACCTCGGTGAAGATAAATTGCTGCAAAACCTTATATTTCAATTTCAATGCACTCTGATGTCCACTCTTGCATTATGCCATCTCACTTGCATCTAATACACAACGGTGGCGCTCAAAGCGCTCTGGGACGCTACCCTGGGTGTAGAGCGCTACATAAATGCAAGTTGTTGTTGGACCACAGCAAGATTAATGGTCAAATTGCAATTGTGACCACACGTACTGCAACAACTTGTAATTTGTTCAACTCTTTTGAGTTTGTTTAAAAAAAATCCATTCTACTTTTTTTCACAGGTTTATTCGCTGATAGTCATTCTCCCAAAAACTCCTTTGAGGGAGAGAATATCACTGCCCTGTGAGTATCTACAGCATTTGTTGTATTTAGGAATCAGTATTTTGTAGTCGGAATGCTTGAAAAAGGAGCTGGTGACACTTGAGTTCTGTTTATCTCACTCCCGCCCTTCCATCTCCAGACTTACCTGAAAGCAGACTGACAGCCCCGGTAGCTCGGTCAGTTTGCCTCCTTTAGGGCCACTTTTTCCCCTTTGAAGTATAAAACATCCTCACTGTGAGGGAGGTTAGTGGAGCACCTCTGGGGTTACGCTGAAAGCGAGGAGAAGCACCAAGTAAAGCTGATCAGGTCTACGATCATCCAAGGCAACAAGGATGTTTAGGCATGTCCTTACCCTGTAAGCAAAAGCCCTAATGGGTAGGATGACTATCCTTGTGCTGCGTGGCTTCCAATTATTAAGATGCTGTCTTGTGCTGGCACCAGCAACCTCTCCAGACATCTGTGGAGTCCTATATCTCAGGGGTTAGAGCACTTGCAAACGAGAGACCTGGATTTGATTCCCGGCAGGGCGAAATGTTGGGCAAGTTTCCTTACTCCACACACCTTTGTTTACCTAGCAGTTAGTAGGAACCCAGTTAGTCGATTGGCGGATCGCTTTTCCGGGGGTAATAATTCCTTCAAAAAAAATAATAATAATAATTTGGTCACTCAAAACACAACTTTTTGTGGGACACTACTGCCGCGTTTCGCTCACAAATTACACAGTCAATTCACTTTACGGTATATTCTGTGAAGCGTTTTAAGACTCTTAAAGACGTGATAAGGCGCTATATCAAGTGCAAGGATTATTATTATTATCTTCCCCAGAGACCATGCTTCCTGTTTGCTCTCTGGCAATTCTGTTGGTACGTGTACGTGTGACTCATTGTCTTGTGTATCAAGTGCCTGAGCAGCTACACTTTAGTGAGGGGAAGGTTCCTACGGGATGGGGGGGACCCATTTGAATAGAAATCACTTACCCATGTTTCCTTTTATATCCTGCCCCCTGATTCTGTGCCAGAATACAGAAGTGTTGTTTCTATGGGAGACGCCTTATGTTCTGATGGTCATTTCCCAGCCTGGGCTCCAGCCTGAATGGCACTGAGTTTTGTGTGGGGATGGGACTGGTGGCTGCCGTCTGATCGATGCCATCGAGCGAATCTCAGACTTCTTCCCACCTTTGTCTGACAATTTATCTTTATGTTTTCTTGCACTTGGCAGCCAAGAAGAGCTTCTATGTATACGCTGGGATTCTGTCACTGCTGAACCTGCTCCAGGGAATAGGCAGCACTCTTCTATGTGCTGAGATTGCAGCAGGTCTGTGGTAAGTACTGTCTTCAAATAACGGGTTCTCACATACGCTATGGGTGGTCGGTTTGATGAACCTGCAGGGTTCGTTAATCAAGTCAGGATCCATATTAGCTTTCAAGAGAGGAAAAGGTAGATGCTTTAATATATTCTGTGAAGTGCTTCGAGATGCCTCAATAACGTGTTAAGGCAATGTATCAAATGCAAGGTTTATTTTTGCAAAGAAAGAAAAATTGCAGTGGTATGGGGGACAGAATGGATTCTTCTTTCAAAGAGCCAGCACAGACACAATGCACCGTCTCCTGGGCTTTACATTTTTATGGTTCTAAATTTCAGTGGTTCTATAACACACAACTTGTGGGACATTGCCGTGCGCAAATAATTGGCTACCATATTCTGCTACAAATACACAGTCACTCCAGTTTACAATAAATCCTGTGTAGAGCTTTGAGGCATCCTCCTGTTGCGAAACGTTATCATATATGAAGATTATTACCGTTATTAATTTGTGCCAAGTAACACTTTTTTCCCCTTTTTTTGCAGTTGTGTGGATATCACTACGTTCCTGTACTTTAGTCTGTTTGCTCCCCTAATGTACGTCACTTTCCTGAAGGGGTTCTTTGGGTAAGTGTGCCACGCAGAATATCTATAAAGCTTCCTGTCCATTTGGGAAGCTGCTCTCTAACAGCTCAGTGCATCTGAATTAGAGTGTGTGGTGGTGGGAGAATTGGTGAAGTGGAGAATCTTGGTCAGCCTTGTATATTGCAATTGAGTACAAGCACGTCTGCGTTTTGTTGAACTCTCCTGAGAGCTTGAATATTACAGCCTCTTTAGTCGAATTTTGGAGGACAACTTGGTGCTGGGTTTGGTAGAAAAGTGGAGCATCAGGGGCTGTGGATTTCTTCCCCCACTTTCTTCCTGTTCCTCTCTTTGAGAGGGCAGAGGGATAGGGATCTGCCTTGGGTGGAGCTTTTAAACAGGAATCCTCTGGGATAATATTGGACTTAAAAGGGAAAATGCCTGAGAATTAATTTGAGCTCCTGTTTTACGTTATGAGGAGGCTGAACTATGGGTTGTTTTAGAATTAAGTACAGTAAAACTTGCATACGTCTGATCTGTAGAAATGGTATAATCGCCTAAGTCCCATTGAATTTCCTATTATTTATAAGTTTGATATAATTCATACATTGCATAAGTCATATTCAATGTATGGTCCCAACTGGTACGACTTATGTGAGGTTCACTGAAGCAATGGTTACTGTTACCTGATTATTGTATAAACCTTGGGCAACCAAAATTGGTGTCCGGCGCTCCCACATACCATTTAGTGCTCCCAAATCCACCCTGTAATCCTGACGTTGGTTCCCTTTGCACCCTGCAGGTCCGAGCCCAAGATCCTCTTCTCCTACAAATCCCAGATTGACGAGCCTGACGACACTGACGTACACATGCCCCACACGCACGTTGTGGCCAAGAAGGAGGCGCTGGAGGCTGACGCCTACAGCAACACACAGATAGACACCAACGCCTACCTGGACGACGTCACCGTCTCGTACCCGGTCGGTAGCATCAACAGCATCGACAGTGATCGGTGGAAAATGCTGAACGCTTGAAAGGCAAAACGCCTGCAGGATATTTCCTTGTGTCTGCAACTTCTGCCTCTTGATATTTCAATCATGGAATGTGCCATTGTAGGATTTTATAAATCCTTCCATTTTAGAAATAACTTTGAACTGCATGACCCTTCCACTCTGCCCCACCCCAACAACTACCATCGCCCTCTAGCCCATTGCCCATTGTTTCTTTATGGCTGCCCGCCCTGAACTTTAGGGAAATTCCACGGAATCGCTAGCCGTGTCGTGCAATGTTGCCTTTTTACCTTTCCTGGACATGTGCGTGTTTTTAAAACAATTATGATTTTCTCCAAGGTTGAATTGGAGGCTAAACTTTTTTTTCTTCTTCAACTTAATTAGAATTAAAATACATAACATGGGCAGTGGGCGCGGGAAGGAGAGGGGTCGTGCCGATTACATGTTTGTCACTCAGTTTCCAAACCAGTATGCAATCAGCACCTTTGTGTGTTCTCTGCCCCCCCCTCTCTCTCTTTTTCTCTCCTCTATCCCCTCCCCCGATTCAGCGTCTGATTATATTGTACTGTCTCTGGGGAGGGGGTGCAGAGGAAGGAATCATATCGTTATGTTGAACTAACAGAAAGCTATGTTAATACAAGTTGTTGCAGTTAAAGGTATGTTGATGCTCATTTATTCCTTATTGCTGACTGGGTTTCTTAGCAATCTGTCTTTCAACCGTTTAATATCCTGTTGCTGCTTCCACTGGAGGATTAAACACACTTAAAACCAGGTGAGACCCACACACTGTATTACTCCACTACCCACTTCCCCCACCCCCAGTAATGCTGCTGATACTCTTGAATGCTTGTTCAGTATCTGGATGGACCAGTGAGTTTAAAGTAACCAGAACATTTCTTAAAATTAGTATAGCACAGGAATGGTTTTCTTTCCCTCCACCTCTCCCCACTCTTTTGATTAGCATACTTTATCTTTTTCGTCCATTTTAACCTGACCAGCACGCACGTTTCCATCAGTTCTCAGAAGATACGTCAACAAAGGGAGCCTGGCCCCGTTTGTGTTGTTAAACTGCATTCACTCCCCTCCACATACCTGCCTGCTCTTTATCCCCAGTCCCGAACACCACAGCCGAGCTGTAATTAGGAAGTCACTATCATGGAATCTTTTTTTGGTCAGCAATGGAAACCCATCACCATGAGTATCCTAACCAGACTGAAAGTTCCACTCATGTATTGCCACCTCCACATAGAAATGTTTCCACATCTGTAATGGAATGCACTTTCTATTCTCTCCTTGGAAGGACACACACTTTGCTTACCTAAATCCAGAAGAGATTAGGTGCAGGTTGGCAAGAGCCAAGGCTCAGGGGACCCCAGAATGTGTGTTAATGCTGGAATTTAACCATTTTAAAATTGCAATTGAGTGCATTCTCTGGCGAGCTTCATGCTGCCTTTCCAGTTAGGACCACCCAACCAATTAGAGTTCGGGCTTATAGGGTCAGCAGCAGCTGAATGAGAAGAATCCTTCATTCCCAGCAATCGCCAAGACCCCTTCGCCCCCTCCCACCTCCCGGTTCAAACCATTCTGCCAACTTGTATGACAGCAGCAGTCATACAGCTTCGATACCTCCACAGCATCGAGGGAGACATACGTGTGTTTATATTATATATATATAATATACACACATGCACAGGTACATACACGCATAGAAAGATTGCCCCAAAGCAAGCATTCCCTTTGATTGGGGAATTGGGAATTAAAGCCCAAATGCTTTTTACTGTTGTTAGAAACTTAGAGGAAGCAAAATTAATATTGATTTAAACTTTATGTAAATAATTTGAACCCTTTTGTCTGTTCTCTCCCCCCCCCCCCCCACCCCCGGCTTGAGATGTAAACAGCATCCCAGAGCTGTTGCATGTCGTGGAATTACCAATGCAGACTATATCTCCTTCCTCCCGCTGCCCCCGCACACCTGTGAGATCTGTTGCCAGTTGCTATTAGTCCATCAATTGCAAGATTCAAGACATTCCTAGATCTCTTAAGAGTCAAGTATTGCCTGTTATCTGTGACTAACCCCCCCCACCCTTTCCCCTCCTCCAACCCCCCCCTCCAAAATGCTGCCTGTGCAAGATGATTCCTAGTTTTAAAATTTAAACAAAATGCTCTTCTATGTTAAATAAATATTTTTTCACTTTAACTGGACTCTGATTATTTTCTTTCTCGCTGCATGAGGCATAAACTGTCAGCTGACCAGATAGCAAGATATGGCTTTTGTTTCATTTCCTTCAGGGGAGTGTGTTTCTGTGGGGTGGGGGGGAGGGGGGAGTGAGAGACAGGGGTATAGCCTCCACTTGGGAGCAAATTCTCTCTATACCTGTCCCCAACTCCCCTTCCTTGCACCCTTAATTTCGTAGAAAAATGGGAGAAAAGAGTACTTTTTAACAGTGAATCTGGTTATCGAGTATGTCATGAGTTGGCTGTGGCGGAAGTTTGTGTAAAAGGGAACATTGTTCAGATTGATCCTGGGATATGGACCAGCCGGTATAGAGGATATGAACATTATGCCCAGTTATTCAGGTTGGCATAGACAAGCTTGAGGTGTAATAAAATATCGTTTTTTTTAAAAAAATGCTTTTTTGTGTGGAATTGTGAGTGTTTTGATTTCACGTTGGAAGCCTTGGGACGTCCTCCCGAAATGAAAGGTGCTCTATGAATGTAATAATAATAATCCTTGCATTTGATATAGCGCTTTTCACGTCGGATCGACGTCCCAAAGCGCTTCACAGAACACACTGTAAAGTGAATTGACTGTATATTTGTGGGCGAACGCGGCAGCCAATTGCGCACAGCAATGTCCCACAAATAGTCGTAGATTGAAAATGACCAATTTATTATTGGTTTTGGTTTTGGAGGGATTATTATTAGGCTCTGTGTGGAGTAAGGAAACTTGCCCAAGGTTTCGCCCTCTGCCTGGAATTGAACTCAGGTCTCTCGCTTGTAAAGCGAGTGCTCTAACCACTGAGCTACAGGACTCATAATATTATTATTATGATGAATGTAATTTCGCTGTTGTTTTCATTACTTCACACTGTATTCCGTTCCGTGTGTATGTGTGTGTGTATGACTATTCATTTTGTGTATTATTTTTGTAAAAACAAGTTCAGCTTTTTGAGGGCACTCTCTGAAAGGTAGAATTTGGGGCTTTTTTCATATAAAAAAATTAAAATAGCTGCCTTTTCTACTTCAGTGCATCTTTTGCTGCATTTATGTGCTGTATGAATCTGGGTCGGTGCAGGAGTTGGTTTCTGGAGCAGTTCAAATGTTTTCCTTCTACAAACATTAACAATCCCTGCATTTGAAGTAGCATATTCATGTCGGGAAAGCATTTCACAGGACATATTGTAAAATTGTAGTGACTGTATTTTGTGTGTGTGTGTTGTCCCCCCTCCCCCATATTGTAAAAACCACGAGTTACAAATGGAATTGTGTTCCAAGCTGTTGGTTTTTAAGCCAAGCCGATGTGTATAAAGTATAAATTTAGCTCATCGCCACACATTGCTCTACTGCTCAACTGAAGTTGCTTTGCTTGCAGTAGAATTAACACAGTGTCGGATGTGGGTGTGTGAATCAGTGTAATTTCTGTCGCTGTAAGTTCTTCAGTGAATTTCTGTTGGCAGCATAAACATCGGAAATCAAGCTGTGATAATAATCCTTGCATCTGACACAGTGCCACATCACATCGTCGAGACGTCTCAAAGCGCTTCACAGAATATCCTGTAAAGTGAATTGATGGTGTATTTTGTAGGCGATACACGGCAGCTAATTCCGCACAGAAGTGTCCCACAAATTCGGTGGATTGAGTGACCAAATTATTATTATTTTAAAATGTTTTAAATGTGCCTCGTCTTGACCGCTGTCCTAGTTTAAACTTGGCAATGTCAGCAATGTATATCCTTTGAAAATAAACTCTTGCATTTGATATAGTCGTTATACGTCGTCCCAAATGTGTTTCACAATATTTTATCTTAAAGTGTAGTGTTTGTATTTTTATAGGTGAATGCGACAGCCAAATTGTGCAGTGATGTTCCACGTACAGCCATGAAAGTGAGTGACCAATTTTATCTGGGGGGGTCTTTGTCTAAGACTAATACTAATCTACATGACACTCCAATGCAGTGCTGGGGGGATAGCACATTGTCGTATGGGCCATCTTTCAGATAAACTAATGTCTAGTCTGCGTGTTCAGATGGGCATTAAAGATCCCATGGGACCATTCAAAAACAGAAGGGGGAGTTTCCCTAAATTAAATTGCTACATCAAATGCAAGGATTATTATTGTTATTGGTCCATGTGTGAGCCTTGAAGGTTTGTCTTCAGAAGCAGTCACTCTGCTCGACAATAATTCCTTTCGGGTGCTTTCCATGTCTTGATATTATGGAGACTATAAAAATGCAATCTCTTGCTTAAATGGTTCTCATTTCATTCTCAAGCAGACGTGTGGGACGTGTTGGTGAAAGTGCTGCGCAAATTAATATCTAAGTTGCTGTAGTATTGCATTAATTATATACAAAACCATTTGCATTAATTATATACAAAATCATATTTTTGAGATATCAAGCATACTTTAATTGTAGGTTAATTTTAGTTTATTAGTCTTCACTGTGCATGATGGTAGGAAGACTAGTGTGATAATGAAATGAACGCATGCCAGGCATTTGCTGAATTCTACCCAGATGGACAATTGCCCCAACTGAGATCGTTGAGCCTGTTTCTTCTCCAGACCAGTTGATGATTCCCCTCCAGTGGTTAAAAGCCCCTAAAGAAAAAAAGGGTGTCTGCATGCCATCAGCGGGCAGGTCAGTGGAATCTCACAATATCTCCCCGCACCTTAATAATTCTTGCATTTAATATAGCGCTCTATCACTTCTTTGAACCGTCTCAAAGCGCTTCACGGAATATGCTGTAATGTGAATTGACTATACCTTCACCAACCGTATCGTTTGGGTTGGTTCGAGCTCAGGGGAAACGTGGCCTGGTTCAACTACGAATCCCACAATACTATCTGAAAAGTAAAGGGAGATTCTCCTTGTATCCTGAACAACAAGTCCCCGGATAAAATGGGTCTTTGAATTCACATCTGCTTATGGGGCATTGCTGGGTGCAATTATGTTGCTGGATTCACCTACACAGTCATTACACTTTATAGAAATTCTGCGGGGGGGTCACTTTGAGATGTTGTGTTGCTATTAAACCCTATATCAAATACAAGGATGATTTTTGCTTAATTCTGTCAAAACTTTTGATTCAATGATACTGTATATTCAGAATAATTGTAGACATACTTTTTGCCCACGAGATGGTGCTGTACTAAAGACAAACTGGCAGCTCAGAAAGGATTTTATTCCCTTTGCTGTTTTATTAAATCCAAGATACCACATTTCTATTCCTAAGAATCTTACTATTCAACCATAGTTGAATGGAAATTGGTGCTGCAGTTAATAATAGTGATTTTAGCTGCATTGTCATAGAACCATAATAATAATCCTTGCATTTGGTGTACCACAAATTACCCTTCACATCGGAAAGAAGTCCCAGGGCGCTGGACAATCAGAGGTTTTGGACCTGAGCTGGGAGTTGGGGTCAGAAGGGGAGGAGGGCAGAGGGATTGGGGGTTGGGAGGGTGGCCAAAGGGACGATCAAAGAGGAAGGTCTTCAGACGAGATTTGAAGGAGGCAAGAGAGGGGGTGAGGCGGAGGGATTGCGGCATAGAGTTTCAGAGTGTGGGGGCAGAGATGCTGAATGCCCGAATGCTAATTGTGGGGTGGGAACTGCAGGGGACCTGAAACAGGCCAAGCGGACAGATTGATATGAGGTTATGAGGTCAGAGAGATAGGTGGGCGCAAGACCGTGGAGGGCCTTGAAGGTAAGAACGAGGGTTTTGTACTCGATTCTCTGAGGAATGGGGAGCCAGTGAAGCCAGGCAAGAGCAGGGTGATAGGTTCCTTTATCACGTCATTGAGATATCTCAAAAGCGTTCCACAAGAACATACTGCAAAGTTTGTGGGAGAACACAGTAGCCATTTGAGCACAGTATCGACCTACAATGATGGCCTGTTAACAATGACAACACCAACAACTTCACGCAGGATAGTGCTAGCGATTAGCATGCCTTTCCCCTATACCTGCAAATTACTCCTTGTTCAATATCTAGTTCCCTCTTGAAAGCTTGTATGGATCTGCCTCAACCACCACATCCTAACATTTCTTTGTGTAAAAAAAAAATCCTCCTAATCTCAAAGTCCGCAGGGAGGGTAAGGAATCAATGTATATTGATCAGGAGTAGGAATATGACTGATTTCCTTCTCCTTTAATCCAGAGGGCTGATGCCTGTTGCAGTTTCAATCATCATGCTCGCCAAACTCAGTTCAACTAACACAACACAGGCTTTGAATGAAACTTCTGTCCCCCCAGGACACATGGAGCTCACCAACTAAATCATCTTTCTCGTTGCAGCCTGAGCCCCATCCTAATGATAAGCTCCTCGTCCGTGTAAAAAAAAAATGCATTTTTTTGTTAAGAGTTCTTCTCCTCTGGCTACAGTTCAACTCAGTTTCCACCAGCATAGAAAGTTAATTTACTGAACTTAATTATAAATAACTAATAATTACCAAACCATTTCTGGCTCTGGTGTAGATAGAGATTTCAGGTTTGAATTTCTCTTCACTGGAGGGAATTCCAGATAAGTGACAATTTCTCTTCCAGGGAGCCCAGTGATTGCTGATCAATGGAGACTCTGCACCACATCTTCTCCTGGAGAATGAATGGTGAGTACATTAATTATTCATTATGTAAGGAACTTGGGCAGATGAGCGTTGCTGCAAAAAAGAAACGGAAATTTCACAGCAACTTGAACTGTTTCAATGCAATTAGTTTGCTTTTTAATCTTTTAGGTCCCAGGTTTTACACGGTTTTACTTATTTAAATAAGAGTGTATTACATGGAATAAGAAATTATAACCCGAATCCATAATTGCTTTTTGAAATGAAACTATGCAAACTTCATTAGAAAGTTGGTCTTTAATAAACACTGGCGTGTCTATTAACATTACACAAACTATTGAAGTGTCGGCCTACCTCAGTTGGTAGCACTCTTGCTTACGAGTCAGCGGTTTGTGGGTTCATGCCCACGTTCAGGACTTTTGAGCTCACAGTCTAGACTGACACTGGGGTTGTGCTGCATCGACGGAGGTGTCATCCTTTCGATGAGACGTTAAATTGAGTCTATCTTATTCAGGTAGATGTCAAAGATCCCGAGGCACATCTAGAAAAGAGAAGGACATTTTTGCCCAGTGAACCGGCTGACAATTCCCCAGATAAATGTGGTCATTTCGCTGCACGGTGGTTTGTGTGATATGGATCGCTGTGGGCAAATTGGCTGCAGGGTCTGAAAACAAAATGCGAAGTCATGATAATCCACAGAAACGTTGGGAGGCTCTCAACGTTAAAAGGGCTCCGCGTGAAATGCAAGCTTTATTGTTTTCAACCATTGTCGTTCAATAAAAAAAAAGAATAATAATTTGGTCACTCGTTCCACGAATGTTTTCGGGAGACGCTGCCGGGCAAAATTGGCTGCCGGGTTTCACCCACACGTTTTAATAATAATAATAATCCTTGCATTTGATATAGCGCTTTTCACGTCGGGAGGACGTCCCAAAGCGCTTCACAGAACACACTGTAAAGTGAATTGACTATATTTGTGGGCGAACGCGGCAGCCAATTGCGCACAGCAATGTCCCACAAACAGTCGTAGATTGAAAATGACCAATTTATTATTGTTTTTGGTTTTGGAGGGATTATTATTAGGCTCTGTGTGGAGTAAGGAAACTTGCCCAAGGTTTCGCCCTCTGCCTGGAATTGAACTCAGGTCTCTCCGCTCGCAAAGCGAGTGCTCTAACCACTGAGCTACAGGACTCTATTTTATTCTGTAAAGGGGAATTAAAGTGAATTTCCAGTTTAATCTGTAAAGTGAAAGAGGTGTTGGGGGTGGGGGGGGAGAGGGAAGCTATGTAAATGCAAGTAGTTGTTGTTGTTGTTGTTGTGTCTTGTGCAGCGCCCCCCTGCGGCAGAAACGAGGAAGGGCGACACAGATGGGGGGGCAAAGGATTGGTGTGTTTTTTTTATATTAAAAAAAAGACTACAACTCCCAGGGAGCCTCGCGGCGGGCGCGCACGCGCAGACGCGGCGGCTCGAGTGGCGCGGGAGGGAGGGAGGGAGAGCGTCGCATTTCAATTTTTTTTTTAAAAAAATAACGGTTGGGCGATGGGCGGCGGCGGCAGCAGCAACAACAGCGGCGGCGGCGATGGCGGCGGCGATGGCGGGCGGCTCGCCTTCCAGAGAGAGAAGGACGAGGACAGGGTGACCGTGCTGCAAGGCATCAGGGTGAGGGCGGCGAAGGGAGGGGGTAAGGGGGTGGGGGGGCGGTGACAGCAGCGAAGGGGGAGGGGAGACTTCGAGGCAACCCCCCGGCTTCAGGCCCGGCCCACTCCCGGCCTCAGGCCCGGCCCCCAACCCGCCCAGACTCCCCCCCCCCCCACCCACCTCCTCCCCTCTCGCCACCCACAGTGTGGGGAAAAACCCCCACATAAACGTGGTATGACCTTCGCCCTCAACTCCAGGACCACTGCTGTCCTGACAGACTGTCTGTCGGACATCAAGTCCTGGATGAGGGCAAATTTCCTACTGAACAAGACTGAGGGCCCTCCTGATTGGCCCTCAGCACCTCAGGCTCCGGCAGCATCACCCTCCATGGTCGCACACTGCAACTCACCAGTCAGTCAGGAACCGAGGTGTCTTGTTCCACCCTCAACTGTCTTTTTCTCCCCCACATCCAAGCCATGACCCGCTCTGCCTTCCCTCACCTCCATAACATCGCCCGACTCCGCCACTACCTCACCCCTCAGGCCGCTGGAACTCTTGTTCGTGCCTTCATCACCTCCAGGCTCGACTGTGCAAACGCCCTACTTGTCGGCCTTCCCAACTCCTCCCTCCACTGCTGCAGATAATCCAGAACTCTGCCGCCCGTGTCCTCTCCCGCACCAAACTCCGTGACCCCATCTCCCCCCCTCTCGCCCGACTCCATTGGCTCCCTATCCTTCAGAGGATCCAGTTCAAGATCCTGGTCCTCACCTACAAAGCCCTCCATGGCATCGCCCCCACCCTACCTCTGTGACGTCCTAACTTCCTACCAACTCACCTGTTCCCTTCACTAAGCCGGCTCTGCCCTGCTCCGCGTCCCCTGACCCACCCGCCCCAACATTGGCGGGAGAGCCTTCAGCCATTCTGCCGCCAACCTCTGGAATTCCATCCCCCAGTCACTCCGTCTCGTCCCCTTCTTAGCCTCCTTCAAGTCCCGCCTCAAGACCCTCTTTTTTCGACAATACCATCGGCCTTCCCCTCCCCTCCCTTCTCCCCCCTGACCCCAGCTCGGGTCTGAAATGCTATACTCTGTCCAGCGCCTTGGGACGGCCTCCCGACGTGAAAGGCGCTATACAAATGTAATCCTGTTGTTGTTGGTCTCCCTCCCACATCTCTACTTTCCCTCACTCCTACACCACCCCTCCCCCATGCTCGGGACCTGACATCTGACTGTTCAGCGCTTTGGGACGTCCTCCCGATGTGAAAGGCGCTCTATAAATGTAATTTTGTTGTTGCATTATGAACTATAGTATATGTAGGCATAAAACTGCAGCACAGAAGAAAGCTATGTGAAACCATCTAAACCTGACTTCTGCGGTACAAAGTTTAATACTTTTTCTCCAAACAGTTGTGTTAGGTCACTCGTCTGTGTTTGTACATTCAATGCACTTTTTAAAAAAAATATTAGGTAGGCGGATTGAGAAATGAGTGTTATTTCCTGTGCTTGTAACTCGTGTGACTTGCTGTGAGTGCTGATTCATGTGGAGAACTGGCTTGGAGCAGGCAGTTGCTACTCATGAATGTGTGATGGTGCTGATTTGTACATTTAAAATGAGCTCTGTGCATTTACAAAGCTCTGAATGGTCCCCAGTGCTGGTTTGCATTTTAATTTGAAGCCAATGGTGTATGACCTACTGTTCAAATACGGATTTCATCATTTTTAAAAAAAAGATTTGCTTTGTTCTTGAAAATTTCCCTGCAAAACCCACCTCCTGAATATGATTTTACCAGTCCACCTACATCACAATTTGGTTCAAGACTGTGAAGATTTTTTTTTCTCTTTCCCCTTTCCAAGTCCCCACAATGTCCTCAATTGCATTGTTTAATTTAATTTTCATATTGGGAGTAGTGGGAATGAGGATTGTCGGGCAGAGAGTGAATCCTTTTCTCACTTTTGATACACGTGGTTTAAATCGTGAACAGAGATGGTGAGGCGCTGCACCTAAATAATTGGAAGAGTTTCTTACTCCTCAAGCATCACATTTTCTCAGGTTAACTGAACGCTTATCAAGTTCACTGGATACATAAAGTGAAGCTCCCTCTAGTGGTTTCCACCAAAATGTCAGATATGACACCATCATTCCATAATAAGACTGCACAATATGGTTTTACTTGAAAATTAGCATGAGAAATCCAATTCTTGTCTCTTCCAAGGTTGGATGCTGCAGTTTTTTGTTTGGTGCCATTCTTCACATGTCAAGCCAGACAGTAAATTATTTGAGGTCTTCCCAATCTACATTTGAAGCACTAATTGTGACATCTGGTTTGCAAATATCAGAAGCTGTTTAATTTACGATATTTAATAAATGACTACAGTAATTGCCGTTTCTGAAAGTTAGCAACCGTTAGGGGCTCGGGAGGGAAGTTGAAGGACAACAGGATTGTGAGGGCATCCCAGCTGAGCTTGATATGTCATCACCCAATATCATCATGTGTAATTATCAGCAGTATTCAGTGAAAAATAATCATAAGTGGGAATCCTGGGTACTTTTCCCCTCATTAGAGGCACTGGGGTAGTGTAGTTCCTACCACCACCCTAATTGATATCAGCTAATTCAGTACAGATCTCAAGATCTGGAAGATTTCAAATCCATAATTCATTGCTGGTTGTGGATTAGACATCTTATCTGATGAGCTGGGAGAATATATTTAAGCAGTAATGGACCAGCAGTAGTATAGGCATTAAAAGTTGAAACTGAGTATCCATCCTTAAAACCAACTACATTAGCAGCAGTTTGCAGATAACTTCTTTTACGTCGCTGTCCCCATGTTTTCTGAGTAGTACCACAATTATTTGCCAGGATTTAGTTGAGCCGGGTTACAAGCAGATTTCCATCCCTTCCATTTCCTATGGGCAAGTACAATATTTAGCTCGAGAAGAATCAGAAGTCTGGGTATCTACTCAAACAGAATTGAATTGACTCTTTGGACTGAAATAATACTAAGACTGACATTTTTTTAAAAATGCAAAGAAATATTATATTCCTGTCTATCATATCTGGATTATTTTTTTTTGAATGAGTTTGATAATCCTCTCTGAAGTTATTGTTTTAAAAGTCAATCATATTGTCAGTTGATTTGGAAAAACATGCATTCAGCTGCCACTTGTGAAAATGTAAATGAATTGAATGTGGCATCTAACATTTCTTAACCCTAAAGTTGCATAGTTCACTGGGTCCTGATGATTTAATAGCTACACAATTTGTCACAAATTGTAGATTTACAAACTTCAACAATTTAATTTTCTCAACTGAAGGTGATTGACAAGTGAATACTTTTAATGGTATCAATGCAGAAAATATGGAAAACATGCTTGCCTCTGTGTCAGAAGATTGTAGGTTGAAGCCACATCACTCCCACCCTCGCTCGCCTTCACTGGCTCCCCATCCCCCAGAGGATCGAATTCAAGATCCTCATCCTCACCTACAAGGCCATTCACGGCCTCGCTCCTACCTCTCCGACCTACTATCCCCCGACTTACCTGCCCATACCCTCCATTCCTCTGGCTCCGGTTTGCTCCACATCCCCCGCCCTAACCGCCCTACCATCAGTGGCCGGGCCTTCAGCCTCTCAGCCCCTAGGCTCTGGAATTCCATCCCCCAGTGCCTTCGCCGCTTCCTCCCTTTCCTCCTTCAAGGCCGGTCTCAAGACCTTTCTCTTCAACTGTGCCTTCTGGCTGGACTATGGGAACTCTCTCCTCGCCGGCCTTCCCAGTACCTCCCTCCACAAGCTGCAGGTCATTCAGAACTCTGCAGCTCGTGTACTGTCCCACACCAGGCTTCGCGACCACATCACTCCCACCCTCGCTCGCCTTCACTGGCTTCCCATCCCTCAGAGGATCGAATTCAAGATCCTTATCCTCACCTACAAGGCCATTCACGGCCTCGCTCCCTCCTACCTGTCTGACCTACTATCCCTCTACTTACCTGCCCGTACCCTCCGTTCCTCTGGCTCCGGTCTGCTCCACATCCCCCGCCCCAACCACCCTACCATCGGTGGCCGGGCCTTCAGCCTCTCAGCCCCGAGGCTCTAGAACTCTATCCCCCAGTGCCTTCGCCGCTTCCTCCCTTTCTTCCTTCAAGGCCGGTCTCAAAACCTTTCTCTTTGACCGAGCCTTCAGCTCCCCCCTCGACTCTCTACCCCCTCCTCGCTCCCTCCCTTCCCTCCCCTCACCCTGACCATTTCCCCCCTGCTCGGGTCCCGACGCAACTGTCCAGCGTCTTGGGACGTCCACCCGACGTGAAAGGCACTCTATAAATGCTATCTTGTTGTTGTTATATTGGGATTTTGAGCTCAGTTGAAGATGACACTCCAGTGTATTGCTGGGGCAAGTGTTGCATTGTCGGAGGGGCCGTTCTTCAGATAAGACAACTCAATACAACTTCTTATCCCATTTGCCAGCTCGAGTGGACATTAAGGAATCCATGGCACTATTCAATAAGAGAAGGGAGTTTCTTGCAGTGTTCTGGCCAACAATTTTGCAGATAAATCAATTATTCATTTCACGGCTGCTGTGCACAGATTCGTTCCTGTGATTGCCTACAAATACGCAATCAGTATGAATGACAACAATTAACTAGAAATTTCCTGTTTTAATGTTACAAGCACTGTATCTAATAAAAGGATTTGTTTTCTGCTGAGTGAGCTGGAGTTCTACAGGATGTAATGGCTGCTTATACCTCGCCAATGTGGTCAGCATAATGTGCTTCCGTTGTAAATTAAGAGGTGAACTTTCTGTTATAAGTGTAGTGACTAATGGGCACTGTAATGCACCCTAAGTTTACACTTAACAGCAAGATAAATTTCTTATCTTGAGTTTTTGGAGGGAGTTACAGAAATAATATTAATTATTCAAGTTGTTTTTTGCAGCTCTCAGAAACCGTTGTCAAACGAATGAAGGATCTACCTGAATCAGCAGTAAAGCATTCGTCTGAGTGTACTTCCAGCTCCATCTCTGCAGGTGTGTTATAGAACATCATAGAGGTTTTGGATCATTGCATTTAATAATAATAATAATCCTTGCATTTGATATAGCGCTTTTCACATCGGGAGGACGTCCCAAAGCGCTTCACAGAACACACTGTAAAGTGATTGACTGTATATTTGTGGGCGAATGTGGCAGCCAATTGCGCACAGCAATGTCCCACAAACAGTCGTAGATTGAAAATAACCAATTTATTATTGTTTTTGGTTTTGGAGGGATTATTATTAGGCTCTGTGTGGAGTAAGGAAACTTGCCCAAGGTTTTGCCCTCTGCCTGGAATTGAACTCAGGTCTCTCACTTGCAAAGCGAGTGCTCTAACCACTGAGCAACAGGACTGCATTTGAATTCAAATTGAGGTTGTAGGTGGTTAAAATCACGTTTAAGTGATCTGCAGCTAAATGCTGTGTGATAGGGAAAGCTCTGATATTGATGACGGCACAAGTTGTGTTTGTTTTTTTTGGTCATCTGACACATGCGGAAACCCATCACCATCCAAACCAAAATGAGATTTCCATGCATCCCATCTACATGTTGAAATTCCAGAGATGTTTATTGGAATGGAATGTGCGTTTGTGCGCATGTGTGTGTGTGTGTGGCCGTGCGCGCGCGTGTGTGGACGTGAGTAGCTTGGGAAATATGTGCATGCGACTGCCAGGAAGGTGGAAGGCAAACTGGATGGACCTTGGTCTTTTTTCGTGTAGCATTTCTTATTTTCTTATGTTATGTTCTTATGATCTTGTCTGGTATCCACACACTTGCACATTTCATTCAGGAGCGGGCACTCTGCCTGAGTTTTCTCCTCTTCCAGCGCAGATACAGTGAGAACAGTTATTGTTGTCCAGCTGAGATCAGCTGACCCAGAACAGACTGAACCTGAAACTTCTTGGTGTTTTTGTCTCTGTTTCACAGCGGCTTTACACATTAAATGATTGGGAATTGGAACTTTTGGAATTTTATGACAAAAATCCTTGCATTTGATATATTAATATTGTGACATCCCAAAATGTTTCATAAGATATTGCTGTGATATGCAGTAACTTATTTGTAGTTCAATACTTATGCAATTTACACACAGCAGTATTGCACAAACAACTGGGAGGTGAATGACAATATCTAATTGGAAGATTGTTGGCCAGGTTCCAGGAGAAACTCCACTCTTCAAAAAGTGCTTTGGGATCTTTAATGGTCACCTGAACAAGCAGGCAGAACTTTGATTCAATGCCTCATCTGAAGGCTGGCACTTTTAATAATGCAGCACTCCCCAGCTGGAATGTTAGCCTGAACTGTGAGCTCAAAGTCCTGACGTGAGGCTTGAATTCACAACCTTCTGACCCAGAGATGAGTGATACCAAGATGACACCTCAACCAAGTGCAAAATAACATCACATTGAACAGCTGTAAGTGTCTCATCAAATGACCTATGCAGAGTGCATAATACTCTGATAATATTAAGTCCCATGAGGACAGATCATAAAGCTGTATTGATTTGAGAAGTCAGCGTGCATCTTTTATTTTGATCTTTTTTATTTACTTCCCTTTATGGTATGTCTCTCGAAAGGGAGGTACTTTCAATATAAATCCTTCCCTTGCCTCTGTATAATTTGTATCATTTTCCAGACTGATAAGAAATGTCAAGGGTAGTGGTTGTTGGAGAACCAGTGAGATGGCTTTCGAAGACCTTCTCCAAAGATGTGTTCATTGGGTTTGTCACGAAGAAACACTTGTTAGCAGCACAGATCATTACCTTTCCCAGCGCTCGATGCCAATCCTACAATTAACACTGTTTGGGGGCAGGCTAGGTCTCCAGATAATTTGCTGCGCTGAAGTATCTTGTACCAGAGGTTTTCATTTGGAAAATAGAGAAATCGGACTGCTCATATGCAACAACAACTTGCATTTATAGAGCACCCCTCATGCAGGGCAACGTCCCAGAACGCTTGATGCAGATATTTAACTGAAATGATTGTGCCTGGTATAAAGATATGGGCAGGAAGAAAAGTACTTTTTGTGAGGTGGAAATCAGATATTTAAAGTCAACCTTATAATTGCCCTGTAGTCTAGGTCACACTTCAATATAGTGCCGGGCAAGTGCTGACATGAGACATTTAACCGAGGTCCTGTTGACCTGAATTGATTAGTACGTCTGAAATAATATTCCTGTTTTTCCTTTGCGTAGGAGGTATTCAAAGGGCTGACAACAAAGTCCCAAAGCATCCTGGGGTGGAAGAGGAGTTGTATAGGAGGTAGGAGATATTTGCCAAATCATCTCTTTGTTAAAACACTTCTGTAATATACATTTTCTTTGCTATAAAAATAATTCTTGCATTTTTATGATGTCAGTGTTTCCAAGATATCGCAGAAACCATTTTGAGCATAGCAATTTCCCACAAACAACCATGAAGTGAATGAATGTCGAATTTGTAAGTAGGATGGTTGGCCTGGAGACCATGTCATGCGATCGTTAATGTCCGTCTGAATAGGTTTAATGTCTCATCCTATCACCTGACTTTATTTTTGTAAAATAATTTTGTAAAATAATCCCGATTTCTCAGTGATGTAGAAAATATTGACCCACTAAGGTGCTGGTTATTTCAATGTTGCTCTCAAGCTTATCTACTTCAACTGTCCTTTGTCTTATCTGAATGGAAAACAGCAAACTATTCTGTATATTGACTAGAAGGGATCAAAGTCAGACCTTGATAACTGCAGACAAGCATTCCCAATGCCAATCTTGTTAAAGCTCTTGGGGAAACTAGTGAATACTGAACCATTGCAATGTCTCAATCATAGTTATCTGCTGTCTGGTTGCCAGAGTTAAATTGCAAAAGTCTCCAACTTGGAATTCTGCAATTGCAAATGACACTTGTTCATGGCACAGGGTTAGAGCAGGAGTCTCGAGCATTTCAAAGCTTAAATTTTAAATTTTGGCATCATAAACTCTTGTGTTGATTCTGATATTTGACCTATTCAGAAAGTACAAAAGCATTATAAGCAGCTGTTTATCACATTGCAATGACTTGTTCAGTGGTCCATTGGGGAAATGTGCATCACTCCTCCTTTTGCTTCCCACCCCTCCCCCTCCCCACCCCAGTCTTCATGATTGAGCTAGTTGATATTATTTAAAGTGACAATCTCTTTGTTGATGCCCTCGATTGCTGCATAATGGTTAACTTCCACAAAGTCGGGTAATTCTAGGAACTACCCCACACAATAACTTTTCAGATGTACTGAAAGGAAATCCATTTGTCATCTTCTGTCACAAAATAACTCCTTGTAAAAAAAAATGCATTGTTTTTTAAAACTATGTATTTATTTATACATATAATATTTAGTACAACAGAAATCCAAAACAAACATAACATCTTTTGTTACAAATTTTTCCCTTTTCTCTCGATACAGAAAACATTCAGTTGTTTATGGTACATTCCTTCACCACACCACGCCTGCGCACACCCTGATAAGGCTCGCTTTGCCGCTTTCGAAAGGTGCCCCGATGTGCACCGTACACTCACATATTTACCATACGTACATTGCCGGGCTGCTCCTTGGTTACACCTTGAGCGTCCTTCTGTACCCTTACTTCAGTCAGTTTTGGGTGCGCTCATGGGCGACCCGGTGGGTGCGCCCTGAGCGGGTTGTGCCGGAGCGGCTCCTGCCGGGGTCAGGCCCCATCTGGCCTTTGCCGTGGTTGAGCCAAACTTCACCTTGTCCTGCAGTATATAGTCACTGATCGTAGCGTGAGTGAGCCTGAGCCAGGCCCTCACCTGATGGTTGTTGGCCAGGGCTGGTGACGAGGCGTTTTGTCAGATGTAGCTGGCCGTCACCGCAGGGTACCTACCAATGGTCTGCCCTCTCCCCCTTTCGAACTGTTTCGACTACCTGCCGCATGGACTACTCTGCATGTAAAAAAAATGCATGGTTTAGTTTGTGATTTAGTCTTTCTTGGATGTTAATGTAATCGAGCTTTGGCTAAAGAAAGCTAGTTTTTAGGTGTCACTTTGACTCATTTGTTAGCCCTCTTGGCTAAGAGCGAGAAGGTTATGAGTTCAAGCCCTTCATTGGAACTTTGAAATCACAGTCTGTATCACACTTCAGTACTGCGCTGGGGTGTGCTGTTTAGTGGTGGTGCTGTCCTTTGGATGAGACATTTAACTGAGGTCCTATTTACTTGTTCAGGCTGATGTTAAAGATGCCATGGCACTATTCAAAAAAAGAGTGTGATTCTCCCAGTATCCCCAGATAAATTTGGTTATTCATTTCATTGATGTTTGTGTGGATATTATGTGCAAATTTGCTGCTGTGCTTGCCTACAAAATACACAGTAGCCTTTTGAGATGTCCTCCTGATATGAAAGGCACTAGACCAAATGCAAGGATTATTGTTACATTATTAATGATAATTTCTATTATATTGTAGTTTTTGCAATATTGAAAATGACCGTGCAATTTTCACGGTATATAAATTGATCTAAAATTGCCTGAATAAGTATACAGTCTCTGCTCTTTAAAGCTGGTCCCTTTTTGTTTCCAAATGTATGTCTCAGAGATTTCTTCAAGGTGAACATAACTCGTGTATACAGATGTTAATCTATGGATTGTACTTTAATAGTGTTTAAAAGTGTGTGTTTCAGCATGTGTTCATTTGGCATCTGGTAAAGATGTGATTTTAATCACTGACATTGTTCTTTTGTTTTCTTCTTAAACAAACATAGCTTTTGTGTTTAGCCATGTGTAATTATTTAATTTCACCGATGGCTGCTCATGACTTCTATTTTACAACATTGTCTATTTTTGTTTTGTCTCCCTTGAGGATTGCAGCTATTGCTCCTCAATAAAGTAGCTGTAAAGTTGAGTTCATGGACATGCTCATTTTTGTTTAATGCATAGCTTGTAGCAAATTTATTTCCCAAACCTCTAATAAGTAATTAGTATTGTTTTCCTCAGTTTGCTGGGATTGTTGGATGAACGCGTCTCGGTATTGCTACCCATTTAAAGAAATTGTACTCCTTTCATAGGATACATTTCTTGTTTTTGAACCTTTGTTGTCCTGACATTTAAATAATAATGATAATAATAGTCCTTGCGTTTGATATAGCGCTTTTCACGTCAGAAGGATGTCCCAAAGCGCTTCACAGAATATATATATATATAGTGAATTGACTGTATATTTGTGGGCAAACGCGGCAGCCAATTGCGCACGCAATGTCCCACAAACAGTCGTAGATTGAAAATGACCAATTTATTATTGTTTTGGGTTTTGGAGGGATTATTATTAGGCTCTGTGTGGAGTAAGGAAACTTGCCCAAGGTTTCGCCCTGACCTGCCTGGAATTGAACTCGGGTCTCTCGCTTGCAAAGCGAGTGCTTTAACCACTGAGCTACAGGACTCCACAGGACTTAAAGCTTCCAAATATACATTTACTGTACTACACAGCGAATTTCAGCAAAGTGATTTTAAGGCATTTCAACCTTGGAGGCACTATATCAAATGATATGATTGATTATTATATTATTTATTAAGCTCATAGGGTGGGGTTAGTTGGTACCACATAGGATGACAGCTGCTTCTCTATCTTAACATTTTTGAAGGTGAAAGGGGGAGAAGGAACAGTGTGTTTGACTCAAAACTAATCTAGTTGGGTGATAATTGTTCATCCATGTCCTTGACTATCCTGTCCCAGCTTGAGGAAGCCATATGGTTAGATACAGTTTGTATTTATAGCAGGTGGAGGGCAGTGGGGAGAAAAGGAAAGGGTGTGAAGATTAAGCTACTTTTGGAAGCTTCATGATAACCCTGTATTGCAGATATGAAAAGGAGAATGCAGTGACAGAAGGAAAGATGTTTAAGGTTACCAGAGGGGAAAAACTGGTTATTGATGAATACCTGAAAGAGGAGTTTTCCAAGGAACAAGTGACTACAAATGAAGAATGGCAAAAAGTCGAACAGTTGGTAAGTTGATTCTGGTGAAAGGTGCATTACATTGATGTTCTGATGTGCTCCTTTGAGGGGCTATGATCTATGGTTTTCATTTGTTTTCTCCTCCTCGACCTCACTTTGTGTTGCTTTGTTGAAGATTTTCTCACCCGCTCGATCATCGTCCGGTTGGGTATGGGTTAAAGTCTCCTAATGAGCGGGTGGGGATGAGATGTCCGTTCAAAAGAATATTGAAAATAATTTTCTCGGAATTCATTTCGAGGTCTGTTTCTTTTCTTTAGAATAGAGTTATTTATACTATTTCACATTAAGGAGCTAACAGAAAGCTAACAACATTGCAATTTAGTATAAGAGATTGCATTGGAGGAATCTGTCTTTAAAACGTATACAGTTTGGGTACTAGAACCTTCTCCAAATAAGTTGTCCAAATTGGAATAATCATTTTTGATACTAATCTAATTTTAATGGTTTAATTGCTTGTGTGCATCAAAAATCACTGGCTCCTTTTGACTGCCTGCGGCTGGACTTCTGGCAAAAAGGTTGCCCTTCAATGCAATGTAATCTGGGCTCTGTAAAAACACAAAATATCAGTACAAACAAAGTCAAGTCCCTATTTCCTGTGGATCATTGTTGCATACTATAATACTAACTAAGACTAACTGCTGTAATATTACACCAATGTTGGTAAAATTGGGTAGAATGATGAATTGCTGTGAAGCATTGTTTTAATATTTAATTGGACTTTGCTCTCTAGTAATAATCTATGAAAAGCCTATGACTGGGAACTATTTTTAAAAAAAGAGGATAGAGTTTAATGTGCCTATCTGATTATGGACAGAATGAAGTGTATGTTTACATAAGTGGTGGTGATCTGCTGACCTCATTGGTTTTAAGATATTCATTATATCTGAATGTAGTTGGATTCAGATATCTACACTTTATCCTTTATACACTACACTCAGGTGATTTCAAATAGTTGTGTCTGAGTTGGGATGTTTTGGTGCCTGAGATTTTTATTTTCATACTGCCATTTCTTTTTAATGTTTTAATAAGCGGGAAAAGTAGTTATTTTATTTAAAAAATGAGTTTTCCAGTATGATTGCTGCTTAGATTTAAACATCTTCCTCTTATACTGTCAGCATAGCGCAAGAAAGGAAGGAAACATTACAATAAAGTTATATTGCTAAATAATAAATACTCTTGTGCTATAGTTGTTTAGCACTACACATATATTAGAACAATACACCTTCTGGGCCATATGCAGCCCAGTGCTCATAAGTTGGAATACTCTCTAATGGAAAAAGTACTGATTCAGAAAGTTGTGTGTCGTTTGGGAGAGGATGGTGGGGGAGAGATATGTTTTTGCACCGAGGAAACTCAATTGCTCATGCAAGGAATCTGTCTGAGCCCTAGAAAATTCTATTTTTATGAACTAATCCGATCAGGAAACCAAAACAATTTTTCCAATTTTATAAAAATGGCCCCTGGAAGCTGTATTTCTTGTTAATACGCTCTGGTAAATCTCTGTGGGACTGAAGAGAAGCCAAACCAGGGATGAAATCTGATCTTGAGGGCACATTACAAACTGTTCGGATGAATAATATGAAAGGGAAGAGAAAGGGCTTCTCGTCCTGAATTCTGCACGTTCATCTAAGTCTTTCTGCTGGAGGCTGTTTTGTAATGTGATGAGATTCTGTTTTCTTGATTTATTACCTTGTAAAACTCTTCCTTATCTAGCTCAGTTTATTTGAGCCCTATTAATATAACTATATACTGTGGTGTAAAATGAAATGTTTCACTCAGACATATGATGTGCATCTCTTTGTATAGAGTATGCCCATTTCTCCTGGGCTCTCTTTCACCCCTGCGTTTCAACTCACCATTAGTTCCCATATTTTCGGCAATCCATTAGTAAATCTGAGTTTTGAAATGTGAGAACAGGGGAATTAATCTACACTTTAAGTGTCCATTAACCACACAGATGTAGAAAACTATACACTTAAATTATCCCTCACCTTGAGACGTCCTCCCGCTGTGAAAGGCGGTATATAAATGCAATTTTGTTGTTAAATTGATATTATTGTGCTCGAATATTCATTCAAATATTTTATTCTGAGGAAAGTGAAATGTTCTCTGTTGGGTATCTCTGGGATTTGACTGGTTCAGATGAAGCATATCTGGTGAAGCCATGTACTTTTGTTAATTTGACGCAGTTTTAATGGTTCAATAGGCTCCCTGGCTTGTCAATGAAACTTGGAACTGTTTCATACTGGTAAGCTGCATGGGTACATTTCCCATCATACTGGGGTGTGGTAGCTGTTTGTCACCGGTGAGACAAGACAATGAGAATTGACAGGCAATTTCACATCCTTTCCTTATCGTGACTTTTTAGCAGCACCGATCAGGTATGGGATCACTGCTTGAATTCATTTTATTTACAATTCTCAAACCAGGAGTATTGAGGAAATTGGTGCGTCCCAATTGCTACCACATCTGTAATCAGATAGCTCAGCATAGACCAAGGATTGAACTGGGAATGTCTTGGTCTGTATGGCTCTGTTGCAGTGACAACTGATTTCTCATGTTTTAAGCTGTACTTTTGCTTCTCTGAAATGTTTGAGATGCAGTGGTGAAGGAAGAATGTCAACTATAAATATCTAATGTTCTTGTGAGTTCCAGAGGGAAGTAGATAGGTATATTAAAGTTCGAGGCTTGAAAGCGTGTGGGGATAGGCCACTGCAGTGGGATTTAAAGTGCAGCTTGTTCTGAGAGCTTGTGCAAATTCGATGGGCCAAATGGCCCTCTTCTACGATGTAAATTTCTATGGCGTTTTAGATAAACCGTAGGCCATATTATACAAAGCTGCCAGATTCTTATGATACTCTTGGAAAAAATTGCCAAAAAAACGCATTCGGTGAAATCCATTCAACTCAAGACATTTATAGACTGAAAGCAACCCATAATGTAAACAGAATAATTTCCCTTTGTAGTTAGCCAGATCCAATTTATTTATGCTGCCCGATGGTAATTTTTATTTCTTGTTCCCAAACTCTTTTTGGTTGACATCTGTCTGTTATTAAAAAAAGGTAAACTGGTGTGAGGGTTTACATGGATTGAAAGAGAAGGTGATGTTTTACACACTGTGTTTGACTGGCATAACATATGTTGCTGTCTTATCTCCACCCTAGCACATGCTCAACGTTAAATACAAATTCATTGGTAGGTTATGTGTGAGGAATTTGAATGAGCTCTGTCAGCTGCACCTAGAAATCGTCCATTATACAGCGTAAATTGAAGTTTAACTCTCACTGACTCTCGCACTGGTTTCTTTATGCAGAAAAAGGTGTGTTGAGGTTTTGTTTTGACTAATGATGCCGGTGTGCTCACTTTAAATCTATCCCCCCAAAAAATCAGTAATATCCTCAATCAATCTCAGGTATTTGAAAGTTTTATCAAAAAATATAAAATTTGGAATATAAATCTTTGCACACTTCCAAAATTAATTTCTGTTTTTTATAGCTATTATTGTAGCTTGAGGGTCAAAAATCTGGGTGCTGTATTTCGGGGTTGGGGTGGGGGGGATCTCTTGTTTATCCTCAATTATTGTTTTCTGTTTAGTTCCTACTGACACTGCCCATTGACAGCCTGAAGAGTGGACACTTTCATTCCAGGTCTCTGAAGCGAAAGAACAGTGCGTTTACTCATAGTGCCACTCCCATCCCAGCTTGTTAGCTTTCAACTGATTATTGGTTTACTGTATAAAGGTTTACGGTCACAGTATGGTACAATTATATATACACACTAATAAATTTAAGGTTTCTGTTTGAAAAAAAACAATGTTCATGCTAATCTTAACTAGGGACTCTGTGAGTTATTCAAATACCTCTGAGTTTTGGGCTAGAGAGCTGAGAAAACAACAAGGGAATACTGATTTGTTATTCAATGATTCCCTCATGGAAAGTGAGTATCTGAATATTGGGTGAGGTCAGGGTCAGGCTCTGTGTCATGTTTGAATGATCTGCCAGTGCTCTACCTAAGATCATACCTAAAGTACCACTGTGAATCAAGGGACTAGAGAGTGGTGTGCAAACATGGAACTGTGCTCTAATGTAAGCACCTTTAGGAGAGGAAAACAGGCAGGGATAGAGGAGAGAGAAGGGATTTTTATTAAAAAAATGGTTATTTGTTTAGAAATGCGTCAAAATGCAGAGATGCACACATCCAGAATGCCCCAGTGATGGGTCACTAACTCCAGAGTCCTCTTATAGTACACAAAACACAACTGCATGTACTCAAAGTACAAGAGATAAAATGTACTGTGTTCAAAAGGTCAAGCTACAGCCCGAAGAACCATCTGAATAAATCATCTGCGGTATCTAGAAACAGATAATGATTTTTGGAAAAAAAACTGCTTGCCGGATATTATATGCTTGTGTTGTTTATTTTAAAACTGCTCAGGAAATTTAAACTTGAACAGATTGTTGTCTGTCTTCATTGTACTGTCTGTAAGTTATAAATGGTAGTGCTCATGACAGAAACATTCTACAGTATATTGCACTTGTGTGTCTCCACAAATACAGCCGACAGTAAAGAAATCCTCCTTCACATTATTCCAGGAGTATAATTTATTCCCCAGAAAGGCAATTCAATCTCTTTTTCCCCTCCTCTGACCTTTATTGCCCTATAAAATATTGCTTTCTTAGAGAAAAAAGTCCTATTTCTCTTCTCACTCATCCCTCTCTTCCCCTTGAAATGCAAATCAATCACAAAAGCATGTTGATTGGTGCTGTCTGAAATGTTAAAAAAAATCAATGTTTTATATACAAATTTAAAGTTCAAAATATTTTTAAGTTGGACTTTTCTTTAAATGAACTTGAGCAAGGTACTCCTCACTCCCCAATCCACCACCCAGCGCCTGCGCTCGACTGGCACAGGCCTTCTGCTCATCCCTTGCACCCTCCACCCCACCATCGGAAGTCGCGCTTTCAGCCACTACGCCCCAAAACTCTGGAACA